TGTCATGGACAGTATTTTTAAGGACATTCCAAATGTTTGTGTGTACTTTGACAATGTGTACATAACTGGTAAGAATGACACTGAACATCTTAAAACACTTGATAAAGTATTGAAAATTGTTGGTGAAAAAGGTTTAAAGATAAACAAAGATAAATGTCAATTCATGTTGACAGAAATTAGTTTTCTTGGTTATATATTGAGCAAACAAGGCATCAGACCTCAACCTGAGAAAACAAAAGCCTTTAAAGAAGCACCCAAACCTGAAAATACCCAACAACTAAGAGCTTTTTTGGGCTTAATAAATTACTATGCAAAGTTCATAGGAAATCTGTCTGGTAAACTATCACCACTGTACAAGCTGCTACAGAAAAATGCAACTTGGCACTGGGGTAAACAACAAGATACTGCTTTTAATACAGCAAAAGAGGCTTTGTCTGCTGACACCTTACTAACTCACTATGACCCAGGGAAAAGACTTGTATTGACATGTGATGCTTCACCAGATGGTGTAGGAGCAGTCTTGTCCCACATGGATGAGAAGGGTGACAGACCCATTGCTTTTGCCAGTAGATCTTTGAACCAGGCTGAGAAAAATTATTCTCAGTTAGATAGGGAAGGCTTAGGCATCATTTTTGGTGTTAAGAAATTTCATAAGTTTCTGTTTGGTAGGAAGTTCACCATCTTTACAGATCATAAACCATTGCTAGGTTTATTTGGAGAAAACAAAACCCTACCTGAGCATGCCTCACCAAGAATTCAAAGATGGGCTATCACACTAACTGCATACAATTATAAATTGAAATACAAACCTGGATCTGAGAATAGTGCAGATAGTCTTAGTAGATTACCTTTAAAAAAACCAAAGCCTGAGCTATGTACCAGAAGATGTATTTGTTCTCTTCACTATCATGGATAACTCCAATATAAATGTGAATGATATTAAAAGAGAAACACAAAAAGATGAGTGCTTAATAAAAGTATATGAGCACTGTATGAATGGTTGGCCTGAAGAGTCTGTGAATGATGACTTAAGGCCATATAAAATAAGAAATTAAAACCCTTTGTGAAGATAATATAAAAGATGGAGAAGATGCAGTCCATTATCAGTCAGAGTTGCCTAAACAAAGTACTTGTAACTTAATAAATGATTATGGTGATATGGCAATTTTAAATACATTAGTAAGAAGGAATGTGATCATCAAACAACTTTGCTAACATCATTAATACTTTCAGATGCCAATTCAAAAATAGTTCCATTAAATCATGACAAAACATTCATTGAAAGAGAATTTGGTGTTAATGAGAATGTGTATCTAAGAAACTATGGGAGAAAGGAAAAATGGATACCAGGTCAAATTGTTCAATGTACAGGACCTGTGCCTTATAAAGTTAAAAATAACTTGTGCAGATAATAAGTGTGAATCTGTCAATCCCACCAAGTCTGATCAGTTCACACCAACTCAGTTTGTTCCACAACCAAGTTCTGTTGATATGAGTGAACCAAGTTGTCTAGAGTCAGAAAATGTAAATTCTGGAGTTAATAATTTAAATCCTAGACCTCCTGAGATAGAGAATCCAGATGGTCAGAATCTTGAGTCACCAAATCAGAAGCCACTGAGAAGGTCAAGCAGGACAATCAAAGTCCCAAATAAGTTAGACCTATGATTCTAAAGGTCAAAAGGACTTTGACATTATTGTTTTGTATTTTGATTATGTTGTAGCATATTGTGCATTGTTTGTAAGGATGTAATCTACCATAGTGTTCATGTTACAATATAATTGGTGATTTTAGGATACTATCAATTGTTCTATTGAGAGATGTGTTATTGTGTTCTAAGGGTAAAGGGATGTAATAGATTGAAATAATTGTGAGGTCAAGGGAACTCACTCTTCTGTATTAGTTATATTTATAATATTGTTATCTTGAGTGATGTCCCTTGTGTACTTCCTTCCGTCCTCTCTGGTGTTACCATCGTGATGTAGTTAGACCCATTAAACGTGTTATATACAACCACAGGCTTCTGTCGTCAATCTATTATAAATACTACTTTTCTTTACTTCTAAATTCATTTCAGCTCCACTTATAAGCCCATAATCAATCATCATACCCCCCTCCCTTACCAATAAGAAAGCCAAGAGAAAACACGGGAAACAAAAACAAAAAACCCAAATCGTCGAAACACCATTTAATTATATATTTGCCTTTTCAGGTTTAGAAATAAAATTGTAATTAGACATTTTGTTTTATGTATATGTAAACCATCTTAAATGAATGAAAGTACATGTCAGAAAGAAGTATTGTAAATCTGTATCAGTCCTCACAAGTCGCTGATGAAAACTGTAATACTAAAGCGAACATGGCAAGGTAAACTGACGCTGCCAGTTATTTAAAAAATAGTGTCCAAAATGTATCAATTATTTCAATTGATCGATTTACTCAAGCCGCTCGTAAGGGGGAAGTGCTTGGACTTTGCCCACCTTAATTACTCGGTTGATAAGCCACTGCTACATTGTCACATTTATTCTATCACCTTTATGTAAGGTTTTAAAGTAAACAATTTCTTTCTAATCTGGAACAATTTTATCTTCCCCCCCCCCCCCCCCCCCCCACACACACACATATACCTTTCAGCTATATAATTTACTTGATCTCATAGCAAGGTCCATATTTGAGTGCTTATTATTACATGCGCTGAATGTTAGACTGGTGAGGCTCATTTGATCATTTGATTATGTAATGATAGTGAACTGAATGGTCATTAGATATTTGATGATGTTAGATTGATGAGGGTCATTAGATGATGTTAGATTGATGAGGGTCATTAGATGATGTTAGATTGATGAGGGTCATTAGATGATGTTAGATTGATGAGAGTCATTAGATGATGTTATATTGATGAGGGTCATTAGATGATGTTAGATTGATGAGAGTCATTCGATGTAGTTTGAGACTTCACTAGTTACAAAAGAGCATTTGATTCTGCTCTATTGCTGTGTTAAAATTGGCTGCGGCAGGTCAAATTACTTGTGCGTGAATTAACACACACGTCAGTTTATGTTTTCTCTTTAGTGACCTTTACAACTGTTGTTTCATTCATGACAAGCGCAGTGTTTCTTTCAGTCATTTATCCGGTTGGTAGTGGGGGATGGGCGTTCTGTCCACTCCTCCTCTCTCATCTCCGCGGAAAGAAAAGGAAAAAGATAAACACGCCCCCCCCCCTCCGTACTCGTTATATGTACTCTCCTTAGAGGAAAAATGTCTGAAAGAAACCATGGACACGCGGCAACCAAGGATTCATTTGTCTGGAGCATATATGACGGGAACTATTTTGTCGGAAGCCAATATGTCGCGAGCCAATATATCGGGAGTTTATTTGTCGGGAGCACATTACATGTGAGCCAATATGTCGTTGCCGAGGCCCTTTTGTCGGTGGTATTTTGACTGGGTTGTTTATCGGTATACCAATATAATAATAAAACTTACAATATGATCTGTCGTGCGGGTCACGGCTGCAGGTGCCAGTTAAGCCAACGAATACAAAATGTGACTAGGGCCTACGAATACTTTAAAACGGCGCCTGTACTCTAACCATTGTCCACCCACTCCCGATGAAAAATGTCTAAAAGAAACCCTAGTGGGGGTGGTACTTTGAGATTTCATTTGGGGAGGGGTACGATGCCTTTCTGTGACGTGTGATAGGGGAGGTGGTAAAATCCCCTTCAAAACAGAGTCGTCATTTCCGTACAACCAGTTAACACTGTCACAGTACGATCCTGCTTGAAAACGACTTTTTCGCAGTATGGCGCTAAAAAATTGTCTTCTGCCCAGTGGTAGTCCCAGACTTTATGTACGCCGCAAAATGTCTAGTTAATTTGGCCATAGCTTTAACACTAAACAGTACGACTATGATTCATATATAATTGGGAAGTTGGGATAGGCATTCAGTTGTTAATCATCATTTTTCTTTGAAATTTTTTTATAGCTTAAGTTTAATGATGACTTACATAAAAATGAATTTATACGGGTTTTTAAAACAGGATACAGTAGAAAGACAAGCATTTCCGTTATAATTATTGAAACCTCGGGGCGGCACTTAGACTAAAGCAACAAAGTATTTTTTCCCCCATTTAGGAAGGAAACCGATATGAACTAGATTCGGGTAATTAAACGGGCCGGCGGGAATGACTAATGCCCGGATCAGGCTGAAATACCAGAGTGCGTGTGGTGACATTAGCAAACACATGCGAGGCCAATCACAGCCTCCATCCTGCAGTGAAAAGCTTTGCTGGCAATTCATTGCAGTTGACCTTTCTGACAATAATTGCCTTATTAAAGCTGTGATCTTTGGTGGTCGCTGCACGGTAAACATACAACCAAGTTGGCCCTGAATAAACTCCACTGTAAATAGTAGGCCTAATACGATTATGTTGGCCTTCATCAAACTATGGTGATATACATAGATCTAGTAGAAATACGATTGTTGGTTGGCCAGCGTCAAACTACGGAAAAATTTAGAAATGGGCCAACAATTTTATTGGCCTAAATAACCATTTCTGTATTTTGTAAATGTGTATGAAAGCTTTCTGCGCAATATATAGGCCTACAAACACGTTGGCTCGATCAACTTTGTTACTAACCCTAAAGAATTAGTTTCAATGCTAAGGAGAGGATTATTTAAAGACGCATTCCCTCAGCCATTTGTAATTATTCCCAGTTGTTGGCAAAACGAATATATTCAACATACTCTGCTTGAGAATATACACACACAAAAATACCTCATAGTCCATAGCAATTGAAAAGTAGTTAAGTAAACTAGCACTAATCTGAGCTGTTATTAAAAAAAAAATCTAATTTGAGTTAAATAGCTTTATTCCAATGCATTAAATACTTTTTGTGAAGTTAATGATTTTTAAAGACTGTCACAACTAAGTTAAACAGACAAATCTACAAACATGATTTTTAAAAACTCACAAAACACAAATAACAGAAATCACACATCTATTAATGTCTGCTCAATAAGATGATTTGCGTTTAATTTTCTACTGACATAAAGTTTTATTTTGATTGTACATACATATAAAAACAACACAGCTACCCAACAGTACAACAGTTAAAAAAACACAACTAAATATAAATGTGGCATAAATAATTCACAACCATTGAAATAATACATGGACATAAATCAAATATAAAAAAAATCAAATTGATGTGGCTGGTTATTTTACTGATATACAAAACGTGGCTATAAGTGTCACATTTAGGTGTGACCAGCACTCAAAAGTGATGATATCACTTCATTCACATACAGGACCAGCTTGTGATTTGCCATGTTATTATCATAAATAAAATTTAATATAATTTGCCTTGTCTTAATTTGTTCCATTTACATTGTTTCTATAGACTAACTGACAGCTGATTGCTTGTCATTTTCAGCCTACATCACTGGTTTAAAGAAAGTGTAAACACAACCTTTTAAAATAAAGAATTTTAACATGATTTTATCTCTTAATCTTATATTTGATGTGCTTTCACAACCGAAACAAAAGTTTTCCACTTAAACAAATTTGCTATCACAACTCATAATTCTGCCTATGATGTAATCACTAACACTTTGTTGTGAGAATAAATCTGGCCATTAATAATAAAAGGGCTTAGATTATTTTCAAAATTAATAAGCTTTGATAAACCAAAGTAAAAATTAAGTTGCTATTACAACCATATGAAAAATGATTAGCTTTTAATAAACTGCTAAGACTGTCTTATTAAATATTTAAATTTTAAGAAAATACAAACACAACCTATAGTATTAGTTTTATCCTACATGTCCCATCACTAAAAACTGTTATGACTGGTTTCCACTAATAAAGACAGCATAAATGCAATAAATCATCATACAAAATAGAATAAAATTTGTAAAAACTGGTGGAGAAATGATTCAATGTGTTCGTTACTGGGTTAACAATATGAGTCAGGATCAACCTCCTGAAATTCACTGAGTGCCTTGATTGGTTCGATGGCTGACCTTGTTGCTGCACCTTTTCTCACCTTGGCTCCAAGTTCACTGGGGTCTTCTCGTCTGACTAACGGCTTCTTGGCTGGTGCTTTCATCTTCCACAACACAACAGGTTTCTTCTACAGGTCAGACAAAGTAGACAAGTTAAAGAGGGAACATGGACACAAAAAATGTGAATCCAGACTTTCAGACCTTTCCCTTCCAGATCTATTAGAGTCAAAGTGGTAACCAGGACAAGAAAAATGTTAAGACCTCCAGACATTATGTACTTTCAAGCCACATCAGGTAATACTCTAGAGATGTTTCAAGCTAGCTACACAGCTGGGAACTAATTTATCTAGCTAATGTACTAACAGCTGTTTAGTTAATGTTTATCAATAAAAGTTATGTATTTGTAACTTTAATAACCCATGTTATATTTGATGTATTTTAGATTACCAGAACTAGATATCAATAATATTGATATCTTAAGCCATTGAACAGCTATGTTTAATAAAGAGCTGAAAACAGTAAACAATTGTATAGATACAGTATTTAACATTTCTTGAGCCCAAGAACAACAATACTAATTGCTAAATTAAGATATGACCTAATATAGAACTGTAAAGCTAAGAATATTTTGGGTAAGTGAAATATGTGACTTACATTTGATCCTTTGGAATACTGAGAATAAAAAATTTTAAAAATTATTTGAGATGTTTTTTCAATTGTTTTTAGGAAAAAAAATAATCTTTATAGAAAAAAGATACTGGATGATAAAAAGTGGGTACTAATTAATATGACATTTAATAACTTATTTAAAACATGACTGAGATGAAAGATGATGTGTACAAAATGATTAAGATAAGTTTTCATGATTAAGGTGAGAGAAAATTTTAAAGATAAATCTTACCTTGGTGGATGCCACATAACAGGCTTTGACAGTCAGGACTACAGCATTCATCAAATTCTTGGCAGAGTGGATCAGAGATGTGGCACTGTCCAACTGTAAGAGAAAACAGCCATGAGAAGTCATTGCAGTTAAAATTATTATTTAGATTTCTACTGTAATTCAATAGAAATCTAAATAACAACTGCAACAAAACTGAACACATTAATCTGGCTAGAATATACATGTAAAAAATTGTTCAAGACATGTGGTAGTGGAAAAAGTACAATATACACAAATTTAAATCTTGTTAATTTTATTTTTTATTCTAATTGAACTATTTTCAAAACACTTGGGATAACATATGACATGTTTACAAAATAATTAACACAAATTGAAAAAAAAATAAGAACAAAGGGCAATTAATTTAAAAGTTAACTAAATGTCAAACAGTACCTATCTTCTTAATTAATCAATAAAATAAAACAACAGATAAATCAATAAGATGTTAAACACATTAAATTTTTAAATAAAATAATTTTTAAATAAAATCAACAACAAAACCCTTTTTTAAAAAACAGCCCAGAATAACAATAATAATAGCAGGAAATGTGTTAAAACAATTTTGTTATAACCTTTCTATTGAAGGCTTTTCTACTTTCTATCTGAAAGAGATTCCAGACATCAACCTTTTTTTAACTTTATTTCACTAAAACTACTAGATGAAAACTATCTTGTTCTACTAAAACTGATTTATCAATGATACCTCGATTTCACTAAAAATAATATTTATCAATAAAAGTTTTACTAACAATTATAATTAAATACCATAATAGGTTTTGTTTCTTTTATTTCAAATAGTTGCTTGCTAGCGATATATACTATACTGCTACAACTTGAGTGATTAAGGACAGTAGTTCAGACTCATTAAAGTTTTACCATCATCCAAATATAACAGTTTGAAGACAATTAGTTTTTCCCAAGTAAAATCACCAGCTCCTTTTAATTTCTTAAGTCATGGCCGCATCCTTTGTCCCCTACCAACAATTGTTTTCTAGTGCCATTCTCACATTACACATAATCTATTGCAAGAAATAATATATAAAAAAAACACTCACTCCTGACACAATCAGTTCTCCACTGACACTTTGGACATCAGCCTTGACCTTGCTGGTTATGTTGAGTTGATGGCAATACAAGGCTATTCGCTGAAGATAAGCTTCTAAATCTTTCTTGGACTGGGAGTCAGGACACTAAGAAAGAAAAAAAAAATTTTAAATGATTGACCATCCCTAAAGTTTACAACATCTGATGTACATAGAAGTTGCAGTACCTGATCAGCTATTGTGGTAGCAAGTTTGTCTAGATTTGTTCCATGCTCAGAAATCTTCTTTGCTGCGTTTATCACATCCATTGTACTTTTCAATGGTCCTCTGCCTCTGTTAAAGAAAGTTATAATTTTCTTAAGATGATTGGGGGTCCTACTCTTTTTCACACACACACACCCACATTATTTTAATAGCCTGGCAAAAATGTAGTTGTGTAAGCTACAAAGTTTATAATGATTCTAGAATTATTTTAGTGTGAGCAAATTGTGAAGGTTATGTGTATATGGGCCAGAGGTTTTGAGTGTGAAATCTGATCACTCGGGTAAGTATGAAATAAACCCAGCTTAAATGGATACCTTAAAGTAAATAAGACAGAACTAAAAAAAAGGACATTCTTTTTTCTTTAACCATTGAAAAACTGTTTTTTTTTAATTACGTGTTATATTCTTTAAAAAATTAATTAACTAAATAATCCAAGTTATGTTAAAAATTTAAATTAAAAAAAGTAAGTTTCTTTACTTCCAATATTAGATCTAGATCTGTATCAGGTTATTTCTGAATAATTTCTTTCTTTTCTAGTCCTTAAAATTAAATACTAGTAGTATCAAGTTCTTAAAAAGTTGTTCTAATGTTAAAGCTCTAATGTACCTAGTAAAGTCTGTCATCTCCATCATGATCATACACATCTGTTTAGCCATGACAATAATGTCATTGCCACTGTCATCCCATTTAGCCACTTCCATGTCAAGCTTAGCTTTTTCTTTCCTGAACTGTTCAACCTGCTGCTGAATTACTTCCCTTTCTTCCTCAGGCAACCTTCTCATCAGGGCTCTGTCACTCTTGCCATAGTAGTCATCATGGTCAGCCACGCTGGCTATAAAAAATATTTAAACATAGGTTAAACAGCAATTATTAATTTTTAAAATTTTTCTCCCAAAACTATTAACCCACATAATCCCCCAACCTCTCATTGTTAAGTTGAACTTGAACTTACAAGGTGCATATCCATAGTCTTCATTTTCATAAACTTCGCTGTCAGAATCATCAAAGTCAGTCTATAAAAAAATATTTAATTCTCAATATCAGCCCAAATGTGTACTAAAAGTGGTAGCATATCATTAATATAAAAATATTTTCTTGAAAATTTGTCCCATGGCATGTTGGTTTTTTAAAAAGGTCAGGGAATTTAATGTACGGTGCTAAAAGTTACTATAAATATAACAGACAAAACTAGATTTTAATACAGGCAGATTTAAGAACATGATATTATCATGTTAAAAATAAATAGAAAACAAAATTTAAAGGTATGCTTGCCCTGCTAGCAAGAACAGCTTGACGTATTTCCCGGACACCATCATAAACCAGCCGAGATGCTTCAATAAACTGATTCTCATCAACATCACGGCTTGGGTTTGAGTTAAGTGCATCCACTGCCATTTCAACTTTTTCAGCAAAATGTGGCATAACTAAACAGAATAAAAGAAGAAAAACTTTCACAGAACTGTACAGGAAAAAATATACGCTTACTAAATAATAATATATAGATAAATAATAAAAAGATAAAGTAATATTAATAAATGGTCTGAACTAACTTTGATCCCTCAGCTCCATGACAGCTTCCATGACACGTTCTGTGTATTGTCCTGGCTCATAGTTGTCCATTTCAGCTGTGACAACATTGCACACTCGTGCTGACCTGCCTCTGATGGCGCCAGCTGTGCGGTCTAAAGTATCAGCATCATTTTCTTGTAGAGCAATGACACATTTGTTCACATCCTCAAGGATGTGGTTCTCTGTAAACAAATTACAGTAAGAAATAAACTGCCATAGTTTTAATTCTTATAATACTGGTGACAAGTCAGTATAAAACATTCTAAAGCTATTATTTAGCATAAACAAAGAAAAAGTAAATAAAAGTAATAAAACAGCTGAAAAACCATTGCATATTAAAACATTTCACATAAAGTGCTGTATTTGAAGATACAAAAAAATCCTGTACCTGAGACAGCAAGAAAATCGTGAATGGTTGTGATGTCATCTACTGCTTCTGTCAGTAAACTAACTTGCTTTTCCCAAGCATCTTTAAAGACATCCATATTCTCCTGTGCAGCTTTAGACCTGGGTCGAGCAGCCAACACTCTGGCAGCATTGATTACCTGGAGTTATAGTTGTTGAAAAATTAATGTCACAATTTTGAAATCAATGATGCATTAGACAAAATATCAAGATTATTTACACTTTATTTTACACTTGAACCATACTGAACATAAGATAAATAGATATAAATTTGTAAGGCTAGATAAATGTTAAGATTACTTTAAACAATGAGAAGAGAATATCTGAAATTACCTGTGAACACAAACTCTCTATATCAGCAGCAGCCAATCTGACCAGCTTGACACCTTCTTCATTGTTTGACATGGAACATGCAAGATTTGCTACCTGTAAAATGTGTTTAAATATTAACAAGACCTGTCTACATGTTTAAATAAACCAACTAATCTAAAACATTGATGGGTAAAGATGTACTAAATTTGTCTGGATCCCAAAAATTCATACGATATTTTGAGGTGTCAGGACATTTACTGGGCATAAGCCCACACACTGGTTACTATATTAGAATGTTTATAACAAAGCTACATTTCCTAACAGACTTTGGGAAATTTTCAATACAAATAATATAACAATAGTCATAAAATAAATATTATTGTGGGAAGTGGAGTGTCCATAGTTAGGGCCAGATTTATGGCACTTTATGCTCAGATATAAACAACTAACCTCAACCAATTTGTTGGCGTGCTCCATGAAAACTTGAGCATACTCCTCCACACCTTTATCATCACCAGCCTTGGCTGCTTCTATCAGCACCAGCAGCGGAACATTGGTTTCAAGAAATGTATCTGACACATGGTCAACAACTGCCTTCCGTAACTGGTAGAAATAAAAAGAAAAGAACAGACAATTTTATAATGAAAATAAAACATTGTAAATTAGAAAAAAACTGAAGTAGTGGTAGGAGTTAAGTGAAAGTCCCAGAACGGGGTGAATGAAGATATCAAGATAGCATCCTCTGCTCTTGGATGGTTTAGTCATTTAATAGAAAATGTACCCTTTACTGTACTATGCCCCCCAACATTGCTAATATGGGACTATCCAATGCATCCTAACTATGTGTGGTACATTTATTGTTGCAAAGTAACAGAAAACTGGCTGTTAACAGTTTTATTTACATATTTTATTGTTGTTCTATTATAACTAGCCGAAAAGTTTTATATTATCTTTTTTTCAACAAAAAATGTATTTTAAATTATGGGCAATATAATTAATAAAACTATAACTACATTACAATTTAACGAATATAGTGATACCTGAAAAGAAAGTACTTCTAGTGACTATATTGCATTCCTAATATTGTAATAATATTTAAAATTGATATCATTGTAATGAGTATTTTTTAAATACTTTTCTGCATTTGATATTATTTAGATTTATTATTAGTAAATTATTAAGCAATTTTAACTCAAACATAATAAACTAAGGATACTTTCCTATAAACAGAAATAGGTTTTAATTTTTATTGTATGTGGATATTTTTAAAAGTATTGTTGTAGGATAGTGATAATTTCACTTAATCAAACAGGAAGTGTAATTTTTTTTATGCCAGAACATTAACTGGTTAAAAAAAAAAGTGAAAGAAGGACAGATTTTCTTTTAAAAATTATTTAAAGAAAGCAGTAAAACAAACCTGTCTTCTGAGGTCTTTAGTTTTTTTGGTCATATTGTCCACTGCTTGTTCCAACTCTTCAGTTGGTTCTTTTTGTCCAGCCTGTAAGTAAATTACCCATGTAGTCAGATGATGACCATGTACTCAGGTGATGACATCAAAAATGTAAACTTAATTAAACCAGAGTTGATACAAAACAATGTTGTCCAAGTGCACAACCCATTGTGACTATTTGAAAAACAATATGTAAGGGTTAGGTGATATATGTTGACAGTACTAACTTTGTTTGACATGATTCATACAATCAATCATTGTTAAACATGAACAAAACAATCAATCATAGTTAAACATAAATTGTTGTTAAACATGAATAACACACTTTGACATGAAATCACGTTAAACCAGATTCAACAACATACAAAGTATTGAGGACCTAAAAGGATGATATTATTTTCATTAATTGTTTAGTGTAATTTAGTATGGAGAAAATATATTCACTCTTTGTTTTGTTATACTAGTTTTCAGTTATTTATTTAAATTAATATTATGTGAATGCAAACATGCTAACAATCAATGCTAAACCATGCTTGTCTTGTTAGAGCTATGGTCAGCTTCTCATGGAACTTTAGCCTATTTAACCCCGGATCTTAGCAACTTAAGTCTTGATGTTGCTGTGGAAATACCAACTTTAATACTAACTTCGTATTATTGTGTTTGTTACAAGTAATCAAATAATTTTGAGCATTGCAAATGGAAGAAATTAATTATAGATGTACAAGTTTAAAAAGCTTCTTTTCAGCTTAGTATGCCACCTTTAGATGGTGTAGGGTTTTATATCATTGGTTAAAATTGCTGTGTAATAGGTCATTATTTTAAGCCATGTTTATGAACAATTCAAATTTTAAGACAGCTAAGTCAATGGACAAACTGTGGTCAAGCTAAGTAAATGGAGAATGTGTGATCTAAAGTGTAGGCTATTTTGCAATGAGTAGTTTAGAAAAGCAACAGATTATTACAACAAAGGAGATGCCTGGGTTTCAAGGTGCTCAGCCATGCTGAACAAACAATGTTACCTTGTTGGTTATCATGGGCTTTCCACACTGTATGAAAAAATTGTGTGGCTTTTTAGACTTTTTAAATACAATGATTGTTAAATCAAAGTACTATTGTAAGACAGAACAGACAACAATATGGTAGTCAAAGGTCAAAATAACCTGATATTTTTCTCTAGAAAAAAATGATATAATTAAATGTTCACTTCATGTAGTATTTTTTAAATTCAATAAACTTGACAAAGCCAAGTGTAAAATAAACTAAAACCTAGGCGTAAAACGGACGTCAAATGGAAAGAATGAAATACTTTGTTTATGAGAATGGCAACTTTTGTTTTGTTACTGTATCCCACTTATGATTTAATGACTTGGTGCCAATGTGGTGTTGGTGTAGAACTAGTCATATGATGTACTGGAGACAATTTAAGACCAGGGAGAGAGAGCTTCTGACACAGAAAAATGGATGACACTGTCAATGTTGGGAGCTGCATTGAAAGTGGAACATGTGGAAAGGGTTTTAACTTTTTTTTATAAAGAAGCCAACACTAACATTATTCATGTATTCTGTAAGAAGATCTTGCAGTGCTTGACGAACAGCATTACATTCTTGTACAATCCGTTCTCTCCTGTCATCTCTAGTACAAGAAGAATCAGCCATCAAAGCTGCTCCGCTGATGATGCTCTCTACCCGCTCCTCCAGGGAAGGCCGGCTGTGCACCTCATTATAACTAAGAGGGTCCATAATTATCTTACGCTGGGAAAAAGATTCAGGAAATTGTTAAATAGAAACTTTCTATAGAACAAATGAAAATCATAGTATTAGGTCTGATAGGTTAAAACAGCATAAAGACTAAGGTGTCATGGGTAGGCATGGTAGACTGGTAGAGGTAAACAAAAACTCTTCAGCTCCATAGAATGTCCCTGAATCTACTTAAGTATTGGGTGCTGAATTAAGTTGGGGAATTAAGTTGACAACACAATCCCCTCAAATGCCATGGCAGAGAAACAGATGCACTCTGCTTCATCTATTATATATACACTCAGATCTGAACGGGAACTTTACTTTTAAAGAGTATGTATCAAGAATTAGTAGGATAATGTACAAAGTACCAGCTTACATCAAGTTCATCTAGAGCAGCTGCTAACTCCCCAGGTCCTTCATATGGATGACCCTCAGAGTGGCCCGAAGCCTGAGCTACGTCAGAAATTGTATTGACAGCATCACACACTTGTTTGTATGCGTAGTCTCGATTTGATCTAGCAGCTGCTAGTTCTGGATGTCTTACATAAGCCTAAAATAATATACACAGAAATAAGACATTAAATTACTATAAAACTATTAAGATAAAGCTTTTAGAATTAGAAGCTATAATTCTTTTTTTTTTAAATAGTAAAATTTATTGCATTTATGAAAATAGCTTTCCTTATAAAATGATAAAAGACTAAAATAAAAGCTAATTCTTTTTAATCAAATACAAGGATATTCAAAGCACGCCATTCAAATAACAAAATGTTATAAATTGTAAACAGAATACATAAGATTGTGGTTGTCATGTGATCTTACCTTGGATGTTGTCAAGAGAACCATGCTGTTCTTTTTTAACAAAGCTCTAGCAGCAGCAAGCTCTTCTCGTCTTCGAGGATCTTTTAAATCCTGAATAAATATTTGACAGTTTGAAATTTAAGAATTGCATGTACGGAATCATCAAAAACCCATGATTATATTGTGGAAAAATATTAACCATACTGAACAATTAAAAAATATTCATGCAAGATATTGATAGCCTTTTTTAAAGTTCTGAAACTGAGTTATGGTTACTGCTGCATTCCTAAGAATAAAGTTTTGTTAATTCTTAACTTCTTCAAATAGGTTTAAGATTGAAAAAGTGAATATTTGGTGTGATGGACAGTATTTATGTATCAAAATGTAAATGAAATGTAAAGTAGCAATAATATTTATTATATAATTTAAAAAAAAATGAGTAGTATTTTTATGATTTTTTAAATTGAAATAAAGTTTAAAATAAAATGTCATAAGATCATTAGTCACCTCTAAAGATACAAAAGGAAGACCTTTCAACTAAAAGGTTTGCGCTAAATAAATGCCTACTTACTGCTTGCCTTCTGGCAGCTCGATCAGACAACTCTGCCATGTTTCTTCCAAAATCACGAAAAGCATCCATGAGTTCTTGTTGACTAGTGGCATTTTTTATACTGTCTAAATCACCTTCAACCTGATTAAAATAATAGCAAACTTATATTAATAAACACTTTTATTAAAATTTGAAACTTAAATGACAAAAATTTACTGTAAAATAGATTTTTTAGGGTAATAGTTAAGCATATAAAATAATAACTTACGGAATGCAATGATTTTAGAAGTAAATGCACATCCACCATGTCCGCTAAGATGAGTAGGCGTGTGACTGCAGACAGTAATGCTCTTGCTGCCCGAACCATAGCACCTCGTTTGGCAGAGGAGCATGGATCTGCAGCAAAATCCTGTGAAGCATCATCCATTGTTTCACCTTGAAGCAAATAAACATTTTAAAATATTTTAGTGACAGATTTATATAAATGAAGAAAGCACTGTGCAGTTTTTCACCTAGAAAAACAACATTTAAAATCACTTAATTCAAATTAATGTATTATTTAATTATTTTAACATTTATTCTAAAACAAGAAAGAATATTGTCCCCAAAACTTCTATAGCAACATTTAAAAATCAAACATATCAACTGTGATTATTTAGTTTGTTTTCAATTTATAAAATGAGCGAAATGTACCTGTTTTCCTAACTTCATCAATAGCAGCCAACATATCATTTTCCACTTCAGGGAAATCATGAGCAATTAGTTCCCCTTGAATAATAAAATTCTCAGTAGCTTTCTGTACAGCAGCACTGAGGACATGAGCTTTCTTTGAGCGGCCTTTCTTTAAATTGGAGGGTCCATTTTGATTGACCAGAGTGGTTACCTAGCCATCAAACAAGCCGGTCAACTCAATTACAAATATTTTAAACAAATTGTTGTTGGAAAAACAATGTATCCATTAACATTTGTGGGGCTATAAATATTAACTAAAAATAATAATTGGGTGTAATGGGGAAAAAATGCTGAAGTAGGAAAAGTGTGATCTTTTAAACTGTATTCATAAAATGCATTTATTAGCTAGTTTCTCAGTTTTAGTTCATTTATAAATAAGCTCTACATGTATGTCATACATTAAGGAGCAAAATACCTGGGTGCTAGAGAGGTTTTAGTGTTAAGGAGAAGACTTAACAAATTAGATTAGTGTGTATTTCTATTAAATAATATTGCAGAAAATTATGTTTAATATAATTACCTATAAAACAGGATGCAGTTGCGGGGGGGGGGGGGTTGTGGAAGGAGGTTGGTTAAAATTTTAGGGCATCATGTATGACCCCTATGTATAATTATTAATATCACATTTATTTTCACTGATATAGCAATGAATGAGATCTTACTTGAGTGACTAAAGGTTCTAATGTTTTCTCTACAGACTTTGTTCGTATCTCTAAATTTTTTGGGTTCCATTTAATTTGCAGTGAGCCTTGAACAGGACTCAGCGACATGTTTTGGCTGTCAGACTAAAAGAAAAGAAAAATGAAGCATCAAATTATTTTAAATGAGTCAATTATATGTTATTTCATTAAAAAAATAATTTGAAAACAATAAGCCCCTAAATTCATTTTCCTTTAAAACCAGATTTAGGCCTATGCTCAATTTTGTTTAATTATATAGGCCTATAATTAGTTAAATGAATTAATGGCGATTCTTATTAATATAAAAAAAGTTAATTATTTACTAAATGTGAATTAATTGTCAATAATTAATTTTTATGAATTTTTAAAGATCTGGGCCAACGTCAAGTTTTTTCTTATAGGCCTATAATTTGTCATAGTATAAATCTGCTTTAAAAAAAAATAGCATAGCAACTATTTAAAAAGATTTAGTTTTTTTTAATTTAAATAAAAGAATCACCCTTGGTTTATAAAAATATCATTTTAACATTTTTTAAATATCAATTGGTACGCATAATGTTTTTTAAATTTTAATTTTTGCTTTCCTTTTTCTTCATATTTTATGGGATTGTAAGAAAAAAGTCACAGGGAAAAGTCACAAATATATATTTGCATGGAATTCATAAATACTTTTATGTATTAAATATTCAGAAAGTGCAAATTAACTTAGATTAATTAGATATAATGAAGTAATGCAAAGGTTGTATATGTATAGTGATATTTATAGCACTAATAAATATTTAGTGTGAAGTATTTATGTTTTGATTTCTTTACACAAATGATATTTAATAGAATTTAATAAAATGCTCCAACCTTCACTTTTTTTATAGTGTTTGTGAAATACTAACTTTAAATTACAGCGAAATGGCATAAAGACGTAGTTAATGTGACTTGTTGCCCTTAACTCATTGCAACAATGAGTCCACCACCTGTACTGCCCACATTCATCACGCTCATTACATAACAAAGCATAGGATCAAAACAGAAAGCTGACACGGTCCAGAGGCTGTCAGTGACGCAAAACGTCAACAACACACAATATGGACGGACAAGGCCGACTCAGGAGAAGCTGACCAAGGAATGGCAAAAAAAAAAAACATGCAAAACACAATGATGTGGCTAAATTTTGTTAATTAATAACATTTCTAGGGTGTATTTAACCAAATTCATTCAAAAGATGTGGTTGCTGTCTAAATTAGGTTAAGTGTTAAAAACCATAATGCTTTTATCGTTTATAAATATGCTACCAAAAAACCCCGTGATTTTATTTCAGTGCCTTTTTTTTCCGAAAAAAAATTTCATTTGTGACCTTTTTTTGTGACTTTTTTCTAGCAAAAACTGTTACTTTTTTCTGTGCTCTTTTCATAGCAAAAACTGAATTTTTTTCAGTGTCTTTTTTTCCTGTGACTTTTTTTCCATCCACCATTTTACAGAGCTCATATATTATAATTCATGTAGGCCTAAGTTATAGGGACAGAGTGGTCTAGCGGTAGAGAGCTAGACTGCTATGTTTACTTACTACTAACTACTAGCTAGTAGCTAGATCTAGTAATCATGAGCAACTAGCTAGACTCTAGACTAGACTGTAAGTAGATCTAGATGTCTAGTAGTAAATAAATCAACTGAAATGAATGAGATATTTTGAATATGCCAATTGTTATGATTAGGATCAATAAATTCAATTTAGATAATAGGTCTAGAGCTAGAGAATCTACTTACTAGACTCTAGATATGTAATCAGAAAAGAAAAACAAACAAACCCGGAAATGGCTACAATTTATTCTCGATGCCTACCTAAATCAATCTCATCTCCCTTGCAGTTCCGGTTTCGGGATCGGCAAAAAAATTGATTTTAATGTTTTCTTAGAAAATGATACAAATTTACTCATTTAGACTTTTGCTTTCGATTAGCAACTGCTTAATGATTAATTTTAGGGAAAAAAAGTATTTAATAAATAATGGGATAGTAAAAATAAATTTTACAAAAATAAAAGTCAATATCATGCATTTAAAAAAAAAATTAAGCATGAAAATCGTTTTTCAAATTATAGATCGAGATATTGAAATTAAACATTGAAAGTCTTTGAAAGTACCAAATTCTAGATCGGTTGAAAATTAGGCTGTAGCTCGTTTTATTTCAACTAGACTCTAGATCTATTTAAGAATTAAGCAGAGGCGTAGCGATGGGGGGGGGGGTACATATGTCCCCGGGCGCCGACCTTAGGGGGCGCCAAAATGAGTTGTAACAACAATTTAAAATGTCATTTTAGCTGCATTTTTGCATTATAAATAGTTTGAGCGAGGGGGGTGCAAATCGAAAGTTTGAGGGGGGTGCAAATTGAAAATTTGCTCCCGATGGGGCGCCAAATTGAAAGTTTGTCCCCGGGCGCCGGGAAGGGGCGCTACGCCTCTGGAATTAAGGAAACAATGTCTGCTGGCTTCACTAAGTCCAGCGAGTTCCTATTGTACACAACCCTCTAATTGGACAAATCCAATTAACAATTTTACAAATTCGCCCATCTTTATTAATTACGGACATACCCCCCCCCCTCCTATAGTCTATCACTCCGAGCACAATGGCAACTTTCAGGCCCTAACATTAACAGTGATTTCCGTCAACATAATTATCTGAGAGGGTTCTATCTACTAGGTATATCTATTTTGATCACGTTTTATAACAGTTTATACTCAAAAAAGTTTTTAAAAAAAAAGAAATACGCTCAATTATTTAAAAAAATACAGTTTTAAAAATGATCCCCGCCACCTGTCACACGTAACAAGCTGTAACCAGTACCGGCACCATGTTATTTAGCGCCCTGGGCTAAATGTATAAAACGCCCCATTTCACACAAATTAATTTAAAAAACACAGGTATCATTGCCTAAAAGTTACAAATAGACTTCAAAATTCTAATTTAATTTTTCATGCATTCTTTATTGCAAAAGCTTGTACTAACTCCTTCAACTCCAGTGTCGAAGCGTAATCCCATTCTATTGAAACTGTTGATAAGTCCACGAGTATGCATTGCGGCATAGCAATGTGGATTCCAAGTGGGGGCCTGTTTTGTTATTCTGGATACAGGCTTCCTGGGTGTGTGGCCAATCCATATCCACTGGAGGATCTCTTCTTCAGCTGGCCTTTGATTTGTACGTTGCCATAGTACCTCCTTTCTGTTGGTTTTAGGCCAGCGAATATGAAGACTTAATAATGTTGACTATTTTCTGTGGCACCCCATAGTGTCTCAACAATTTTCACATTGACTGTCTAACCAGGCTTTAAACGGCCTTCTCGTAATCTATGAAATTAATATAGAGAGATGAGTTCGCCTCTTGGGTCTGTTCAATGATGATGCACAGGGTAGCAATTTTGTCTACACATGATCTTTCCTTCCCAAATCCCGCCTGTTGATCTCGAAGCTGGGGATCTCTTTTGAATTTGCTTAGTACAAAATTATTTAAATGAGCTTTATCGGCACCCCTACTCGACTATTTAAAGACGAGCAATAAACTATGTAGGCCTACGTGGTTTGAAGGTGTGCCTATTTTCACACTACAACTTTGTAGTTTTTTCTTTACGCAACAGTGTGTGTTAGTTACTGCAGAACAATCACTGCTGCAGTAGATTTTTTTTTGTTTTTACAAAACCATTAGTCTATTAATTAAGGTGCATTTTTTGGTCGCATTTTTATCATCGGCATCATTATCTTTATTAGCGTTTAGCGTTATGCGTCAACGATGTTTCTAAATGTTTGTAGTCCGCGGGTGTCTTTTTGTTGATCTTGGATATATCATTAAGGAAGCCGAATAGAATATTATGTTGTTCTAATTGTTGGAACCTCTCTTCAATAGATACCAAGACAGAGTTTCTTCCAGGCATCCCTTCGAAGAAAGTCTACCGCCCCCCCCCCCCCCCCGAACGAAATGGAATTTATATAGAAAATATATAAAATATATACGTTTAACAGTGTCCGCCCCCCCCCCTCCCCTCCTGGAGAAAAAAGTCTGGAAGAAACATTGATCCAAGATAGTGTAGTAGATTTCTACTTTTGAGGATCTTGTGGTGCCAACTATTAATTTAGTTTGAAAATCTAAATCTATCCTTGACTAACGAAATTTCTAATTCAAAGTTAGAGAAAACGAGACTTAGATCTACAAAAATTAAAATTGCGCCGGTTTTAGAACGCGTCATGCGTTGGAGCGATCACTAAATCACCATTAAATAAGAGATGTCGGGTTGATCAGGGGGCCCTGTGCCCAATTTAAACATTTATATCCCATACAATAATTATATCGATATATTACCAGAGGCGTAGGTAGGGGAGGGCGTGTGGGGCGGCCGCCACAGGCGCCGAGCCAAAGGGGGCGACAACGGATTAGATAATGATATAAAAATCGCATTAGGTTAGGTTAGGTTAAGGTTAGGTTAGGTTAGGTTAGGTTAGGTTACAGGTTAGGTTAGGTTAGGTTAAGATTGCCTCTCCTGGGACATAGGCCTCTGACAAGAGCTTTCCATGCGTCTCTGTGCTGGGCTAGTCTCTCCAACTATCCCCAGGTGTATCCAACCTTCTTGGTGTCTTCTTCTATGTCACGTCACCAAAAAAAGCTCAATACTGAATTATATTCAGTCGAAATAAAGAATATAGACTGTTACTTGGCATTAGGGACTTATTTAATCGTTTTCTACATCAATTGTGTGACACCAAAATAAAAAGGCAAAAGGACTGGTAAAAAGCGCCTCGACCTTTCCAAAAGAGGAAGGTTAGGGCGCAATTTCACCAACATGAAAAATATATATAGGCCTAATTAGATAATTTGTCCTGGACGCCGAAATAGATCGCTACACCTTTGTATATTACCCTGTTTATGGTTTATATAATCAAAGTTTACAAATGTTTGTGTCCCCCTCCGCCCCTATGGATAGTGCCCTAGGCGACCGCTGAGGGGTCATCCATTTACAGCGTCCACTCGGGGGGGGGGGGGGGGGGGGGTTAGAAAAATATTGACTTTTGTGGACGCTAAAATATTTCATGCGGTCTAGGCCATGCCTAAAAAGTAATGTAGTTAGTACATGTCCGACAACATATAGGCAGTGTTTCTTCCAGACTTTTTTCGGGGGGGGGGGGGGGGGGGGGGGGGGGGGGGGGGAGAGAGGCGGTCAACGTTTTCCGGGGGGGGGGGGGGGGGGGGCGAAGAGGTGCCTGGAAGAAACTCTGCATATAGGCCCGCCCCAGTGTTTCTTCCAGACTTTTTTCTCCGGGGGTGCACTTGAAATTTTCGGGGGGTCGGACAACAATTTCCGGGGGGGGGGGGGGGGCGGACACTGTCAAAAGTATATATTGTGTATATAAATTCCATTTCGTTCGGGGGGGGGGGGGCGCGGTAGACTTCCTTCGGGGGGCGTGCCCCCCCCCCCCCCCCTGAAGAGATGCCTGGAAGAAACTCCAATAGACGAAGTCTGCATGGCTAGGCTATCGACGAATACCACGTTTACCGGTACTCATAACTAGACTAGAATAGGAATATATATGCAGTTTGTGAAGGCTAATGCTGAGCCTCAGTATAGGCATAGTTTCTTCCCGTTTTTTTGGGTTAACTTTACTTGATTCAGTTATGACACGGTTATTCTAGTCTAATAAACTAGATAATAATAAACAAACTGTTTACGATTAATTAAGCACCAGAACCAGGAAATTCTTTACATGGTAGGCTATATTTAGACGTTTTCGTAATTTCCTAATCTCGACCAATAGACCATTGCGTAGGATTTCCATCCGCCATATTGCCCTTATTGAAAATAAGTTGTTTTTTTTTCTGGACTTAACTTAGGAGTCGGCGATATGTCGACAGAAAGTGCTTTTTTCGATAGTCAACTTGGGCAGATGTCAAATAAATTAATGGCTGGATCGAATAAAAATTTATTTGCCGAAGTGACCCAACGTTTTCGTGTTCTTCCTGGACCAGGATTGAACGACATCGCCAAAGTAACAGAAGAAAGTACACAAACATTTTCTAGTTCACCCTTAGATCAGGTCCGACGAGAGGCGGAGATTATGGCAGAAGATGTTGTTTTGAACTTTGATGATAAAAATTTGAAACGTCCTCCCAACAGATATTGCAAAACACTCAGAAGAACAGTTAAAGAGCTCTCCGATAGACATGATATTGTTTTTAAAGGAATGGTAAACAGGCTCAGACCAGATGAGAATGATGCTTTTCAAACATTTGTCATTGTTGCGGATGAGATTTTTGACGATGGACAAGTTAATTGGGGAAGAATAGTTGCTGTTTATGCCTTTGCTGCAAGACTTGCTAAATACTATACAGACAATAACATAATAGTTGAACCTGAGAGAATTATTGGTCTAAATAATGATCCAGCAAGTTCTCATTCAATGTCATACCAAAAGAAAATAGCCTTGTTTGTTGGGAAATATGTAGCCAATAAGCTTGGAAAATGGGTTCTTGATCATGGAGGATGGGTATGTCTTAGTCTATCTATACTCTAATAATAACTATTGATATTAACATTCATTAACAATAGCTCAATGCCAGCAGCTGTAAACCTAATAAAAGTTCCTTATTGCTTACAAAATAAACAAATTGTCTATTTCCAGTTGACTAGGAGTGGCCATATCAGAGTTGTCAATACATTTATTGTTAAAAAATAAAAATAGCTAGATCTAGATCTAATTTGAAAATTTGGCATGGCACAACATGGTTGGGTGGAACTACATAAGTGTCACTTTGGACACCTTGGGTTTGGATCCATCGGTTACATTCATCCATTATCATACTAAAAAAGAAAACATAATTGAAAATGATGGAAAAGTTTTATGGTATTTCATCTGATGTCCTATTTTTAAAGATTAAAAAATGGTACGCTAATTTTATAGCAATAAAACCTACAAAAGTGATGCATAATTATAAATTTAAAAATGACAATTAGAGTGCATAATTAATCATTTGCATAGTAGATTTGAACATAAACTTAATGCTTTACTTGTTAAAAAAATTTATTAATTTAACAGTAAAAAACAGCACTGCTGTCTAAACCTACCTTCCCCTTGCAGTTGCAATAAATGTTATTGTTAGGCCTACAGATCTTGTAAGAAATTTTTCCCAGTAATAGATTTATACTATATTGCATGGAATTATAGCTAACCGGGAAGAGGCCTATTAATATTAGGACTGTTACCCTAGCCTATTGCATACCCAGGTGTAGTTTATATTTGTACTAATATCAATATGTGGGCCTAATATTTTGTAACTAAATTTTGAGACACTTCTAATCCAGCAATGATGTTCAAACTTACCAAATCCAGATGAATACCAAGTGACCAATGCTTACTAAAGAAAGTTTATACTGTTATCATTTAGTCAAGTGTATGAGGGTTTCAAAACAATTTTGAATATGTTTGGTTGTAGTTATTCATTAACAATAACACTGCATGTAGCCTTTTTTTCACCTCTGTCACACTAATGAATAAGAAAATGAGGTTGTTTTAAACTTAGTGAAGGAAATACTACTCACTTTATAAACTTTTTCTTCTTTGTTCTTAATTTTAGTGTTGGAGGGGATTCCCCTTTGCGGCAAGACTTGCTAAATACTAAAAAGGCAATAACATAATTGAGTCTGAAAGAATTATTGGCCTAAATAATGATCCAGCAAGTTCTCATCCAATGTCATACCAAAAGAAAAAAAAATTAAGTATACCTGACAACTGGTTATACACCATTGAGGCCATTGACTCTGATTTCTGCTTGCTTTTCTTTTTGGATTTGCTTCCAAAGCCTTTGTGCAACTAAGAACAAACTACAAGGCAGCAGTTGTTTGGTTCTGGAGTTGTCTCTCCTAGAAGAGTGGCTATCCCTAACGAGCCTCATCTGTCAGAGGGTTCGAACTCAAGACTTTTCAGTTTAGCAACCATGATTATACATATAGACAAGAATTCTGTCCATATGTATAATTTTGATATGGTATTTTTCTTCAGCAACATTTACATACTAGTGTAACTTTGTTCCTGTCTATTGATATCACACAAATGTTTAAACCAGTGATATTGTATGCTACAAACATTAATCATTTAAATCTTACCTAATTGTAAGTTTTCTAATAGAATGTTACCATTTTCAATAGGATGCTTTTGTTGAGTACTTCCCAGACCAAGGAGAATTTGAAGAAAAAATGTGGAAAGGAGTGTTGTTTACAGCAATTGGATTAGGAGCTTTGGCAACTGTGGTTGCTTCCCGATAGATGTTGAAACCTGATATATTACATTCAAATAAATAGAATCTGCACAATGTAAGATAAAGTGTTTATAACAGACTGTAAATAAGTTTTCGTTCAGGACAAAACAGAAAAGATCTTAGTTCTATGTGATCTAATTTTGCCTACTCCAGCAGAAATTGATTTAGTGTGAAACCAAAGTTTATCCCATGTACATACATGTCTACCAAGTTTTAGGCATTTAAGAAATTAGTTAATCATTGTGTCAGGCTGCAAGTTCTTTAATTTATGAAATTAAAACAAAGCTTGTTTTTAAAAGTAGTTTTGTTGTAATTTACCTTCTTAATTGTTGGCCAAGATGTCAGATTTATATTTATTATTATTATTAACCAATTCCAACTGTTTGCAACTATAAAGATATAGGTTTTTATTGTGTTTCACTTTTGTTCATTATTTTAATAACTATACCAGACTATATAAACTGTGTAGAGGAGAAGTAAAAATGTGATAATTGTTCCAAATAACAATTAGTTTTTGTTTAATGAATGTGTTTTTAAGTTTTCCATGGGATCTGGTAGATTACATACATATTTCTTTTACTCTAGCATTTTATTAATTTTAATCAAATTATCAAGGAATCTGCAAAATGTATACTATATATACTAAAAAGATTTTGCCTCGTTAAAGTTTGGAATAGATTTTAACTTAAGTCCAAGTATTTGTTGATTAGATATTTTTATGTGTGCAATACTTTAGAAAGAAAATCATTTGTAATGTTTGTATATTTGATACTATGGTATTAAATTTGTAAATTTTCACATTGACTGGGTATGGTTGATCACAATTGTACTACTAAGGGGCCTACTAAGCTATAAAATTACTCTGTTAACTCTCCTTCTTCTCAGGTATAAAATGTATTTAGAAATAGTAATAATGAAACAGAAATGTTGATAATTAGTGTCTTTGTAGATGACAGTATGAATGTATTTGTATTTAGCACTTTTTTAATTTAGAGAAATTTACATGCTGTTTTAACTATTTATTGCATATGTTTTAATAATATAGTAATGTTATTTAACAATTTGTAGAGTAAAATAATGGACTTAATGTTATATGAGTCTAATTTTTATACCAACACATTAGGTTAGCGAAAACTCGCCTTTGTTTTGGGAAATAAAACTAAACTTTGATGCTAACTTTTAGTGAACAGCAAACAAAAACCTTGGCAGTTTATGACAGTGTCACTGTCAGCTATACATACACTGGAGATTTGTCTGTCAAATAAGGGATACTTTTAAACTCATAATGTACAAAATAAATGATGTTTCAATCTTAGACTTGTTATAAATTATATGACTGGTGTTGTACCCTCATTGTAAGCCTTGGTCGTCTTACTGTTTCTGATTTTGTAGGAACTATATTATTAGTAAATAATAATAATGTCTGTTATATTTTTTGTATTTTTGGATGTCACTGTTGCTGGACCTAGGACAGTTACAATACACAAATGGCTGCTATTGGTCACCTGGGGTCTTCACGTTGTGTTCAGGCAATCCAGTGTCAACCATATTTTTGTTTTAACTTTTTAGCTTTCCACGTCAGCTTATGCAGTATTTGTTTCCAAAGTCTCTCCTGAAAAAGAAATATCTGAAACCTAAATATTTTCAGATTTTTTTTGACATGGGGAAGGGCGATTACTGTTTGCAGTAGATGTATATGCATTAGTGACATGGAATGTTTACAATAAAACTTTGGACTGACTTTTCCTAGTCAACTGTAGGCCTATTTGTCCATGTTCGTTGTTTGTTGTACTCCACACCTTTTGATAATTGATTACATGAACTGTTTATAACAAATAAATAATCGACAAGTACTACTTATTAATTTGTTGAGTGTTTATCTAGGCTGTATCAGTGTATGAGCGTAGGAGAAAACATTTTTACTCTAGTTATTATTATATCAAGATTGTATGGGTAAGGGGTCATCCATAAATGACGTCACGCTTTTTTGGACGATTTTTACCTCCCCCCCCTCCCCTCCGTCACACGTCGTCACAAAAAGCCAGGACCCCCCCCCCCTAAAATGACGTCACACCTCAACCTACAACCCCCCTCAAAATTGCAGTTGAATTTTCTTAAAACATCGATATTTTTCTAAAATCTTGTCTAAACTATTACAATTTATTAAAACAGTTATCTAAAATGCGAAATAACGTCTAAAATTCGTTTTCTAACATTGCTTTTTTATAATGCAAAAATGTGACGTCGCAACATCTGACCCCCTCCCCTCCCCCTCATCACACATCGTCACAAAATTACGGACCCCCCCTCCCCCCTACGAGTGTGACGTCATTGATGGATGACCCCTAAGATGAGTTGATTAAAAGAAAAGTAAATGTATGTATAATATATTGAGTATAGTAGGGCCTATTTTGAGTTACAGAAACATGTCATTCAACCGAAACTGGGAAATTTTGATGCCTTTTCTATTGGGTTTTTCCACGAAATAGAAATTTACTTCATAAACTTATGGGGGGGGGGGGGGGGAAGAGGGGAAACGAGTAGGAGTCAGGAAGCATGTGTGCCGGTTAATTTTATTCCGCGTGTGTGATTGCTGAGATTAGTGAATACGTTCTAAAAACTTCAATTTCTTTCAACTTGAAAAATGAAAGCTAAGAAAAGAAGGCAATAGGTTTTATATTATCTGCTAAATATATCTATAAAGTGGAGAAAAACATTTACTTAAGAACCTTTGGGAAACAATAGTTCCTAATGTAAAGTCTGACACTTAAAAACGGGGAAAATGTGGTGTTTCGATCAGTTTAGTGACAGAACTACTTAAAAACGTGATATGGTCGTATGTTTTGCTTAGACGTATCTTTATGGGTGCGTCCTATAAATTCATATCGTCGTTGTCCCAACCCACCCGAAACCGATCCCTAACTTAAGATTAAGCTATAGAGTACTAGATCTCTAGATCTAGAGACCTTACGGTTGCGTGGGCTGGGCACAACAGCGATTCAATAAAAAAACCTTTTATAAATGGCAGTAGACCACAGAAAAAATAAGCCTATTTTGCTGACAGAGACTGTATGCCTATACAGCCTCTATATATTGATATTGGCCCATAGGCCCTTTAGCCTATAATTATAAGCCTCTCTCTCTATATATATTGGCCTATATAAATATCCACACATAGACCTTATATATATATATATATATATATATATATATATATATATATATATATATAATGTATATATATTTATATATATTTATATATATATATATATATATATATATATATATATATATATATATATATATATATATATATATAATGTATATATATATATATATATATACAGGGGCGTCGCTAGGTCGGGTGTCACCCGGTTCGGCATTTCGTGGTGTCACCCCCACCCCCAAGAAACAAAGTATATATATATATATATATATATATATATATATATATATATATATATATATATATATATATGAGTGTGTTTATGTATCGGCATACATGGCCTATAATTTAAATATATGCCACATATGCATACATGTGTGTTTAAAAGCTTTAATCACTGCAGACATAATAGTAACGATGTTTATCTATAGCCTGTTAATAATATAGTTGGATGTAGCATTGTTTTCTCTATAGTTAGCACGTTCATGTCATGGTGTCACCCTCACCTCATGTAATAATTGTTGATTTGTTATTTAAAGGCTATTTAGATTTTATTGATTATTAATTGAAATGGAAAAAAAAAAAGCATTTCTCTTCTGTACATTTTTACAATTTTTTGCCTTGGTGTCATACCCCTAAATGGTGTCACCCGGTTTTAAGTGCATATCTTCAAAATAATTTTTTAAATTTAATTTTCAAATTGTGGGACCATTAAAAACACTAGTTTTATTGCCCCAAAATGAAGTGTTTCGAACGGACACAAATTTTGAAAATTCATAATAAATTATTTTGAAGATATGCACTTAAATTTTTTAGCTGAGTGCCCCAAAATATGGAAGAAGATTATGAAATAATTATTTATTGGGCATAAAATATAATATTTTATGAATGGTGGAAAACCTACGAGGGGGTGAACTTTTCAAGATGGCCGCCGTTGTCATAGTAACCAAGATTTTTCCACCAATTTTTTTGAGAAGAAATGCATATGCGGATGTATCTAACAAAGCTGTAAAGAAATATCTGTTTTCTAACGAGTATTAAAAAGTTGTTTTTTTTACCGGAGCCCCCCCCCCCCCCCCCCAATGTCAATTTCATACATAATATTAATGCACGCGTTTTTTTTTTTATGGAAACACCCAGAAGTGTATCTCTGTAATCTGTATTGTTGACCACTTTTTAAAAAGGAAGTAATATTTTTCTATTCGAAGACAATTTTCCGAAGTCAACTTTCGGGTGTTGGATCGTTAAAAAACCCCCCCAACAACCTAAAACTTATCCAAGAGGATTATATTTAATTAATTTAAAAAAAAAACTTGTTTAAGGTTGACAAATGAGGAAACATCACGTGACCGGGACGTGTGCTGGCATGGCATGCACGACGGGCAGCAAAACAAGCTTGAATTATTTGGAGAATAGGTCTTTAGGGCATTTAATTATAACGTGAGCAAAGTAAATTTAAACTCCACGTCACGTCCACAGTAGTTAATCTGTGGGACCCACCCATCCCCAGTTATCTGATTGGACCAGAGACTTAGCAACCAGTGCTTCTTTCAGACATGATTCATGTAGGGGGGGGGGGGCGGGAGGACACTTGTAAAATTATGTATTTTCTATATAAATTCTATTTTGATCGGGTCACTGTGCCCTAACTTAAGAAGACCAGATGTTGCCTCATGTCCCCCTCTCTCCACAAAGTTGATGGACCCAAGGGACAGGACATTACACGTGCAGCTTGAAATCAGCAGTGTCGCATGAGCTGCCAAAAGGAAACCATAGTTGGCAATGTTATCGCCTAAGGGGCACAACCCTTTGTTTTACCCCCGGAGTTTTCTCTCCTAGATGGGTTGATAAAGGTATATGTTACAGGCTCCTTGCAAGACTTCTAACATATACTATAGTCCTAGGCCTAAGGGGTCGTCCATAAATGACGTCACACTCGTAGGGGGAAGGGCTGGTCCGTAATTTTGTGACGGTGTGTGATGAGGGGGAGGGGGGTTCAGATGGTGCGACGTCACACTATTGCATTACAAAAAAGCAATGTTAGAAAACGAATTTTAGACGTTATTTTGCGTTTTAGAAAACTGTTTTAATAAATTGTAATAACAATTGATTAAAATACTCTATTTTGACAGAGTTCAGACAAGATTTTGGAAAAATATAGCTGTTTAAAAAAAATTCAACTGCAATTTTGAGGGGGGGTGTAGGCTGAGGTGTGACGTCATTTGGGGGGGGGGGGGTCTGACTTTTTTGTGACGTCGTGTGACGGAGGGGGAGGTAAAAATCGTCAAAAATGCGTGACGTCATTTATGAATGACCCATAAAGTGTATGATTTTATGTTCCAAATACTGCTTACATGATACAAATGTTACATTGCATTTGCATTTCGAAAACTTTGACTGGTATAATTCAAAACTGCAGCTAAAACAAGTTTAAAAAAATGTCTACCCATTTTGGCACCCCGTAAGGAATAGCGCCTGGGGCGGCCGCCCTCCCCACCTCTAGCTGGCACCTGCTTCATCGAATATCGTACGCCATAGTGTCCCAATTATAAGGCACTCTTTAAAACGAAATTAAAATCCATATTGCTCACGAGAGCCCGGATGGCCGAATCACTCTGCCAGGGCGCCGGAGGTCGCGACTGATTCGATTTAGTGAATGATTATAGTAGCTCATCGTATCCATAGTATATCGCACTGCTTTAAACGAATGTAGGCGCCACAGTGCTCACTGGAGAGCCCAGGCGCAAATCGCAACCTGCTGGGCGCCGCCCATCTTAAATTTGATCATTTCGTTTATTTTAACCCATAGCATAAATAGTGTATGGCGATGAATGTGGGCGCCATAGAGCTCATGGGGGGAGGTCGTGTCGCACCGAGTAACACGACCGCCTCGGCGGATGACCGTAGATTCAAGTAATGATACTGATAGTAATACCCCCGTGCAGGACGACAATCAACGGATCCCATGTATTAAGAAATCCGCTGATGAACTAAAGGCGCTAAACAGCGCCCTTAAAAAATATTTTTCCCCGCAGAAACTGTCCCAGGAGTTTTTTCAACTCCCCAAGGTTTCATGGCAGTTGGATGGAAAATATAGATCTAGTAATGCATAAAATAAAAGACACAAATAGACAAACCCTCAAACACACACAAGCCCTACTTTACACATTTGCCTTAATTTTAATATAGATAGTGATATATTATGAAGGCCGGCAAAGTACCAAAAATAAAATAGCTGTAAAACCAATATAGAGATCTGAAACATCTGAACCTTAGACAAAACAGGCACAAGTACAGCGAGAGAATGAGGAGATACATTGCACATTTTCTGTTGAGCATTTTTCCAGGAATCTGTGTCGTATTTTGAACATCAGGTGGTCTAAAAAAAATTACAAACACCGAACAAATGAGAAAAAAAAAATAGCAAAATCCTATTGGTAAGGAAATTAAAAGTGCAAATGGGGGATGGATTGGATACAACTTGCACATACCAACTAACTAAATCAGCAGAGGCGTAGTGGGGGCGGGCGGACCGCACCGTGTGACACCATTTGGGGATGACACCATTTTAATTAGAGTTACATTTTGTTTTTGTTTTTTAAGAGCGAAATTGATGGCACTATGACATACACTTGCTATGTTACATCAAGCTGTATTAATAACCGACTATAGATAAACATCTCCCGAACAAGGAAATATGGCGAGAGGATTAAACGACATTGTTTCAGAAGTTCGAATGAGGAGATGGAGATGACTGGGCCATGTCCTACGCATGAGCAAAAACATGGCGCTGAAGTGGACTCCGCCTGGAAAGCGAAAGAGAGGAAGACCACTGGGAACATGGAGGAGAGAGATGGAAGAAGTGCAGGCTACTGGCAAGACCTGGCATGAGCTAAAGTGGCTCTCCCAAGACAGTGGAGTGGCGGAGATTTGTTATTACCCTATACTCCACATGGAGTGATGAGGATTAAGTAAAAAAAAGTATAGATAAACATCGTTACCATTATCCGTCCAAAGTTTAGAACTATCAAAGGTGGTGGGGGGGGGGGGGGGAGGCTGACACCAACGTTCACCTCTAGGTGCCGCACCAGGGGACACCCGATCTAGCAAAGCCACTGCCACCCAGGCATACGATTAGATTGGAAAGAGACAACTTGGTAGTTTCTACTCTAGGTCAAAACAAATATGGAAAAGCACAAGCAGTCGTAATGTCATGGCCCCCAAAGTTAAGGAATCGCACAAAAACCGAAGGCACGGTGTGGCCTAGCCACAGAGCTAGACTGTTAAATCACATGCTAAAGCAACTGGGAATAGTGCTGACCGCACTATCCTTTCATATGCCGAGGTCACAGAAACAGGTGAACTACTTCACTTGTCCCTAGATCATCAGGTTTGAAAGGGAACTTTTTTTTTTACTTACTAAAGCCGATTTTTATGATGGCGCTTTAGTAATTTTTGGTAAGAGAACTGCACTAAAAGAAAAATGTGACCATACTAATACTAATACTATCTGAACAAATAATAGGTTAGGCCTATAAAAATATATAGCCTACATCTTAATATCCTATTTTTTATGTTAACATTAACAATATTTAGATCTAATGATAGAGCTGTTAAAATCACTCAAAAGTTGTTAAGTGTTACTTTTCACAGAATTTCTATATTTGATATGGATCTATAAAATGTGTTGCATTGATCACAACTGGCGGATAGGCCAAAGTACCATGTAGGAATGTAGGGGAAGAAAGAAAACCTGTAATAATCCATCACATGATTCAGAGATTAAAATAAGATTGAGCTAAAATAAATTCTTGTACTTAAACACAGTTCATAGAGGTTATATTAGAAATATTAGAAATATATCATAATACAAAACAATGCAACAGTGTTAAGGAAAATCTATAGCTTCAATATTTTGCATATCAATAGAAATTGAATTAAAAAATAATATTAGCTAATTTTAAAGTACTTAAGTTTTTACAAATGCAGATACACATTCTAAATACAATAATTTGTGATCTAGAGCAGGGGTCTCCAAACTACGGCCCGCGGGCCGAATGCGGCCCGCAAGGTCCTCTCATCCGGCCCGCGGAGATATTTTTGTCCACGGAAAAATGTTTGTTAGAGGTGGCTGAGGAACTTTGCCCAGAAAATTCAAAACTATTTGAAAATGTAGTTTTGGGTGCAAATACCATTGCCCGCCGTGTTGCAGACATTAATGAAAACATTGTAACTCAAACAGTGAAAAATGCATGCAAGTTTCGCCATTTTTCAATTGCAATGGATGAGTCACTAAAATTTATATATATATTTCTATATAATTTATATTTCATTGGGGGGTGGGGGGCGGGGTAGGTAAAGGGGGGTATATGTTCTTCGGTGGGGAAGGGGGGGGGGGGGGGGCTCCGCCACCCCAAAGAGATGCCCAGAAGAAACTGGCCCCCGAACTGATATTTGATAGTTAATGCGGCCCTCGGGCTAAATAGTTTGGAGACCCCTGATCTAGAGCAAAAAAAAAAGTAATTATGGAGTCTAAAAATAAAGGATGTTACTTAGATAACTGAAAAATAGATACAATAAAACACATAATAAAATTTGTAGTATTATTAAATAATTTATTTATTTTTAAAAAGAGATAGAAATTTGAAAAATGAAATAAAAGATAATAGCACCATATTATGTCTATGTTAACAGCGGGCCTTTTAGTTAGAATGGCACAGTGTGAGGAATCTTTAAGTATATAAGAAGTCTTATCTTCACATTTCTCCAAGATGAGAATCTCACCAGGTAAAAAGTTCACTTCTTTAAATGTTTTCAAGAAAATATTTTCACTGACCACAAACAAGAATATATTGAGGAATCTGCAACATTTACCTTCTGCGGTTAGTATACCGCTCTTTGCTATCATTATGTCTTGATCGAGCTTTTTCGTTAGTAAAGTTTTCATTTCTGAAATTCTTCTTTTCACTACCTGTCACTGAATCCAAATCTGCTCTAATGATTGGTTTTCTGAATGGTCTGTCTCTTCCACCAAATCTTAACTGACCAGATTCACGCTTTCCACCTAAGCCACCACCAAATCTTCTTGGAATCCACCCTTTCAAAATTCTTTCTTTTTCCATCTCTAAGAGTACATTATGATCATCAACCATACAGGGATGGCCAGATCGAACACAGTTTCTTGCCTGATATTTATCTTCAAACTCAATAAACGCATAACACTTAGAGAAACCAGTAACAATATCTCTGACTAACCTAACATTAATTATTGTTCCAAATTGTTTTAAACACATTTTCAAGCTATCCTCTGTGGTGTGTGGACTTAACCTACCAACAAAAATTGTTCTTTCTGGGTCTCCTTTGACATATTTATTTGGTCTGTAATTACTCTGTAGTGCCCTAGAGATTGCTCTGTCATGTGGATATTCATCAGTTCCATCAATACTTCCAGCTTTTAAAGGATCATAGGAATCCACAAACACAGGTGAAAAGCTTTCCATTTGAACCTTAAGAAAATAAGAAAGCAATAATCAAATTAATTTTGACGCTGATGTTAGCACCACATACTTGAACAATAGGCCTAGTTGGAAAATCCATTTATTATGAACAATCCAAATAGATTTTGATCAAAGTAATTCATTTATTACATATGTAGTGTGTGAAATATAATTGATATTGATCATACCTTATAATATAACAATAAAAATAAAAGTGATGTCGTTGACAATCTCAAATAGCTATTGTTAATGCTTTGATGTAGATAAAGTCACTTTATGCACTTACACTGACCCCTCAATAATGACAGAAATTTTGTCAGACTGACAAGAAAACGTAAGCCTAAAAAAACTAGATCTACTAAGACCATACAATATATAAAACCAAAACAAATTCTCTCAAATTGTGCCTTGCTATCTAGACTAGTCTAGAGAAGATCTAGAGTATTTTTTAAACTCTTCAGTAGTACGCCATTTCCTTGCCGAGAATCAGAAATGACATCTAACCCTGAAACGTCACTCTCTGGTTTTGTGAGTTTATATGTTTAGTTTAGGGTCCTATCTACGACAAATGAAAAAACTATTAATCTCGCAAAATCTCATAATTATTTTAACATGAGACGCTATGGAAATGGACACTGTGCCTCGGAATGAGAGAAAAATTAGCGAGATATGTGATTAATAATAGATTTTTTTGTCAAGTACTCTTAGTAAAAACTGAGCAACCGCCTTAAATGACCCTGTATATAGTCGATACACCCCAGTACATGTGTAGTATATATAATTAAAATATTTATGATTAATTACAGTTCTGTAGATACATTTTTCAGATGAAGTACTCATGTCGCCAATTCCGGTCCATTATTTTTAGAATCGTTACATAATTGTTGCGCTAGTTCTCAGATAGAAACAGCTAATTTTTGTTTTTTGCTGAATGAACTGTTAAGTCTAGTATTTTAATTTTAATTCAATAGTAGCATGTGCAGAAAAAGTAAAATTATGGACATTATTAAAGTATTAGTAATTTTAGAATGAATTAGATGAACTCTACTTCATCTGCCCCATGTGTCTTGGGCACGAACAAGATTAAGAAGTAGAAGAAATAGATCTACTAAGTAAGTTACTAAGCACGTACAAGTAATGAGTAATTAATAAATTATTAAAACTATAGATAGGCCATAGGCCTATAATTTGCTATAATATAATTATAAATATTAAATAAGGGGTCGGTCAGCGTGGTCGAGTCTGTAAAGCTCATGTTTGCTAAACTCGAGTTCGAACCCTCAAGCAGATGAGGCTCGTTAGTTGGGGACAGCAACTCTTCTAGGAGAGACAACTCCAAAATCAAACAACTGCTGCCTTCCAACAGTACTTAAAATTATTAATTAATATTAATTAATATTAAATTGAAAACTGATTGAGTCTGCTGATTCACTGATTGAACTGGATTCCATTCTTCTCTCCTCGAGTCATCTAAATCTACACACTTACTGAGCCTCACTTCTCAGTTGTAATAATAATGGATTTTATTGTCTGATTGTCTTCATCCTTGTTCTTAATAAGTCTTAATTATATTAATATTCTCATTCTGATCTATCAAAGTCAAATCATTAATTAAATTATTAATCATCTGATTTGTTGATCTGAGACGACTGAGACATTCATCCTGGCCTATGACAAATATAAAAAATAAATGATAGTGCTGTTCCTATCGAGCAGAGCCCATAAATAATAAATAAGTTACCTGCAATAGCACAATTAATTAAATTTTCGACCAAATAATGAGTGTACTAAGGTTTGAAAATGTTATTCTACTGAGCTATCAAACTAACTTGGCGGCCATTTTTTGTTAAGAATTTATTTTTAATTAAGAGTTGTGTACCTTTAGTTTACATTTTTTATTTTTTTGGGCTTAGGCCTAGATTGTAGGGATAGCCTTTAATATAGGCTTAACATTCACTTTAGACAGGCCCAACTAATAACCACTGCAATGTGTATGATAATGACCTTGAATGTTTCCTTAATTATATTTAATATTTATAATATATCCACTCTGTTGAGTTTTAAGAGTCCTATAAGAATAATATGATCATATTTGCTTATTTTATACTTTTTTGCTCTTTGTAGTCCATCAAGAAAAGTAGATGTCCCCTATTGGTATTAAGGGGCATTTTAATCTTTTTTATTTTATATTCCATATAAGTGGCCTCCTCTTTTAGGTTTTTGTAGGTCTGTCTTATTTTTTTTTCTGCTTTATAATTTAAAAATTAGATTCTGTTAATTTTTTTAGGTGGTCAAAAAAGTTTTCTGTAAAAGAAGAAAGAAAAACATCAACCAACCAGTATACATGAATTTTATTATAGTAAGAAAAGTTTCCAATAAAAATCATGAACTGAAGTGCATATTACTAAGTGTCTGAGCTGTCTATAAATAATACAACTCAAATAAGCTTGGATTTGTACATTCTTAGAACCTGAAGCTTGTACAAAAAGGCTATTTATTGGTTAGTACCATGTCTTTATAATGATTAGACAATGAATTTTCGGCAGCTACAACCTTTCATGCTATTCGTCACAAGCTTTATTTAGATGGTAGCATTAACAGTATTACAACCAGTCAGGATTTTTTCACAAGTTGTTTTCATCACTAATAATGAAAACTATGTTGCATTTTACAGTGACTTAAAAAACAGCAGTTCACAAATAATAGTCAGATATATAGAGACAAAATAGCTAGAAACTACTGGCCAGCATACACCTCAACCAGTAGGTATTTATTAACTCTACAGCTTATATACTTGAACTGCACACAGTTCACAAAAATAATATTCATCAAATGTACTCTTTACACACATAAAAACATAATTGATTCCAATACCATCTTTTAAAGGCAAGAAGGCAGATTAAAAAAATGTTAGCATAAGTATGGTTTTCTTACTTGAATATTGTATCAGTTATACAACCCTTGAGTTAACCTAAGCACAAAGAAAGAGCCAATTACATAATACTGCTTGTTTTATTCTCATTGGCTTTTCAAATGTGTTTTCCATTAGTTTAATTAAACCAAATCAATATTATAACATAATCCTCCATTTACAAAATAATAGACATAAATGACATAACTGGTGTCCACAAAACATATACATAGGGGTGGGGCATATATTAGGAATTTGCTTAGGGCAGGGATGCAGTTTCTTTGTTGATTGTTTATATGCATAGAAGAAATCTATTCATGTAAAATAAAAAAAAGGGAGTTAATGCTGCAACCATCTTGCAATGTTATTCTCATAAAACAACACCAACAAAAACAAAAGATAATACATAATGAGAACTAGACTAGCTGTTAAATATCATGCAAAATATGTTTTATAAAGTATCAATTTAAAAAGCAAGTTTTTAAATGTCAAATAGCTGTTAAAAATACATTGAACACCTTAAAAAGTTTAATGCAAGAATTTTCCTTTTATTAAAAAAAATGGAGACAATGTTCATTAACACCAATCCAGAGGAAATATTAAAAATCCAACATTTAAACATAATGATGGCACAATGTACAGACAACAAAGTCTTGTTACAAAACTTACATGAAATGTTCGGACAGAAATTTGATACAAACAAATGAAATTTCATCACAAAAATGTATAAAAATTTAATCCAAGCCCTTATTTCTGGAGACCATTTATTATAAATACATATTTTTAAAAATGGTTATTTTAAACCTAAATGCAATAGCCAAAATTGTGCCATGTCAAACTATTGGAAGTGGAATGTGTAAACATTGCAATGGGAAATCCTAAATTTTTTTTTTAAAAACTAAAATTCTTGTATAGAATAATAAATCCTTATCTCAAGCCCATAGTCATTTATGAAACTCATGGTGATAACGCACTACGGAGACAATATTCAGTTTAATATTGTGATTATAATAAGTTTAAACATAAGAAAAGTGTGATATGGTTCATCAAACAAGGGGGAGGTTAAAATTAAGGCACTTTTTTTTTCTATTTGGATTCAGTGTTCTACTAATACTTGAACACAACTTCTATGTTTGCTAGTGCCAACAAGATCACAGAATCAGACATCAACTCTGGTTGTTACATGCAAACATACAAGATCTCATATGACCTTTTTGTTATACAGAGCAGCTATACACAAAAATACCATTAGGTCTAATTGTTACTCATCTCTAACATACCATTAGATCTAGTTGTTTCATAAACATATAATTAGAATAAGTTGTTGCAATTGCAAGTACAGTATAAATAATACAAGCCAACCTTGAGAAAAGAATTTACAATGATGAAATATAGCACTTAATTACAAAAATGGAGGAAAACATGAATTTTTTCCATTAGCACTTTAATTACTATAAAGCAAATGAAATAAACATTTTATGTAATAACAAGCCATCAATATTTTGTTATAGGTATATATCTACAACAACTGCATGTTTTAAATTGGTGGGCCCATTATTTAAAGACTCCAGCAATTACAAATTACAGTTACTACCGAAAAATCCATGCTTTTCTTAAAACAATATGTACAGCAAATATTTTGACAGACAATTAAAAGCAAACAAAATCAGAATACTAGACTGTTACAGCTTGAAGATTATGTAACTTTAAAAGTACTTCATGAAAAGTGGGTCTCTTTTCTGGGTCCATCTCCCAGGCTTCTTTCATTATGGCATAAATCTCTGCAGGACAGCCTTCTGGAGCTTCCATTCTATATCCCTTCTCTACATGCATCACAACATCTGTTAAAGGCTGCACAAGATTTAAAAGGATAACATCAAGGCACTCAAGTTTATTGTATAAGCAGGATTAAGGCTATTAAAAGCAAATACATAAGTAAAACCCTAACCAGCTACATAACTATTCTAAAGTTAAGTACAAAAGTGGATGTAAGAAAACCCACAAGCTTTAAAAATGGTTCTAGTCTAACAAGTGCAGATTGAACTTACTATTCTAGGATATGGCACTCGACCAAAAGAGTAGATTTCCCACAGTAGTATTCCAAAACTCCACATATCTGATTTGTTTGTGAAACTCTGCAAAAAATAATAAAGGAAAAAAAATTAAGTGAAGAGAAAATTTAACTGGATAAATATTGAATATTAAAACTAAAAAAAAACAACCATTTCCAAATTGACTATACTTACATTGTTTCTTAGAGATTCAGGGGCAGTCCATTTAATAGGAAATTTTTGACTACTAAAACTGAAGTCAACAAATTTGGCTAAACCAAAATCTGATACCTGAAAGTGAGAAGAATTGACTAAGACACTAAGAATATTTTAGTTTTGCCTTCTCATGCTTCTTAAAACTTGCTGTATGATTCACAGAATAATATCAACAGTTCAAATTCCACCCAAACTCAATGTCAGTAAAAAAATTCCTCACCTCATCATCAATCACTGTTTACATTTCACTTTTTTGTCAATAATATAACAAACATATCATACTGTTTTACCTTTGAAGTACCATCATCATGAACCAATACATTTCTTGCAGCCAGATCTCGATGAACGAGTTCTTTGCTCTCTAAATACTCCATGGCAGCACAAGTATCACTGGAAACAAAAAGTATGAATGTCAATAGTTATCTTACAATACTGTGCATAGTATTTGTATAGAATGGCAGGATTACATGAATGATTTTAAAATGATTGTTTTCATTGCAATGATTTTTGAGATAAGAGCTCATGCCACAAAGACAAGGTTTGATTCAGATTTGTTGAATGACTCTAAATCAGGGGTCTCCAAACTTTTCAGTCCGAGGGCCGCATTAACTATCAAATTTCAGTTCAGGGGCCAGTTTCTTCCAGGCATGTCTTTGATTTTTCTGGGCAAAGTTCCTCAGCCATCACCAACAAACGATTTTTCCTTGGACAAAATGATCTCCACGGGCCGGATGAGAGGACTTCGAGGGCCGCATCCGGCCCGCGGGCCGTAGTTTGGAGACCCCTGCTCTAAATCAACAAAATTTTACTGCTAATTTTACTACTTGAAGGAAGTAAATTGTAGTAGAGAACTATTAGCCATAAACATAAACTTCCCACAAAATCAACTTATGGTGGTAATTACTGATCATAATATATATCATTAAAAAGTATTTGTTTTTACTTACGTAGCAAAATTGATTTGGTTTTTCTTGGTGATAACTGTTCGACCTCTAGTTCTTAAATACTCCACAAGGTTTCCCTTGCCCATGTACTCAGTTACAATAATACTAATAATTGAGTCATTCAGCACAATTCCTATTAGCTTCACCAAGTTTGGATGACTTAGACCACTGTAAAGAAAACACACAGTAGACTGAAAATAATGGTTCAAATTGATAAATAAGAGTATTTTATTTTTAAAAATATGCTGATGCATTTTTCAAACACAGTACTTTTTGCTACAATTATTACAAAATTATAACAAAAAACAATATACAGAGAATAAGTATAATTGGTAGATTTACTACTATAAAAATGCCATTTAAAAAATAAAAGATGTGAATAAAACCTTAATGTTAATTATTTAAATTTTAAAATTCTTAATAATGCAAAACAAAATGTCAACATTAGCACTGGTGCTTGTTACTTAAATAATAATTAATATCACTGTATTTTGTGCATCATAACAAGACTGATTTATTGTTAGATTTCTAATTTCAATATTTATCCTGCCCTTAATTAAAAAACTAAATTCATCAATTGTTACAAATCATAGAAATGAAAAATATATTTCTATTATCTAATTCCTATCAAATATTGTCATTATGTGAAGAGAATCCTACACATTTCTGCATTTATAAATAAATGCAAAATTCCAATGCATATTTCTTAAAGTAGTAAACTGATTATAAAAGACAATGAACCCCCAAACATAATTCATAAAAAAGATGAACTCACGTCATAACAGAGGCTTCCTGTAAAAATGCCTGACTTCCTCTATCTTGATCTTTTAGTTGTTTAGCTGCCACAGGTATGTCATGATAAAAACCTTTGTAGACATCTTTAAAAAAAAAGACATTGAACTTATATTAGTGGAGTTTTTTTACCACAGAATTTAGCACATAGGGAGGAGAAAATAAGGCAAGAAGCATAGTATCAGAATGGAGCATAGTTTGTAAGACCATCAGTCATTGCATAAATCAATCTACTACACATAACTGCTGGCTTAAATTTGACTAATTTACACACATGCAATACAAAATAACAAGACAGATGATGAACTAATTTCCGCTAAAACCACCTCCAAAGTCGCCCTTTCCAATGAGTTCACCCAGTTGAAGATCATGTCTGTTTATAACCCATCCTCCATTCAAAAAATCCTGAACACAAACAGTTCCATAACTATCGCCCTGTTTAGGAAGTGGTCGAATCAGTCTTGTACATAAACCATCTGCATCTTTTTTGTAATGCTGAAAGAATAATATGCAATTTTAACATTTTAATTAAAAATTATTGATGTAAATTTTAAAATGAAATATAAAGTAATACTAAAATTAAACTCCAAATGAGTTAGTCCAACTACATAATAATTATAAAATAAATACAAGGGCTTCCATTTAATAGAGATGCATGGCATTTTAGGGTATGCTAATATTTAAAAGTTAGTGTAGTTAGTAAGTTAGATTCACAAGTTAGAAATAATAATGACTAAAGTTTTTAGTTTAAAAAATCCAGTCTAAATGCCTGATTTCTCAAAATGACACAGCACAAGGTTTATGGTGTTAGAACTCACTGAGTTATTATAAGGTAAAGGTTTAAATGTTTTAGTTGACATAGGGTAGCATTGAAGACAACCGAACACAAAAAAAAAAGAAACTATAGAAATTACTCAGCCCATCTATCATGTTAAGTGATTGAAATTACTGTGTCCTGTCACCCTTTTAAGCAGATTCCAAGGTTATTGTAAAATATGTTCAGAAAATATACTTTTAAAAGAATGATGAAGACAAAAAAGTTGGGTTAAGATGAGGAGACATCTTGTGACATTGGAGAAAGTGCCTTGTGTCAGGGTCACAATTTCTTAACTTAAGCCCATTATTGTAGCTAGATAAGCCTGCCAATCATTAAATGCAACAATATTTGTGTAGAAAATGATTTTGTAATGTTTTAGAAAATTTTTTAAAATCCAGCAATAATGATAAACAATTAAGAAATGCAAAGAGGTTAATCATGAAAGCATCTGCTCAACCCTTAAGTCAAATTTTGCAATTATTTTTCACTGCATGAATACGGATTAAATATAATGATTTGATTGTAAAGGTGATAAATCTAAGAAAAAATAAATTGAATGCCCACATTGATTAAACTATTAGTTTCTTGTACCTGCACAAGTTCTTCCAGGTTTTGAAACTTTTCCTCATCATCTATAGACAGCAGGTTATCTGCGTACTTAATATGGTAATGCTCCACCCGGTCTTGGAAGCAAACACAAAGTGTGTAGTCCCCTACATAATTGCTGCTATCTCGAATCAAAAACAAACCATTCTCTCTTGGTGTCAACAGTCTCTCTGCTTCCTGTCGGCCGATCTTACCATGGTACCATCTACAACAGATAGATGCATGCAATGACTTTGGTTTTTCAACAGGCAGTGCCAAATAATACAACCAAAATTTCTCTTAAAATGTGTCGAGGTTTTTTCTTTTTTTTTTCCTGTTGAGATGGCTTGTTTGGAAGGACAAGGAAGAAATAGCTGGCTAAATTCACATTCATCATCTCAAGAAAGGCAAACATTTAAACAGAAACATGGTTAAACAAATATAGGAAAACACAAATTTTAGTAACCAACCAATGGTAATTTAGCATTCATCTAGACATGTAGCTGTAGCATGCCAACAACAGATAAACTCTATCAAATATGCTATTAGAGCTATGGTTCATCGTTATGCACACAGCAATTAGTAGCCATTAATGTCTTTCATGGAAATACCTCCACTAGCTCAATAAGAGATGAGAAGGAGCAATCCCCCCCATCAACAAGGATCATTCCATCTGTCCCTGTTAGGATACGGTAATGGTCTACACGTCCCTCACAGCTAACTGACAAAGTTTGATCACCAACAAAATGAATACTGTCTCGGATAAGAAATACACCATCTTCCATGTTTGCCAATAGAGCCTCTGCATCTTCCCTGGTTACACTACCATGGTACCAGCTATAAGATACACAAAACACCAGGTTACACATCAATTATACCAGCTATGAGAACAAAACACCATGGTACCAGCTATAAGATACACAAAACACCAGATTACACATCAATTGTACCAGCTATGAGAACAAAACACCATGGTACCAGCTATAAGATACACAAAACACCAGATTACACAATTGTACCAGCTATGAGAACAAAACACCATGGTACCAGTCATAATATACACAAAACACCAGGTTACAAATCAATTGTACCAGCTAAGAGAACAAAACACGAGGTTACACATCAATTGTACCAGCTATGAGAACAAAACACCAGGTTACACATCAATTGTACCAGCTATGAGAACAAAACACTATGATACCAGCTATAGGATACAAAACACCAGGTTACACTTACATGGTACCAACTATGATAGGCACAAAACACTAGGTCAAATGAACATGGTACCAGCTATAAAGTACAAAATAAACACCTGGCAACACTTATATGGCACCAGTAGTATATACAAAACACCTATTTTATAACACCCTTAGTGGTAAAAGGTTTACACACACAACATAATAATATAAGGTACCAGCTATATAAAATTTTGGTGTCACATGGTACCAGCAAAGTAAAAAAACAACCCATGTCTCACATTAATAGTATCAGATTTATCTACCAAGAAACCTTCCCCAGATACTTAACTAATACTTAACCCCAGCAATGTTTTTAAAATATCATTTGCTTAATTATTAAAAAATCACAAAATGCACTTATTTAAAAAAAAAAGAAATGTTTTAACTGTACAAAAATATATAGTTAGATTTTCTTGCAGTTTTTATTATTTAAATGTAAGTGATGCAAGTAGGCAGTCTAAGTGCCAGTGAGAGCCTCAGTAGTATTACCAGAATCTTATTGCTAGTGAAGTTTTGAATATCTAACTTAATATAAAATCCATTTTTTTATCTGATTCTTTAAAAAAAAAAAAAGCCAAAGTAAGTTGAAATCAAGCTCAAAAGTTGTCCAAAAAGGTAGAATAAACTTATTTAAAAAAGCTATGTTTTTTGTGTGGGAAATATATCGTGCAATATCATACTAAATTTAGTAAGCGTCAATGGTGAAGAAGCGCTTTTTGCATAATAATAATGCAATAGAAACATGACAGGTAATAAGGTAGTAACGGCTGATGTGTCATGGTGTATTAGTAATTGTAGCGACAGATGTATGTCACATTTTGTCCCATTAGTAGCAATTGAGCTAAATTTAAAAAACTTACAGCATCGGCTGTATATTCACTCTCTTTCTGGCCTTTACATAATTAGCAGGAATCATTCCTTCCGCTCCATTATTATTCTTTGCCTTATACCAGTTAGGATCCTGAAAAAAAAAATTCTTACTGTAGATTAAGAAGTTATCACCATGGAACAGACATGTAAAAAAATAAACACTTATGAGCCAGACCTTCAGCATCTTAAGTTATGTTATATCCTAGGTAAAGAAGATTGAGCAGTAAAAAAGCATAAACTCACTGAAGTAGCACGCACTATAACAAGTATGTCATTTTTAAAGAAAGGTAAGTCATCCCTTGAACGACCTCTGAAATCATAAAGCCCAACAACTTCATCACCTGCATTCCACGGCGTTGTTTGTACCTGATGATTAAAAAGTAGAATCATTTAGGCTTATGTTAATACAAAAAGCATTTTTTTTTGGTGTGACAAAAAATTATGATAATAAAATTAATTCTTGAAATCCTACTGGTTGTAGCAAAATTTAAAATTATAATAGTGTCAGCAAATTAATTACTTGGTCCATTGGCATTGCTTTCCTTTTGTAAAGAACAGATGACTATATTATCCAATGTTCTCACTATTTAGTTCTTGCACTAAAAAAATAAAGTAAATACAGGTTATCAAATGTAAAGATTTAAAAATACAGGACTACAGATGTCAACATAAATATACCAACAACAAATCACAATAGTTTGGCTTAAGTATTAAGTTATTAATTAGGCCTAACTTTAATACTCATACTGATCTAGTAGTCTGGCAATCTATTATAATTATTAATTAGTAGGGCCTAATAAATAAGTTGTAGTTAAGATACTAATAACTAAGCCTATATTTAAACTATTAGATACTTGATCTATACTGTAGCTTATTTGGAAGTTGCAAGTGATGTCACAGTAGTCTGTGTGTGAGTTAACACAGTGTGTGTGTAGAGAGAGAGAGCCTAAGTGTAGTAGACAGTAGATCTAGATCTACCTGGTACTTCAAAATAAAAGCCTCAAACTCTAGTCTAGCTAGCTAGGGTAGATCTTGATATCTAGAAACTAGAATCTATCTACTTTAACTTTAGATCTTGATTTAATTTTAATTACTAAGGATTAGGCCTACTCATGAGTCATACTGATTTAGATTTTAAGTTAACTGTCATTAACCAAACTCATACTCAATTCAATATACTGTTACTTACTAGATCTAAGTCCAAGTAGAATTTACCAGGAATTGAGTTAGGTACCAGATTGTAATTTAATATATGCCTTCATACTCATAGTCATTATTAGTAATGTATGTTACGTAACTAGATCTAGAAATCTAGTAACTCTAAGGTACTAAGACTAGTGACTAGCTAGAGTAGTAGAAGTAAGTTCAACATAAAAATGTTTGCAAAATGAAACTTACTTGATGTTGAAAACATAAAAAATGTCGACAGATGTCAGGAGCCGACAATTTCTGAAAATTAGCCTATCGCAAAATCTAAATTTCTAGTCTAGACTAGAAACTAGATTAGATTGATTTCAAAGATGCGTTACCAATCGCTTCCAAAAAAGGAAAAAAAACAACACTGAAGAATGACAGCTCTGCTGCTCTTGATTTTTATTGAAATCTCTAGATTTCGATCTCTATTTATTTATTTAGTCAATTATTATTTAATAATCAACTGAAAAACAGTAAGTAAAGTAAATCTATTGAGCCGGGTTACCAAAGCAGGAAGTAGAATCTATATGTAAGTTAATTTTTTGCTCTTCGTACCAAGGGCTATTAAGTGAAAATAAAACTTTGAGAAGGAGGAAGTGTATTTGACGGTAGACATTAAACTTTACACCGAGTACATGCCAGAGCGCCCCTATCCACGAACGGCAAAAAATAATAATACAGGTCATACTAAATCTTAAAGATGATTAAAGCATCTAAAAAGTCATGACATTATAATAGTATGTTATAATTATAAGAGTTCAAAATCAATGTCATTATAATTTAGAGAACGAAAAGCATTAAACATCATGTATAAATTAGGCTATTTATACTTTCTAAAATATTAGGTAGGCCTAATATAAATATAAGCCACGGCGACTGGCTGTGGGCACTATAACTATAAGATTTGCATATCGTTTTTACAGTACTGTACGGTAGATCTAATAAATTTAAACTTCTTACCACAGCCTAAAGCAGTAGTACTTTACCTTTTTTGGTAGTACTGAACCCCACCAGCATCATAAATATGTGCAGTCACCGAATCCTTATAAATAGGAAAAATAAAATATGTTATTTTTTTTTCAAATTCAAAACATAGGTAGGTTTTATAATCAGTGGCGTAGAGAGGTCGGGTGGAACCAAGTGCGGCACCTAATGGTGTCAGCCCCTCCCCCCGTAAACACACACACACACACACACACACACATATATATATATATATATATATATATATATATATATATATATATATATATATATATATATATATATATATATATATATATATATATATATATATATATATATATATATATATATATATATATATATATATATATATATATATAAGTATATGTGTACGCATGTGTATGTATTCAAATAGATTTTTCTGGATGTATTTAATGCCCCCCACCCCATACAAGTCTCATTCAAATCGTTTTCCTCAGGCATATTTTGCAACGTTGAGTTGATGAAACTCTCCCCCCCCCCCCACACAGTGATTGCTTACAAATGTGCTCAGATAATACAAACGATTTGATCTATAGTCGGTTATAAATACAGCTGGATGTAGCATGTTTTATCTATCATTAGCCAGTTTACGTCATGGTGTCATCCCCACCCCCTCCACCCTTGTCAGGATGTGTCAACTTTGCTATTAAACGAGACTTTAACTCACTCTAATCAATCACTTAATTAAGTGGAATTATCATTTTTCTGTATATATTTTGCTATTTTTTTTGCCTTGATGTCACCCCTAAATTAAGTCACTCGGTGCGGTCCGCCCCGCACCTCCCCCCTGCTACGCTTCTGCATATAATATATATTTTACTGGTGCGCAAAATGAACCGCGGCATCAACATCGCTGTGTTAAATAAACAACAATATAAAAATATTCTTTTTACTGAGTCGTAAAAGATAGCTTTTTTTTAAATTTTGTCCGTATGTCTTTGTGTTTGTATATGTATGTATGTGTGTGTTTATGTCAGTGAACACGATTAATCGAGTTCCTTTACAGCTAGTTTTGATAAAATTTCATGTACAAGTATTGTATCAAATTTGTAGTTCTGTATAAACTTTTCAGCGATTTCCGGTAACCCGAAGTGGAACTTATTCTACTTTCAATTTATCAAAGGTCTATAACTAATTGAGTACTGTTTCTGATAGATAAATGAAATTTTACATGTAAGTGAAAGATCTAATTCTCTGCCTCCTTTCAAATTTTGAGTAGTTTCCGTTGACCGGAAGTAGTACTGTACCTTACAGCCTCCCATCGGAAACACTTTTTTTTCAAATAGCAAAAACCTTCCCAGAAGTATCATCAACAGCTACTCAAAGTTTTATGGCGATCGGATGAACCGCAATGCATAAACGACGTCGCGCTTAACCCTCAAATTAAAAAAAAAAAAGATTTTTACCTGCTCCTCCCCTTCGTCTCAAAAAGGCTAGACCTCAGCCTCCTCAAATCAAAATAGCATTTTTGTTTTTTAAAACATCGTTTTGTTACTAAAATATTTTCTGAGATCAGTCAAATTGGATTTATTAATCTACTTCTATTACGGTTTACAAAAAAAAAAAAAAAAACAGTCTTTAAAAGAGCGCAAAATAAATGCAAAATTTAAGTTTTGAACACTACTTTTTAGAAAGCAAACGTATGTTGATCAACTTGAACCCCTCGTCACTAAAGTCTGACACTGAAGCCCCACAGCCCATTGGAGTGTAACGTAGTTAATGTACGATACCTTGTCTGTTATGTTAAACTGTGTTATGGATCTGGATCTAGTATTAAGTAATGAGGTGGTGCAATTTTAAAAAAGCTTACTTTGTAAATTATCTGCTTTTCAGAATGCATTGAATAAAAGCTGACACGCCTTGGTTTGGTATTTTCTATAGGCTTTCCAATTGATGTGTTGTGGTGTAGCAATAATGATAAATGTCAATAATAATAAATAATAAATGTTGTGTGAAAACATTTCTTGGAATTTATATAAGAGAGTAATTTATGGATTAATTAATAACATAACACTAACAGTGTATGTACGGTTGGTAAATATAATATATTTTAGCACTTAGGAGTACCTGTTATTAGGAATAGTTTTTGGTAATTAGACCTGCCAATTTTTGTTACAGCTTTCAGTTTCACATAAAAACATTACTGCAACATCAACTATCAACTTAGATCTAATTCTAGATCTAGATCTAGATTCTAATTCGTTGTTGCATTTAATTTCGGATATGCTACAACTTGGGTTGATACAATTATTATTTAAATTAGAACTACAATGGATGAGGTAGATATCTAGAAAGCAAGAAGTTGTGATTAGTGATTCAGATTTAGATTAACTGATTAGTTAGGGCTTAGGTTAGGCCTAGTCAGATTTGATTAAATTAATTAAATTTCTTTCTACTTTCTAGATTAGTAGTATGATTAGGATTAGGCAGGCAAATAATAAATAATTATTAAAATTAGGAGATTCTAGTTATCTAGTAGAGTAGTAGGGCCTAATATTTTTTGGTAATCTATCGTTTTAGTACTTTTAGGTGTAGGCTACGTAAAATCACCCGCGACTTGTAATGTGAAAAACAGGTGACTCCTTAAATTTTAAAAATTATTTCACATTTTGCGGAGGATTTATGTTTTTTTAAAATACAAAAAAATTGTTTCCTTATTTCATATTTATTATTATTTAATATTTATGTAGGGGCCTACCTGTTTTTAAACAATTGAATTAAAAAACTTTTCCGTAATAAATGAAGACTAGCAATGTTTCCAACAGATGCAACCAAGCTCATTTACTATAGCAGCCATCTTGTTTAAGTTTTATTTTTATAAGCTTATACCTCGAGATTCAGGGGGAAACCACTCTATTTTACAAATGGCTGCTGTTTATATAGTAAATCTTGCTCTCCGACACTGCTGTTTAAAGTTAATTTCTGGCCTATATCGATATATTTAGCCATTGATTTAGGTTTATTATTCATTTATCTATAATATTTGACACAAACATATGACAATATATCTCTATTAAAGCCTGACAATGAAGTAACGTTTTCGTACATTCATAGCTGCGGGCGATTTTACGTACCCAAAACTATAGATTACCTATTTTTTTTTATATTAGCCCCTGCCCTATCTAATATGAAATATCTTTTAACTATTATCTATTATAATGTAAAAAAAATATCTCAAATACAAATGTAGCCTGATTGTTTATTTTGGTTAAGGCACGACACACAACACTGTGCGTGCGTGGTATGTGGCCTGACCGACTGAAAGGAGATTGTTTATATTTTTTTTTGAGTTTATATATATAACTCAATGCAACAAGCCCGCGGGTTGGTTGAGGCAGCGCCAGGGGGACGTTCTGACCGGGATTCAAAGGGACGACTCGAAATATCATCCTAATAATTTACTATAGGCCAACCCTTATTGATTATTGAGTATTGATGACTTGGTTCAATTTGATTGAGTCTTTGACTATTTTCACAAAACTCTTTAGTAGTAATGACACTATTTGACAGTTTATGAGTTAACAATAATATTATTGTTTTACGAAGTGCCTATTCCCATCCGACTGGGAATAGCCGTATTAGGGCTAAACACAGTCGTGACTGTTTTTGATAGATTTATTGTTAAAAACACCAAATCAAGCATGAAGTTGTGTGGTCGAGTGGAAATGTGGGTGGCTGATGTGCTAGAAGGTGCTGGTTCGAACCCATCAGATGCCTTGTCTTTTGACACTTAATTTATGCCCCCTATTATCAAAATTATTATTTCCCTGTTGTTCAAGAAGGTTACGTTTGTTAATTTTTAAATCGTTTGTGACATTATTAATGGCACATCTGCAAAAAAAAAACAACAAAAAAACAACCTGCCCCTTAGATTTTTGCTAAGAGAAAAAACAACTTGGGACATCCTATTTCACCTGATAATTGCGAATTTTAAATGGTAATTAACTGTTGAATAGCAATGTGAACTACTAACTAAATTGATTCATAATTAATATTATTTTTAAAAAATTACTAGATCTATTAATTAGATTAGTATAGATTTAATTATAGTGCATATTGATAATTGATCAGTTCATCTACCACCAACATAGCAGAGAGATAAGAGCCTAAAAGCTACACTTAAACCATACCTTTTATTTTTTTTAATGAAAATGTAACAAATAAAAAATAACACTGCTCTTTTCTTAATCTAGATCTATACCTCAGTCCCCAGTCACAATAAATGCTTTATTATCGTAAGATATTATTCCCAGTTGTATTTAGCATGAAATGACAGCCGACTGGGAATAGCCGTATTTAGGCTATTCACAGTCAGATGGGAATAGCCCAAATACGGCTATTCCCAAACGCCTGGGAATAGCCTTGGCCATAATATTAATACATTTCATTAAATCTAAATTAACATTCTATATTAATTAATTAAGGCCTCCATTACTATTAGGTCTAGTGTATTAGCCATTATTTTTATTGGTAGGAAAAATACTCAGAATAGTGTAATTTATTCCCAAGTTTAGGAAGTAACAAAATGTTACAAGACTTTCAGATTAAGTAATCTTTATCTTGTATTTGACTGAAAAATTTACAATTTGTTCAGATTTTTGTAACATGTTATTTAAGGAATATCAAGTAGAATTTAATTGTTAGCCATTTTTGGTTTTCGATTTTCAGGAAATAAAGCTGTGTATACAAGAAATAAACCCTCATGTTGTTTGTTCATTATGTGGGGGTTATTTTATTGATGCTACAACTATTACTGAATGCCTGCACACATGTAAGAATTTTTATAGTTTATCTAATCAAAATATTGTTATTTTTTAAAGGGATAAAGTTGGATTCAATTCTGATTTGTTGTTGCTTTCAGTCTGCAAGAGCTGTATAGTGAAATATTTGATGAACTGCAAGCATTGTCCTCAGTGTCAACTCAAGGTCCATGAGACACATCCTTTATTTTTGCTTCGGCCTGACAGAACCTTGCAAGATATAGTTTATAAGCTGATTCCTAACCTTTTTGAAAGTAAGCTGCTTTTTTATTTCATGTATTTGCTATTGTTATGTTATTGTATCATTATTTTTTTTTTATTATTAGCTAAATCATTCTATGTCTATAACATCCCACTTTGAACCCACCTAAAGTCGTGGTATACAAACAGCTAGGTCAAGCTAACAGGTTGGCAGTCTACATGCATGTCTGTATGTAGCTAGGCCAATGCAAAAATTTAATTTCAGTAAAACAATATAATAGTTACATATTTGGATAGAGACTGTCAATCTGATTACAGATCAGTTTGAATTTTCAAAATCTGACCATACACAAAAAAGTTATGAATTTTTTTGTCATTAAAAAACAGCAGTTTTTTCAGACAACCGGGGTAGACCCTGAAAGAGGAAAAATACTGGGAGGGTATGGACCAAATTTTTAAGAGTTTTTCACTAAAAGTGGTATAAAAGCAAGCAGACTTCACCAATTGATGTCATTTTATGATATTTTGTAGATTTTTCTATGCCGAATCCAATGATGCTATTTTAAAAAGTGTCTTTAGATTATATAACAGACTTATTTCATGGATTATGTAATACCCCCTTCAATTTTTTTTTACAACATCTGATAATCCGTGTGATAAGAAGTCATTCTTTAAATTAAACACTGTTTTAAACCATAATATGACATTTGTAAATGCTGAAGCTAATGGTGATATTTAAAATGGTAGAACATTATTACAAAACTATAAAGGTCAGGTTATGTAATTCGCACCTTTTGCTCATACTTTACCATGCATTTATTTTAAAATCTCTTTTGCTCATTGTCAGTTAACTGAATAGCCTACTTAAAGAAAAGATAACTAATACAGTTTTAATACAAAGAGAAGGATGCTATAACAATAGTATATTTGTGATGATGTAACTTCTTAAAATATGTTATGTAATCTATGTGCAATCATACAGGCCTACTCTATTCCAAAAATATAGGCATATCTTATTATATTTATATTTCTTGTTACTTTAAATGTCATACCATTGATACAACTTTCTTCTATAGAATTAGCCTAGTTACAAATGTGTCTTATCAGAATCAAGGTGCTTTATGACAAATTTGTAATATTTTTAAACACAAAAAATTGCTCATTTTTACAATTTTAATAACATAAACATTGGAGGAAAATTGTTTTTTTTTTTAGCTTGTACAAGGTAGTGTAAGTTATAGGTGTATAACATATATTTATATATGCTCAATGTTTATGCTAGTTGTAAGCTTGTGTATTTTGTAGGCCTACCATAGGCCTATTACATTGGGAAAAAAAGCACGTGTTTGAGTGCTTGACTGTGTGTAGTAGATGCTAGGCATTTTTTATGTTTCCCGTGTCTGGCTAAACACGGAGGCGTTTATCACCATCAGCATTTGCCTAGATTTAGTTCAATCAGACGTGGTTAACCAGGTCTTCTGACCAACGAATTTTATTGCCGTATTACGTAAACACGAGGCTAGATAGGCTAGTCGGCCAACCCGATGAACGTGTCAGACGAATGTTATGTAATTTTAGAGACAAAAGTCTGGGAAGATTTCCTGATCTATGCCCGAGGGTTAGTAACATCCACTCCACAAAGTGAAGGGGGAGGGAGGTGGGGTATGAAACCACCGCGAGCCGCTCGGGTACCGTACGGGTGTTATACAACATCAAAGGCGCCGACCCTCGGCTTGTCGCGTCACGGAGTAGTGGGGGCGGGGTGAGGCTATGGATGTTACATACGGTGTTACAATTGTTACATACCGTGTAGGATGGTCAGTGACTCCCCATACCCACCCCATCCCATTTTGGTCGATTTGGCAAGCTAGTAACCTCCACGTTGTTACGGGTTTTAAAATTTTTTAGTCAACCGAAAAAAAAAGAGCCCGGGGTAAAATTTAATTTATTTTTTAAAGCCATTTTTACGAAAAAGTAATGTACACAATAATGAAACGTTACGGCACGCGAATCACGTCAGCATTGTTTGGTCGGGTCGCAGCTATCCGGATTAATTTCTAAAGAAGATTAATTTTGACGATTAGTAAACACTATTACGACTTTTTTTTTGCCGTTTCAATGGTTTAAAACAAAGTTATGAAACATGCCTGTCTACTTAAATATAAAATAGCAATACCCGACGAGTCAAATACGGGAACACACGTATCTATCTTTAGAAATTGTTTATAGTCTCATCCAATCGGATCAACCGCCTAGCGTCACGTGACCACACACTCGGCTGTGCTACACGATGTGTAGATTACGATTCAGTCGGACGGCGGCCGACGCGTTAATTTTTATTTTCGTTCGGTCTTAAAATGTATGGACGGCTTTATTATGAGGTGTTATAATACATGTCATATATTAAAATAATCGGCGGGATTTCAGGAATACAGCTCAAGGTTCAAATGTAAAATAGGTCAAATAATAGACCGGGAAACTTAGTTCAACTTTGCGGTCCGATATCTCCCAAAGTATTTAACTTATTTTGACCACGAACCTTGAGCGTTGTACGTCTACATTTAATCTGTTCGTCTGCCAAATTTAATTGTTGTAGTACGTAAACTCGATACGTCTATAAAAAAAAATTGTAGCGCGTCATATTTAAAACACAGCGATTCGAAGCACAGCCGAGCGGTTCAGTCGGACAGCGGTCGGCGCGTCATGTTTTGATTTTCGGTCCACTTCAAAGTCTATAGACGTCCTTATTATAGGGCCGAATATGACATATCATACATATTAATAAACGTCGAGATTTCAGGAATACAGCTCAAGGTTCAAATTAAAAATCGGTTCATTAATAGCCCAAATAACTTAGTTCAACTTTGCCGTTCGATATCTCCAAAAGTATTTAACATATTTTCCCCAAGAACCTTGAGCGTTATACGTGAACATTTAATCTATTCTTCTACCAAGTTTCACAGTTGTAGTACGAAAACTCAAAGAGTCTATAGACTCTAAGTAACACCCCTCTTTTAAAAAGGTGAAAAAGCCTCCCCCCTAATCGGCACGTCGCCGCGGGGGGTAAAAAATGCGATTAAATCGGCGATTTCTTCAACGTCTGAAATAATACAGAAATCAAACTTATACAGTTAAAAAGGTTGTTCAATTACGAACAGAATGATGTATAACATGTTAACATAAACACAATAAAAGCATGCAAAAAACAGAGTTAAACATGCAGGGGGTAGGGAAAAGCCGATTTGTCCGATTTTCTCGGCAGCGGCATTGGCCTAGCTACGTAGCTAGGCCAATGCAAAAATTTAATTTCAGTAAAACAATATAATAGTTACATATTTGGATAGAGACTGTCAATCTGATTACAGATCAGTTTGAATTTTCAAAATCTGACCATACACAAAAAAGTTATGAATTTTTTTGTCATTAAAAAACAGCAGTTTTTTCAGACAACCGGGGTAGACCCTGAAAGAGGAAAAATACTGGGAGGGTATGGACCAAATTTTTAAGAGTTTTTCACTAAAAGTGGTATAAAAGCAAGCAGACTTCACCAATTGATGTCATTTTATGATATTTTGTAGATTTTTCTATGCCGAATCCAATGATGCTATTTTAAAAAGTGTCTTTAGATTATATAACAGACTTATTTCATGGATTATGTAATACCCCCTTCAATTTTTTTTTACAACATCTGATAATCCGTGTGATAAGAAGTCATTCTTTAAATTAAACACTGTTTTAAACCATAATATGACATTTGTAAATGCTGAAGCTAATGGTGATATTTAAAATGGTAGAACATTATTACAAAACTATAAAGGTCAGGTTATGTAATTCGCACCTTTTGCTCATACTTTACCATGCATTTATTTTAAAATCTCTTTTGCTCATTGTCAGTTAACTGAATAGCCTACTTAAAGAAAAGATAACTAATACAGTTTTAATACAAAGAGAAGGATGCTATAACAATAGTATATTTGTGATGATGTAACTTCTTAAAATATGTTATGTAATCTATGTGCAATCATACAGGCCTACTCTATTCCAAAAATATAGGCATATCTTATTATATTTATATTTCTTGTTACTTTAAATGTCATACCATTGATACAACTTTCTTCTATAGAATTAGCCTAGTTACAAATGTGTCTTATCAGAATCAAGGTGCTTTATGACAAATTTGTAATATTTTTAAACACAAAAAATTGCTCATTTTTACAATTTTAATAACATAAACATTGGAGGAAAATTGTTTTTTTTTTTAGCTTGTACAAGGTAGTGTAAGTTATAGGTGTATAACATATATTTATATATGCTCAATGTTTATGCTAGTTGTAAGCTTGTGTATTTTGTAGGCCTACCATAGGCCTATTACATTGGGAAAAAAAGCACGTGTTTGAGTGCTTGACTGTGTGTAGTAGATGCTAGGCATTTTTAAAGTTTCCCGTGTCTGGCTAAACACGGAGGCGTTTATCACCATCAGCATTTGCCTAGATTTAGTTCAATCAGACGTGGTTAACCAGGTCTTCTGACCAACGAATTTTATTGCCGTATTACGTAAACACGAGGCTAGATAGGCTAGTCGGCCAACCCGATGAACGTGTCAGACGAATGTTATGTAATTTTAGAGACAAAAGTCTGGGAAGATTTCCTGATCTATGCCCGAGGGTTAGTAACATCCACTCCACAAAGTGAAGGGGGAGGGAGGTGGGGTATGAAACCACCGCGAGCCGCTCGGGTACCGTACGGGTGTTATACAACATCAAAGGCGCCGACCCTCGGCTTGTCGCGTCACGGAGTAGTGGGGGCGGGGTGAGGCTATGGATGTTACATACGGTGTTACAATTGTTACATACCGTGTAGGATGGTCAGTGACTCCCCATACCCACCCCATCCCATTTTGGTCGATTTGGCAAGCTAGTAACCTCCACGTTGTTACGGGTTTTAAAATTTTTTAGTCAACCGAAAAAAAAAGAGCCCGGGGTAAAATTTAATTTATTTTTTAAAGCCATTTTTACGAAAAAGTAATGTACACAATAATGAAACGTTACGGCACGCGAATCACGTCAGCATTGTTTGGTCGGGTCGCAGCTATCCGGATTAATTTCTAAAGAAGATTAATTTTGACGATTAGTAAACACTATTACGACTTTTTTTTTGCCGTTTCAATGGTTTAAAACAAAGTTATGAAACATGCCTGTCTACTTAAATATAAAATAGCAATACCCGACGAGTCAAATACGGGAACACACGTATCTATCTTTAGAAATTGTTTATAGTCTCATCCAATCGGATCAACCGCCTAGCGTCACGTGACCACACACTCGGCTGTGCTACACGATGTGTAGATTACGATTCAGTCGGACGGCGGCCGACGCGTTAATTTTTATTTTCGTTCGGTCTTAAAATGTATGGACGGCTTTATTATGAGGTGTTATAATACATGTCATATATTAAAATAATCGGCGGGATTTCAGGAATACAGCTCAAGGTTCAAATGTAAAATAGGTCAAATAATAGACCGGGAAACTTAGTTCAACTTTGCGGTCCGATATCTCCCAAAGTATTTAACTTATTTTGACCACGAACCTTGAGCGTTGTACGTCTACATTTAATCTGTTCGTCTGCCAAATTTAATTGTTGTAGTACGTAAACTCGATACGTCTATAAAAAAAAATTGTAGCGCGTCATATTTAAAACACAGCGATTCGAAGCACAGCCGAGCGGTTCAGTCGGACAGCGGTCGGCGCGTCATGTTTTGATTTTCGGTCCACTTCAAAGTCTATAGACGTCCTTATTATAGGGCCGAATATGACATATCATACATATTAATAAACGTCGAGATTTCAGGAATACAGCTCAAGGTTCAAATTAAAAATCGGTTCATTAATAGCCCAAATAACTTAGTTCAACTTTGCCGTTCGATATCTCCAAAAGTATTTAACATATTTTCCCCAAGAACCTTGAGCGTTATACGTGAACATTTAATCTATTCTTCTACCAAGTTTCACAGTTGTAGTACGAAAACTCAAAGAGTCTATAGACTCTAAGTAACACCCCTCTTTTAAAAAGGTGAAAAAGCCTCCCCCCTAATCGGCACGTCGCCGCGGGGGGTAAAAAATGCGATTAAATCGGCGATTTCTTCAACGTCTGAAATAATACAGAAATCAAACTTATACAGTTAAAAAGGTTGTTCAATTACGAACAGAATGATGTATAACATGTTAACATAAACACAATAAAAGCATGCAAAAAACAGAGTTAAACATGCAGGGGGTAGGGAAAAGCCGATTTGTCCGATTTTCTCGGCAGCGGCATTGGCCTAGCTACTGTATGGCTTTTGTATTAGGCATGTGACCTACTAGAGTAAAAACATCAATGTTATGAAAACATCAACAACATCTGGAACATGTTTGCCGCTCTCTGAAAGAGCAGGTCCAGTAAAAGGAACTCGGATGTGGATTGGTCAATTGCAGGAGGGCTCTGATCTGGAAACTTCCACATTTGTTCTGAGAAAGGACATCAGGTTGGCAACTGGAACGTTAGGTTATGTATGAGATGGGGAAGGTAAATCAAGTCACATCCTAGATAAGAAAATATATTCTCTAATCCCCACGATCAAGAAAAAGGATACCCAAAAACACCTTGCATAAATTGAAAAAGACATAAAGATAATTGGAAAGAGTGGGAAAATAAATAGAAGAACTAAAGAGGGAAAGAAAAGCATGGAAGGATATTGTAAATGGCCTAGTAAAAAGGCGAAGAATAATAAATAATATACTGTCATACCCAAACATTTTAAGGCAATGCCTGGGTTGGGTAGTTTCGCAAACAATTGCTAACCAATAAGACCTGAGTTTGGACTCCGGGCAGATGAGGCAAGGTAGCTGAGGATAGCAACACATCTATGAGAGAATACTGGAAATAAAAAAACAACTGCTGCTTTTAAAATTTCTTGGTTGAACTAAGGTTATGGAAGCATATTTATGGAAGCAGAGTTAAGTCAGTCAGTTTGTTGACTCTTATTAAATCATGTTCGAGAAAATCTCTCTTATTACATTTAAGAATCAACTAGAAGAAACTTTTCAAAAAATTATATTAATCAAATTACAATATTCTAATTCTATAATCTCTGTATAATATTTCTGTTTATACTGAAGTGATTTACAATCAATGGTGTAAATTCTAATGCAGATAATTTTTCAGACTCTTTCATTTATCTCCTTAGATGAAGAATTGCGTAGAGAAGAATTCAACAAGTCAAGAGGAATGGCCATAGATAAAAAACCTGGAAATAAAACTGGTAGTTCACATACACTTGTACACTCTTAAATGAACTATGTTCATATTACTTTTTGCTTAATTAACTTTTTTATTAAACTAAAGTTTGACTGAACTAATTAAAATGAAAAGGCCTGCAATGTTTTGTTGAAGTATTGTCAACAAGTTCATCTGAGTTCCCTTGGGTTAAAAGTAAAGGTGATGACTAGTGAGTCAATGAAGTAGTACATCTGTTTGTGTAGATAATTGATTTTCTATAAAACAAGGTATGGTTATGCCCAAAAAATATTTTTTGTTAAACTTTAAATTTCAACGCATTTATGCAGAAGTTCTTGTTTTAATCATGTGCAATTCAATTTTAAGAGTTAGTTAAAAAGAAGATACATTGACCAATTATTTTTCACAGAAGAACCTGTTGTACCTAGGTTGTCTAGTATCATCAACAATCCAGATGGACATTTGTACAAAAATGATGAGCAAATTTGCCTTTGTCTAGAGAAATACAGGTAATTTATTATATATATTTATAGCCCACGTTTTAGTTTTTCTACTTTTTAGTATTTTATTTTAGAAATAACTAAAAAAATATAAGTCAGTGTTATTCTTTAAGTTATAATCTGTTCTATATTTTAAAAAATCAGTCTGTGCTTTAAGATTTGTATACAACACTCATCATGAGAACTATGTCTTAGCAATCTCCCCTTTTATTATTGAATACCATCTTATCCTAAATATCTTATGACTAATGATATTCTAATCAGAGAAAATGATTTATTCTTGTATTGTTATAGGAGATTCACTTATTGGCATAATTCAAAAGAAATTGTTCTTTTAAAAATGGGTCACCAAATTTTGACAAATCCTGATATTGGGAACTGAAAAAGCTTGTAAAAAGATAAAGCAGTTTTGTCTGTAGATTTATTTCTAACTTTATATTCTAGAAAAAAAATAGAAATATTTTTCTCATCAGATCTCAGCGTGTTTTGTATCATGGTAAAGTTCTCAGCCTGCGATCTTTAGACAGAAAGTTTTTACGATGTTCCATTCGTGTTCTTGTTTCTCATTTAAAGGCAATGCTGTACAAAAAACTTGCTATACCAATTGATTTACAGGTATGTGCTATTGGATCAAATTGAAAAATCTTTGGTAACTGACATTTTTAATGTGAACTTGAAACAATTTATTTCTCTTTTAGATTGAAGTAATGTGTGATCGTGAAATTTTAGCTGATGAAGTTTCCATGAAACAGATATTCCTCTTGAACTGGTTTGGCAAGGTATAATTTATTTCTCTGTTTAAATGTATCTATATATAAATCACAAATATTTTTCTGTTTTAACACATGGAAAGTGATGGTTTTTTCTTTATAGGAAACACCAATGGTCTTGTTCTATCGATTTCATGAAACACCAGAAAATGGGATCACTTAAGTTAAAAAACAGAAGTGTTAACCAAACATTATCATCAGATGCTCTAAACTGCATTAGTAGTACTAGTAGTTCTATGGTAAACCTTTAATCTATGATATTAATGAATGTTTCCAATGTATGGCTCAATAGTTGACCTATTGCATGGATCTGTGTTTTTGTCCATTTATTATCTTGTATAGTTTACTACACACCAACTTCAAGTTATTATTATTAAATATGGTACTAGAAATTTATTACATTTGTGTAAAATTTTTTATAAATGCCAAAATAGCATTGTATAATACGCCGACAATTAGAAGTTATGTCAATTAGCCAACTTTATGAATGATTATTTAATTGTGACTTACATTCAATAATTCAAATTATTTGTACACATCTGTTAATATCAAAGTATACTGTCCTTTGTTAAATAATGCATGTATTAATGTATAATGGCTATAGCATAATTTATGTAAATTTGCCCCTGAACGAACAGCCCTTTATTTAAACTTTTTTAGATTTTAGTATAGAACATGAATAGATTTAATTTGCTTTTTTAAAAATGATCTGTCATGGTAGGTTTTTTTTTATATACAAGAAACAAGAGAGTTAATAGAAGTTTATGGTAATATTTTTACAATGTCACTTATGGAGCACTTGATATTTTATGACCATAAAACATACAATGACTATATAATTAGAATTCTCTACTGAAAAATAAATAAATAATATATTTGTCGCAATTTTTTTTATTCCTGAGGCATGTATACTACTGCATTAATTTTGGCAACTATTTTCAATATCATGTATACTATTATAAAAATAACATTTTCTATGTTTGAAGAAAATAAAAACATAGCAGCTACAGTTTCATGAATTTGTGCTTCAAAGTTCAATTTTAAAATTCCTCTTAATATTTAATTTGTCACCAGTAAACCGCTTTCAGTCAGAGCAAATAAGACTACATAATGTAATTTGTATCAAAAATTTCTGAGCTTTCAATATTCATTTGAAATTAATAGAGATCTGATTACCAAAAATGTGCAGAACCATGAACAAATTCTCAACAAAAACTTTAAGAGCAGGTACACAAAAAAAAAAAAGGATAAACATAGAAAAATGTCAAGTTGATAACTTGATGTATTAGTCCCAAAATCACTTAAAAATTCTGTTTTTGTGCTTGGTTTTTGACTTATCAGTTGCAAAAATTTAAATTATCAATAAATGACAGTTATCACATCAAAAAGTTAGAAATGGTGAAAGAGGTAATACAAGTGCCCTGTTATATCATCCTGTACATACAAGTGTGGTCCAACTTCAATCTTTCCAAATTTTTCTTAGCATATTTTCAATAACCTAAGAAAACTTAAAATAAAAAACTTCACGCAATATTTAGAAGAATTTTTTATTTTTAACATTTAAATAGTAATGTACATGTTTTTTTTATTACATAACTGTTTTAATATTCAAACTATTTCACACTCATATCTTTCTCTTCTCACTTTAAACAATCATTTCTTCTCACTTATAGCAATTACACAAGCTTTTCTTCCTCACATTAAAATTAAACATTCTTTCCCTCTCACTTTAACATTTCACTTTCTTATCCTTTTTACATTGGCATTACACATTCTTTTCTTTCACATTTTAGCTTTCACAATCTTGATGCACTCTAATATATTTCCTAGTACTATTGGATTGGGCTTACTTTCTCCAACATTTAAACAATCTGTTCTCGTACTTTAAAAGATTTTTTTTTGTGTACATATTTTACAAATTCCCAACTGATGCTTAATTAAAAATAAAATGAAAAAAGGGTTACTGCAAATTTCACTTTGTCTTTAAATCTTATTATGTTAGTATAACATTTTTTTCAAACTCAATACACTTAAGACAAAAGCTCCTGGTTCTAAGAAATAATCTTTTTAACCTGCAAATTATTCAAGTATGTTTACGAATCAGATTAGATTCAATAATCCCATTGCAAATGAAGGCGAATCAACAGAAATCTATATTTTGCAAATTTTCTTTTACACAGTTAAAAGCAGTTTAAATCATTAGGATGTATCATGATGGCAAATTATGAAGAATGTAGTTATGCACTAAATGGAACTGCAGCTTAAATTAGGAAGGAAACCAGTTATTTAATACTCTGCTATCAAGTTAGAAATGCATAAAAATTATAACTTAAATACAATTTAAACAGTAACCACATTTATCTTGATCCCTATACACATATTATTGTTCTAACAAACTTTAAAATAAAAAAAAGAAATGAACTTCATTATCAAAGAGAAATGAAATAATTAAATGTGAAAAATTATGTATAGCTTCAAACTTAATTTAGTCTTAAAAATGCTATATATTAACATGTGTCAGCAATTTTAAAAAGGTTGACTTAACTTTTTGCATTCCCGCCACCCCCTTTTTTTGGAGGTTTCTGTACTACTTTCCTACACATCTTTTTAAAATATATTTAAAACAATTATTTCCTTCACAATTAAATCCCACATAGACAACTAAATTTCATTAGCATTGTATTTTTAACAGTTACAATCTGTTGGAAACTGATATGGAAAACTAGTTGCATAGGGAAATATTTAAAAAAAAAAAACACAGCAAAATGGATTTATAAACCAAAGTGACTAAAACACCTTACAACAAATCTGTTTGGCACATAATTTGCATGGAATTAATCACCATAAATGATCTCTACTGTGTAGTGTACAAATAAATAAAACAATTGAAATAGTTTTCTCTTTCATCACAATGAATGGATCTGAACAACAATCCAGTGTGCCACTTTGTAACACCACACTATTTAACCACACGACGAGAAGATTCTGTTGCTAGTTAAAATATTTGGTCATAAATCTGCTACCCGCTGTCTGTAATGAAGAAGCAATGGAGCATCCTGCCAAATACAATGCAAGAAAGTACATATTTAGGAACTATAATAGCAATGTAGAAATTATGTCAATAGTATATAAAAGTATTAGGACTGATTAACCGCATAATGTAAACTTTACCTTTGACCTCCACCGAGTTACTGCAACAAACTTTAAGGTATGGTCCTTTCCTAAAATTTCTTCATTGCACAAGATATCAACCTGGAAATGTACAAGTACAAAATCATTAAGCGACACAGAAAGTGTAACAGAACAATAATTATTCATTTGAGAATGTATGTTATTATCAATAACTAATAATTTGTCTATGAAAAAAAAAGACCATGTTCATTTGACCATCTTCAGAGTCAATGCCAACACTAACAGTACTTCTTTCTTCTTTGTTCTTAATTTTAGTGTTGGTAGGGATCCCCTCAACACAATTAAGTGTACATGCCATTGACTCCTATTTCAGCCTGCTTTTCTTTTTGGATTTGCTTCCATAGCCTTTGTCCAACCAAGAACAAACTACAAGGCAGCAGTTGTTTGATTCTGTATTGTCTCTCCAAGAAGAGTGGCTGACCCTAGCTAACGAGCCTCATATGGTTCAAACTCAAGACTTTTCGGTTTAGCAAACATGAGCTTTACCGACTCGACCACGCCGACCCCAATAACAATACTAACAGTTGAAATTTGACAATACTACATTCAGAGTAATAAAACTTGGTGGCTTACTTCTTTGAATCTGTTTATGTTATTGTAGAGCTTTAGTGCCACAAACTTCTTCAGATGGGTAATGGTAGCTTGAGATGATATGCGCAGGTATCTGCGCTTGAGATGCTTGAGATTTGAGGCTCTACATTCTAAACAAATGTTGACCTGTTCATCACTGCGATGATGGTCCTCATCGCTAGCTTGTTCTTGATTTTTATTGCACTCATTGCTATTTTCATCATTAACTACAAAAACAATTTTTAAAAATAAAATTAATGACCATCATTAAAAGTTATTAAATTAGTCATTGCATTTATCTAATGTTATAGAATAAAAACTAAATAAAATTTGACAAAAAAAAAAATCTTCACAGAGTACATCAAATCAGTTTGGTTAGAAAACAACCAGTATGAAGAAGAAATGCTTAAGTTTTTTTAGCAATAAAAAGCAATAAAAAATAAAATAAGAATTAAAAAAAAAAGCACTCTATACAAATTTGCTATTGCTGAAGTGAGTATATTCTTTTTGAATTATATTTATTTCAATCCACTATACATAGCAAAATATTCCACAACAATTTGTAAGGGGAATCCTCACCTGTATTTGATGGCACAGACAACCCCCTTTTTTTGTAAAACTCTTGCATACGTTGGTATTCTTCTGTTGAAAAACAAATTTCTTGTTGAAACTTTGCTGAATTTATTAGTTTAAACAAAGTTCAATATTAAACAAGTTTTAAAAAAAAAGAACCAGAATTTGGGAAAATGTACAACTCACATTCAAAATGGAATTAGCTATGGGTCTATAATGAAAGATTTAAAAAACATAAATATACTTTCATATACCAATGCATTACTTTCAATGGCTGCACTTTAGGAATAATTAGCAAGGAAATTAAAAATAACTCTTTCCCAACATATGTAATTAGTAATTTGGCTTTTGAGTGTAAATATAAGATAAATAAATCTTATGAAGATGACTATGGTAAGTGAGACACTTACTCTCTTGTAAATTAGGAACCAGCTTGTACACTATATCTTGCATTGTTCTGTCAAAACTATCGAAACAAGGAATAGTAGGATAAATAATAAATCAGCATAAAAGTTTGTTGAAGTTCATGAACAAGATTGAAGGGATAGAAAGGAAAGAATTAAGTAGACATTTTAATTCTGTTATCTGCTGATTTCCAATGGCTTGTGGAGTTGATACTGAAATAGATCTTCAGTATTTAACAAAAGTTCAATTTTTTTCTCTTAGTGATATCCGTTTGAAATGGGTACAACTTTACATAGTTTGCTCTATACTGTAAATCTTATAGTTCAAAGACTATAGCCATGACTAATCATTTGCTGCGTGAACTAATACATCTAATATAATTAAGAGGATAACTATGAAGAAAAAACTTTGGCTTATCTAATATAATTGAGAGGGTAGCTTTGAAAAAAAATAACTCACCTAATATAATTAAGAGGATAACTATGAAGAAAAAACTTTGGCTTATCTAATATAATTGAGAGGGTAACTTTGAAAAAAAAAAACTCACCTAATATAATTAAGAGGATAACTTTGATGGATCTCTAGATGGCATTTAGGACACGTATTTTTTTCCTCCAAATATTTCACAATACAACTTTTACAAACTGAAAAAGGAAAACGTAATAAAAACTTTTTTTTATATAGAAATGTGTAAAGCAAAAGGATGTCAAAAATCCTACAAATGAACAGATTCTTACAATTAATGTTTTAGAATATTCTAGTTAGCCATATTTCAGAGAAACACTCATTTAAAACAGAAATCTTTAAATTCAATCATCCCAATTTTATAAACTTAAACTCTGAAATCAAAATTTGAAATCTTTAAAAAAAAAGTTGAATCCACATGGAAGAAATACAGAAAAAAAAAGCCGGTTGAAGTAAAAAAACTGTGGGATCATCATGGTTGGGCAATAAAGAGCATGACTGCTAACCCAAAAGTCCTGAGTTCGAGTCTGAGACTTGAGTTAGAAGGACATTCCAGAGTCTACTAACTCTGTTGGATACCAGTTGGGGAAAGTAAAGGCAGATGGGTATACAATGCAGGTTACACCACCCCTTCAAAAGCTGTCATCATGAAACAGAAGGACTGCACTTCTGCCCTATGGATTATCAGGTCTAAAATGGGAACTTTATTAATATTAGAACTCAATTTTATTAATCTTAGCACTTACTGAAAAAAAACACAGCTTTGTTACTTACAAGTATGTAGACATTCTGTTATGGTGGTAGAGTCGACCAAGTAGCCTTTACATATGTAACATGTTATAAAAGGATTGACAGTTTTCAGACGCACTTTTCGTTCCATCATCTTTGATCAGTTGCAGACCTAGTAGGCTCTACTTCTCAACTAAAAACAATGTAAAAATTATATACATACATCAGCACAGCTGAAAGTCAAAAGAGTCTAGTTAACTAACCAAATACCATAGCAATCTGAAAAACCACCTTATTGGGAATGTACTGCTACTGTCATGGATGAATTACACCTAATATTTGGTTTGTTTACAGATTTCCTGAATTTAGATATAGGCTTGGCCTAATTTATACATATTATGAATTGTTTGTTGGTGAGCCTTCTTTGGATTTACCAGTATTAGGTCTTATTTAATTAAATACTGGATAAAACTGACCATAACCAAAACACTGCATAGCATTTAATTCCTCACAATATCTAAATTTGTTACATAAAATGGCTAAATAAAACACACTAAATATTAACAACTAAAGAGGTTGGGGTTTTGGAATCAAAGACAATTTTTGCAACTGTTTTTAATGATAAACCTTGCACAAAAAATTTTGTATTTATAATCAAGCTTTGGGCTATATAGGCCTAATACTGAGATTTATGAGACTATCAAAGTTTTCATCTATCATAGTGAGGGGACCCCCCCCCCCCTTTTCAAAACCAAAACTGCATATTGACCTCAAGCCATTTTCTAGGGTCAGAGATCATGTTCTGTGTACATTTTTTTAAATATAAAATTTCCAAACTTTGTCACTTGTGTTATTGCTTGCATATGTTTTCTAGCTAGCACGCGGGAGAAAAATCCAACCACGGTCGGCATGGTCACTGTGAGTTCAGCAGGTGTATAGCATACATCATAGAATGAATCCAAATTCTATTTGATATTGTTGGTGTCTACACAGTTTTTCTTGTCATCTAGATGTTCATTATTTAGGCCTACGCGTTGTTGATGGGACAGAGATTAACACCATAAATACTTAGCCCTAAGGGCCTAAATAGTAGATTTAAATAGGCTACTAAAATATATTTAAAATTTATTTTTATAGGCTACTAAACTTATAGAATAGAACTTTATATTAGATGAACCCTCAACCCGGCAGGTAAAACTCCATTTTAGCATATTTTATTCGCCGCTTCATATTCACCTCCAATTGAGCGTATTTTATTATAAACACAACCAAAACACACAAAAATGTTAGGAAAACACTAGGATTAGAATAATTAGATGATAGATATAATATAGATCTACTTATTTTTTATGTAGGCCTATGTGTTTTAATTAGAAAAGGTAAAAAATATAAATTAGCATTACAGTTCCAATTAAATAGTGTGTGATCAGCGGCAAGAGAAAAATCCCTACATGGTCAAGGGTTCACATTTCTTTTAACTATAAACATACGTCATAGCTTAGGTTCATTGTGAGTTCAAGTTCATGTAAGTTAATTTATAGAATCATAGCTTGCAATTATGCGTTTCTACTTTACCCGTTGCCATGAAAATCTTAACTGACACAAACATATTTTCAAGAAAAAAAGTTAAATCTAGATCTAAATCTAGTACACACTCAAAATTTTGCTCAAGTTTTAACAAAATTAATTTAAAAAACTAACACAAAATTCATAAAGAAATAGACAAAGTTATTTCCTAACGTTTTTGTGTGTTTCTAATAAAATACGCTCAACTGGAGATGAACATGAAGCAGGGAATAAAATACACTAAAATGGAGTTTTACCAACCCGGCGACTGCTCAACCACACTGTACTGGTCATGTTGTCAGAAGAATAAAGCTATAAAAAGATAATTTGAGCCCAATGCTTGGCTATTATTTAGTATTTAATTTGAGCCCATGACGGAGCTACTATGGTCATTGCATTTTGCATCTTCTGCTGACCAGAACAGCGCTGGGTGGGGGAAAGAACTTCCAAGAAGATTTTTCTAAATAGTCACTTTTCAGCCTACTGAATAATTTCAAGACTACTAAATAATTAAATATTATTGTAGTCTTATCTTATGGTTTTTAAGACTTAGGTCTAAGAATTTAGTTAAAAATTAAATAAATAAGTCTTCTTGTGAATCTTGTCAAATGTCAGTCCCTTATCCTCAAAATCCTGACAGTGAGTTGGGAACGTAGATCTAGAATCTAGATCTAGATCTAGATCTACGTGCAAAACAGTCAAAACTCAAGTTGAGTGCCAGTTCTAATAACTAGATTCTAGGTCTATACAACTGATATATACAGGGATTTATACACTTAAGACAACCCACAGCATGTCAGTAAACCATTAAGTTAACAGCAAATAAAAATTGATTCTTAATATCTACCTAAATAAGAAAATCAATGTTTTCACTTATCAACAAAGAAAATAAATTTTTGCGACGGAAGCCATTATTACGGAAGTTATTAATTTTTTATGAAACGATTACTACTATTGGCCAATTAGAGAAAAATGTCAACCAATTGAAATACAGAAAAGAAAAACTTTAAAATTATTATCTTGTTTCGAGTTTTTGTTGTCTTCATAAAATTAATAAATAATATTTAGGGCCTACTTAAAATAGAACGAATAACATTTTCATTCAACACAGTAAACTTTTAAAAATGCATTCGTTTTTTTAAAGCAAATTTAAAAAAGCAGGGATGGAATCTGCTAAAAATTACTTTATTTATAATATATTTATTTCAATTAGGCCTATGTTTATTCAAAAAACAATTGATTTTTAAACATTGTTATCTGAGAAAAAGTTATCTATCTTCCTCGTTGAAAATAAAATGTATAGTGCTTTCGCAAAACTTTTAAGAAATCTAACGTAGTGAGAAACATCGGGAAATACCGACAACGTTCATAATTTGCGCTGTGTAGTTTCCACGTTCGACTAAAATTTTGCACTCATTGACAAGGGAGCAGAGCTAAAATAACTGCTAGTCTACATATTATTAATATTATCCGCCTACGGTCCGAATGTCTCGAGTACGGACCTAGATCTCAAGTCTGTAAGATGTAGCTGAGTCAGTTTCTTCCAGGCATTTCTTCGGGGTGGTTGGGTGGGTGGGGGGGGGGAGCGGGGGAAAATATCTATTTTTTAGGTGTCCGCCCCCCCCCCCCCCCCCCCGGAGAAAAAAAAGTCTTGAAGAAACACTGAGCCGAGTCCACCCAGCTCTGATAGGTATCTGACTTACGTCAGGGAAAGTTAAGGCGGTTGGGCATAATGCTGACCACAGTATCTGGTTTATTGTTAAGTTCTGCTGTGGTCAGACTAATTAATGACTGAATGTGTTAATTAAAACACTTTAAAATCGTAATTTATATTAACCCCATGGACAACTTTACAAAAACTCTGGGGTTTAGGTCAAAGGGAAACCACTGCGGAAATACTACTTTAAATATATGATTATAAGGATTGCCTCCTCTAAATGTCAATAATCTTGAATTCTGTAAAGTTCCATAGTTAATTTGTTTTATTTAAAAAAAAATAATCAACGTGCTGAACTGCATTTATAAAAAAAATATTGAAACTAGAATTATCATACTAATGTACAGACTAACTTTCCATATCATATTCTTTGAGAAAAAGCTAAGATTGGTATCCAATAAGTGTAGCCCCCTCCCCCCCCATATAGAAACTTCAACTATTTATACATTATAGATAATTATAAAAACAAATTAACAAACCTGGAATATTTTGTTTTTCAAGCTACAGTCGAAGGAGGAATCACTGCAAAAACACCACTCTTGACATAATATAGTACAATTTATTTCTCTATCTAACAATCAGTTTTGTTTTTTATTTAATGCACTGTAAATTTAAAAATGTATTAAACAAACTTGCTTTGTAAGTCAGTTTATACTCCTGTTGAAATAGTTGGCTGGGGATCATCAGGGTATACAAGGAGCCAAGCCACTACAAGACTCTAGTACCTAATGGCAGCCTTTTAAAACTAGTTCACACAAATAAAATGAATCAGCTTTAATCTAACACGGTGAAATATTCTATATAATAATTTCAATCATGCTTTCTTTTAAAGAAATTATCTGAGCAGTGCCATAGTTATACATGTTTTGTGACTCCCCTCCATCTCTTTAGATGGACAACAGGTAAACAATGTTTGTGTGGAGGATATTTTTGTGGGCCTACCCTTAACTGGACCACAGGTAAACTATAGCAATATATTTATGTATGCCTATTTCAGGAGATACCGTCATTTGAAATCAATTGATGAAGAAGCTGTGAAGCAGTCTTCTTTAATTATGGTACATAACTTCTAATGAGTTTTTTTTTTACAAGATTCTTCCTTGATAACTGCAGAATCATAGACTTTCAGACCATACAATAAAACCACTCACTAATTCTGTCAACAACACAGCCTTCAGTTGGTTACTTTCCTGGAATTTATATAATCCACTGACTAAAATCTTGCTTCTTCTCAACTAATGTTTTATAGATTACCAAAGACTTCTTTGTCCACAAAAATTCAACACTCGTGGCCAGGAGCTGATAGTTTATGATATATATGTTTTGCTTTTTGAAAGTTACAAAGATCAAACAAGGATTGTATATCCAGGAATAGCCAACAAAGAACAAAAATGTTTTATTCTATTTAAATAAGATACAATTCAGCCTTTTATTAAAAAAAAATCAGTAAAAATCCTTAAAAGAGGATTTTGAAGATAGGCCTGATGTCTCTATTTCAGTTTCCAAAAATCTAATATACAGCCAATTGACCGTTCTTGATTATTTCTTTTGAATACAGACATTTAGGATCCTGAAAAACAAAACATAATTTTCTGTCAAAATATAATTCTATACAATAGTGAAAGGCTCTTTAAAGCTCTACTTCAAGTTACTAAAACTCAAAAGAGAATTATCTAATTAAAAAACCTCTTAAAGAGTAAAATAACAAATTTTCCCAGGTGTTCATCATAAGAATCAGTTCACTATATGCACATTCTATGCAAACTTACAGACAAAACTATTTCTCTAAAAGCCTCTGCATCTCCTTGATCTAAAAACAGTTCCGGGGCATCATACTTCTGGTGAGGATGAAAATCAAAGATTTCAGCAATCTTGTTTGAACGTTGTACTGAACAACTGGTGAAAAGAAGAAAATTATCTAATTAATACTTAGTTGACCCCTCAGACACCAATGCAGTCAAGTCACAATTGTGCTTCAGCAACAGAGTAGTGTGTAACAGCTAGTGGCATCACTATAATTATAAAACAAAAATGTTTATAATAAGCTTAAATGAAAGGAAAAATTAGAAAATAAAACTAATTTGCTTTCTTTAATAAAAGCATTAGTCACTCATATAATCTCCTACACACTTTGGTGACCAATGCTTTTATGTTCCACTTTTTAGTCATTTGTTTTTGATGAAGTTGACACAGCAAAGCATCTATAAGCAGTAAAAATACATCACTAGGATTTAATCTCATTATCTCCCCTTATATTTTTGAATTTATTAATCATTTAATTAGGTTTTATTTACCAATCTAATATCTAATTAGATAAAAAATGAGATATTCTTGGATTGTCATAGGAGACAAATGTATCTGCAAAGTTTGAACAAAATCACTGCATTAGATGTGGATCAAATTTGAGTTAAAAGATTTACCACAACCCAGTAAACAAACAGACATGGTTAATAAAATAAATAAAAGCTTATGAAAACACTGCCTCCCCAATACAAGAGCCAGATTGATAAAGCAACACAAGCTATGGAAGTAAATTGAAAACCACAGCAAATCACTTTACAACCACAAGGACATTCACTGTTCTATTGCTTTAAAGCAGGGGTCTCCAAACTTTTCAGTCCGAGGGCTGCATTAACTATTAAATTTCAGTTTGGGGGCCAGTTTCTTCCAGGCATGTCGTGATTTTTCTGAGCAAAGTTTCTCAGCCATCACCAACAAACGTTTTTTCCATGGACAAAAATATCTCCGCGGACCGGATGAGAGGACATTGCTGGCCGCATACGGCCCGCGGCCCGTAGTTTGGAGACCCCTGCTTTAAAGTAACATCATACAACTACACAGAACAACACCCACCATCACCAGCTACACTACAGAACACCCACCATCACCAGCTACACTACAGAACACCCACCATCACCAACTACACAACAGAACACCCACCATCACCAGCTAAACTACAGAACACCCACCATCACCAACTACAGTGAACAACACCCACCATCACCAGCTAAACTACAAAACACCAACCATAGCAATTAAACCAACACTAGCTATAATAAAGGGCAATGACAAACACTTTGAAATGAACCTTACAGATTGCGATAGTGGTTCCAGTCTCCATTCGCCAAATTTCTCCAGTCCTCAAAAAGTTTGTCATTTTCAAATGGTGCATCATCTAGATCAAGTCTTTCCATGTCTTCAACAATCTATTGGAGTAAAAAAATTCAACTTTAAAAAAAATATTCAACTAGATGCAGAGATTTAAAAACCTAGTTTTATGGTACAAATGTTTTGTTTGTAGTACATTAAAAAGTGAATGCAAAGTGTTTCTTACAGCTTCAAAATCTGGCATCTCTTTTACATTGTAGTTTAAAATCAATGAATTTTTCCTGCAAATGTGATAAAAATTTAGTGCATTTAATACAATGGAATATATATCTATCCTTATATATATATATATATATATATATATATATATATATATATATATATATACATATACATACGGTTCCATGACAAATGATCTCAGGACAAAATATCTCAAGGACAAATGATCCCATGAGTGATGGACAAAAGATACCAGGACAAATGATATCATGGACAATTGATCTCAGACAAAATATCTCACAGCATAATTGTAACAGTAAGTACAATGATTTTAATTGATTTGAACATTTTTTTAATTGGCTGTCAATATGGTTTTTTTTATACCTGAAAGGTATAATAAATGATAATGTATAAAACAAATAAAGTAACGGTAGCTATACAACATTCATGTTCAAAACACGCAAAGTATTTAACAAAAAATGTGAAAGGGTCTTAAGGTCCGTAACGTAAAATTATTCTTTTATTGCATCATCAACCCAAACATAACGTTTACGTTTCTTTGCTGACAGTACATCGTTATGATCACACCTCTCCAATACTATGTGATCATGTATTGTGTGAACTCTTGCTCGACATTTTTTTAACTTCACATTTCCAAATCTCTTTGCCTGCTGCTTCACTTATGGCTTTTATAAACAGAAATTCACCAGAAACTAATGTCCTAAAACCCTTCTGCGAGGTAACGAAAGAGGCCATAGCTGAGTAATCACCACTAATACTGCTTTGTTTGCATTCACACTACGACAATCGTAGCTCCGCGATGACCGCTGTGGTTTAAACAAGCATTAGTCATCTATCACCAAGGTGTGACCGACGCATAACAATGGACTTTAGATGCTAGTTGTATTGTCCTTGGAGGGCGGATGTCTTTACATTAAGGCATGTCTCTGCTATCAAAGCGGGCGGCCACCTTGATTGTCTTTATTGTTCTTTCATTCCCTTTGATCTAGTTTCAGCAACCTGACATGGTAGGATTGTCTCATGTTTGTCAAGCCCACCTACGCTGTCTATTGTAAAAAATTCTTTAATCTTCGCAAACTAAATTAGTAATCCTAATTTTAAATGTTTAGTGCAATATGACAAATTTATACGGCAAACATTTCTTGCAATTATTATATAGGCCTATAAACAATATTAAACATAGTAAACAAAAACATATGACAGTCAATAAAAAAAATGTTCAGATCAACTAAAATCATCCAATGCACTATTAAAATGTAGGTGTGAGATATTTTGTCTGAAATATTTTGTCTGAGATCAATTGTCCATGGTATCATTTGTCCTGATATATTTTGTCCTGGTATCTTTTGTCCGTGAGATCATTTGTCCTGAAATATTTTGTCTGAGATAATTTGTCCTGAGATATTTTGTCTGAGATCATTTGTCCTGTCACCATACATACATATATACAGAAATATCTACCCATCTATATGTATCTATACATATCTATATGTACATAAATACATATACAAATATATATAGACCCATTTATATAATAGGCCTACGGAGAGAAATAGAAAAAGTATACATGTTTAATCCAATAATAACGTACTTCATTGATGGAAGATATTGTGTTTTGTAGACATCACCAACTGTATGAAGGAAATCATCTGTCAAAACAGGACTGTTCACTTCCCATGGCTAATCAAATAACATTATAATCACAATCAGACATGCATGGAATTGAGATAAAAATAAACTAGCCTACAATCCTTATAAAGCAATTCCCTTATTTGAGTGCCATAAACAACAAATGTTATGTTCTTGTAGTACTCAATAACTTACCACATTCCTTTTTTTAATCCTATCTTTAATAGTGCTCACGGGTGCGTCAAGATAGATGACCAAGTGAGGGCGACAAAAGTAAACAGTGGAGTTTGTATACTGAAACATGTAGGCTTTTAAAGCTGAAAACACAATGTATAAAATAGAGTTGATAAAGTCAAAATTAAATTTTGAGTTTGCCTAGTATGGAATGTAGCAAAAGTAAATAGATTAGTAGCAAAATATTGATAATGGCATTTTCATCATTTTGTGAAATAATATAAAAATGGCAAATAATCTGAGAGTATAAACCTGCAGGTCTCATGTAGCCTTGTCTTGTCAGTGTGTGAGCAAACACCATATCAGACCACATTCCTCGACTCATCACTACACCTTGACCTAAGAAAAAAATGTGTTTAGTTATTACTTTAGGCAAACAAAACACACATATTTACTGATTTAGGTCAATAAACACTATAGAAATACCTGTGTTTAGCACATGAGCTAATATGTTGTGTGCATATCTGTACACTTTTTGTCTGTAGAGTTCATACTGTATTCTTGGAAAATTCTCCAACTCTTTTTTTGACCCTTTTTTTGAGTAGAACTTTTCAAAATCACATGTGCGAGCTTTCACTGGCAGCTGCTCATCGTATTCCCTTAAATCTATGCCTTTTGCTGGTATTGTGTCACACATCTCTGCATTGCGTATGTCAGGTACATATAACATGTCAAATTCCTTAGCTAATTTCTGTCCTAGTTCAGTCTTGCCTGTTGCAAGATTTCCCTCAATAACAATTATTTTAGTATTTTCGTTGAAACGACGGGCTGCTAAATCGAAGGGTATATGCCAATATCTAAAACCTTTTTCCTTGTAAGGCCATGGTTTTTCTCTTTTTGGTGGATTTCCACCGTATGCGGTAAGATTGGCAACTTGAATGGGCGAAGTTACACATGGAGCCAAACAGTATCTGTTTGCACCCTTTAAAACAAACTTGTTCAACGATGAAGATACTCTTGTAATGGCGTGAGTCATTTTTAAAAGAAGTCGTAGCCTATGATTTATGACTTAACATTAGCCATAGGCTTTACGACGTTACCAAATTCTATCCGCTATCCTATCCAGTAACCTCCAGTTTCCCGGAAGTTGATACAATGTTAAATTTTAACTAGCCAGATAAAAATTAGAAACTATATAACAAAGTTTCGTCAATTAGGAAATATTACATTTAATAACTATTTATTCTAACTACAAAGATTAGCTAAAATTAAGATCTAGTAAAATATGTATTGGCTGTACAAAATGCCGGTGCTATGTGCTAAGGAAGGATTTTCACAGATGTATGTCACTGCGTTAACTTTCTCGAATACGAAGTATAAAAATATAGATAAAACATCGTGCACAAAAATCGAAATCGAGATTTTGCGGAATTCGTGACGTTTTACAGTTATAAACCTTCCCATGTCGGACAACATAGCCTTGCAATCTTTTCCGCGAGTCTCTGTGTGTATCTGAACACAATGGTTTCAGCAAAGTTTTTAGATAGGTAGATTGACGAAATTTTATAAATAAGTATATATAATATTAATATTATACGAAATTAGTTGTTCTCTCTTAACTTTTGAGTAATTTCCGTTAACCCGAAGTGGTAGTTTTACTTCTTCTTCGTTCTTAATTTTAGTGTTGGAAGGGATCCCCCTCCAACACAATTAAGGATACGTGTCAACTGGTTATGCGCCATTGACTCCGATTTCCCCCTGGAAAATGTAGTCGTTCCTCTCCCGAAATTTTCAAGTGCCCCCCCCCCCCCCCCAGGAGAAAAAAAGTCTAAAAGAAACACTGTGAAAGAAATCTCTTATATTAATATATTACGCTGGTTTCTGTCAGCTTTTGTGTGATTTCCGTTGAACGGAAGTGGTATAGTATTTTACTTTTGCGTTAACATAAGAACTTGAGTATCGCCTCAGGCGGACGAAATTTCATATAGATCTATAAGTATTAGATCCGGTACGTAGGCTTCTATCAACTTTAGAGCGATTTCCACTAACCAGAAGGAATACTTTACTCTATTTCCGAAGTCTCAGAAAACCTTTAGAATTAAAATTTTCTCATATTCTAAAAACGTCGCTATGTTTTCTCGATTAACGAGCATTTTTGTCACAAACCTATATTTCTAAAACCCGATTTCATTGGAAGTGCTACTCCAACCCCTATTGTTAAATACGAATATATGAGAAAGTTTAGGGGAGTTCACTCCCACTTTTAAATAAAATGCATAATGCGTAATTATTTAGATATAAACATCTAGTAGTTCCAAGAGGAAGCCAAGGTTATTGCTATCAAGTAATAACTAACCATAAGACATTTATTTTATAATATAAAGAATAAACAATAAACAAACACGAAGTAAATAATGACAGCTTTATTTGGATACTGCACAAGCATGTGCTCTTTACAAGTTTAACTGGTCATTGATGAGCTTTCAGACCAAAATAAAACAATATAGGTAGCAGTTTGACCTTTTGATGAGTAAACAGACCGATTCGGAATCTGAGTGGTCATTGATGAGCATACAGATTAACTGTCCCATTCAATAATAAGTTAAAATGTTGTTTTTTTTATCTGGCAATCCTTCACATTTGTTTTATTTAGATCCTGTGTTTATATGTGTTTTTTCCTACCAAACACGTGCTAGAAACACGTGCTGGATGTGCTTCACTAAACACACGTGTGATGTAACGCTTGAGTGATGTAACACAAATGTCACGTGCTCTAAGTATTTGTTCTAGATGAATATATAGTTTGAGTAACAATCCCCGAAATCTTTAATAGACATACGAAACACGATTCCAAAAAATCAAAACTGTGCATTGATCACGAAGTTAGTGAACCAGTACGGCAGTGTAAGACTCGCTTAGTGGACGATACCCTTGTACGTGGTCAGGGATTACAGTGCGGTTTTTAACTGAATGACCATAGTACTAAAGAAATGACCGTAAGGCGTGGCAAGCTGCTAAAGAGATGTCAAACAAAGAGCAGCACATCGTCAGATATACATGGCTGATAGGCTCACACAAAATAATGAAATTCCTTAAATTTCCATAATACAATATAGATCTATCTCAACATTTAAAAAAAAAAAGTTTTCAAGCCTACTGTTCTAAAATAAACAGCATATCTCTCTTTAACGATCTCTAATTTAAAAAAAATAAAAATCTGGAAACGAAGCAAGAAAAAAAAAATTGGCCCGTACTTTGCTGGCGTGCCTGTAAAGACGCTTTGTTCATGCGGCATTTATGCACGAGAAGAAACATTCAAGGCCAGCAAAGGGCAGTATAATCTACCTAATGCCCCTGGGCCTTGCAGAGGACGAAAGTATTCGCCTGATATCTCCGGGCCTCCAACAGGACAGTATTGTCAGCTTAACTTTCCAGAGCCTTACAAAACATGAAAGAAACACCTAGCGATAATCCAGGAGAAGAATAATCCATGAGAAAAATAATGTTCTACAAATCCCAGAATGATGGCTGTGCATTACCTGAAATTGATGTAATGATTACAAACTAAAGAAAAACAAAGATAAAATTCTCCTGGTATCATAGACACATGAACCATTTTAGAAATGTTTTACTAACAACTAAGTCTAACACTATTCAAAGCGAGGGAATCTAACATTTCTTCATTGTGTTTTTTTTTGTGTAAATTGAAATGGGCATGACTTGTTCGTGTTTTTTGTATAATGCCTGTGTTACGGGTCATTTTTCTGTGCAATGCTAGTGTTACGGTTCATTTTTCTGTGCAATGCTAGTGTTACGGTTCATTTTTCTGTGCAATGCTAGTGTTACGGGTCATTTTTTCTGTGCAATGCTAGTGTTACGGGTCATTTTTCTGTGCAATGCTAGTGTTACGGTTCATTTTTCTGTGCAAGGCTTGTGTTACTGTTCATTTGTCTGTGCAGTGCTTGTGTTACGGTTCATTTTTCTGTATAAGGCTTGTGTTACGGTTCATTTTTCTGTATAAGGCTTGTGTTACGGTTCATTTTTCTGTGCAAGGCTTGTGTTACGGTTCATTTTTCTGTATAAGGCTTGTGTTACGGTTCATTTTTCTGTGCAAGGCTTGTGTTGCGGTTCATTTTTCTGTGCAAGGCTTGTGTTACGGGTCATTTTTCTGTGCAATGCTAGTGTTACGGTTCATTTTTCTGTGCAAGGCTTGTGTTACGGTTCATTTGTCTGTGCAGTGCTTGTGTTACGGTTCATTTTTCTGTATAAGGCTTGTGTTACGGTTCATTTTTCTGTGCAAGGCTTGTGTTACGGGTCACTGTGGATGTACTCCAGCACGTTGGGCAGGCCACGCACTACACAGGCACTCAGTGCACTTCGGTACAGGCTTAGATCATGGGCATCGTACCTACAACGACAAGGTCAGCAGGTCAAGGGGCGTGACCATGTTATATAACACATAAATAAGAGACTTTCCACACACACACTATCCCATATTAAGTGCATAACATTTCTAAAAACCCCCCATCTCATAATAGATCTTTTAGTATCTCTTACCCCCTGCCTTCTTTTCAAGATCATATAACTTTTTTGCACTGCAAAATGTTCTTTTGTATCACAAATTACTCAAAAGTCCAGAGTTCGGACCTAGTGCGGATTTACTTTTGAGCAAGGCTTCCTTCAGACATTTTTCTTCGGGGAGGGAGGGGTGTGGGGGGGGGGGGGACTTGAAATCTCCGGGGAGAGGACGTACTTCAACTTTCCGTGGTTGAATGGTTAAAGTATGCCATATATTTTCTAAATACATTATTTTTTTCTATTTCGGCCGGAGGAAGAGGGAGAGAAGTGATGGGGTTGCTGGGGGGGGGGGGGGGGGGGGAGGGGGGAGGGGGGTGCAATGAGTGATGTCTGAAAGAAACTTTTAAGAAGCGAGACAGTGCCTAAATTAAAGTGGCAATTTTTCTAATACCTACCACTCATCCGCCTTCGAGTCGTAACACTCTACATTAAATATGGTTGTCACACCATTAAAGCCGCCGATAACGAAAATCATTTCGTCAATAACCTGTTAGAATAATATTAATAATATTAATAATAACTCATTGAAAGTATAACCAAACGTGTAGTGAAGGCGTAAGAATATATATATATATATATATATATATATATATATATATATATATATATATATATATATATATATATATATATATATATATATATATATATATATATATATACTTATACCTATACATTATTTTCAAATTAATAAAAACCCCCACCTTCATTACAAAATTCATTCTTCGTCTATTCCAACGTAGGTAAGTTTTGCATTGATAAACCTCTAAGGTACCCAGATTTTTGTGTGCAGTAAGATAAACTAGATCTAGATCTAGTGTTTTCTATGTCGTGAATTTTGTTATATTCCAAGAAAATATCAGTATACTTGTTACTAGTTCATTTTATAGACTTCATTGAAACTACATGTTATGAAGTATGCAAATAAAATGCCTTATATCTCTGTAGACAATGGTCATTCGTACCTCAATAGCGAAGTTACTTCTCGGACTGTACATTTCTGGAATGGTTGACCACGTTTTCTTGATTGGGCAGTATCGTTCCCCTGTATTCATACGTGTAATCCCATTGAAGCCGCCGAGTGCATAGATCATACCATTGTAGGCAATCACACCAACACCACTGCGACGATTACGCATTGGGCTGTAACAAAGTCATACAGCGATGGTTCAGTCAATGTTATATAGATGATATCAGGTGTTTGGGAGTAGAAACAAAGTGTTTAAAATCTGACCTGATAAGCGTCCACTGCACTGTCGATGGTTCATAATACTCCACCGTGTTCAGACACTCCTGGCCGTTAAAACCACCACAAATGTAGATTCTGCCTGAAGGAAGACGTTCATTGTATCAAGCTTAAGGTCAAGCTCGGGGAGGGGGGGGGGACTATGTGACTGGCTACCCTAAACCCTGTGTGTCAATCAACTGTCCATATGTCCACTCGCAACCGCCAATGCGTCAACACACCCACTTCTCGTGTGTCCACCCACACCCCACCCATCCACCAGCAACTCATGTATCCACCCAGCGTCCACATGTCCCCCCCCACCAGCGCCCACATGTCCACCCACCCCCACCCCCCAAACAACTCATGTATCCACCCACTGCCCACATGTCCACCCACCACCAACCCACCCTCACCCATCCACCAGCAACTCACGTATCCACCCACCGCCCCCCAACAACTCATGCATCCAACCCCCTCATGTCCACCCACCCACCGCCCCCAACAACTCATGTGTCCACCCACCACTCCCACCATCCACATATCCACCCACCGCCCCCAACAACTTATGTATACACCCACCCCACCCTCATGTCCACCGCCCCCCCAACAACTCATGTATCCACCCCCACCCCCCAGCAACTCATGTATCCACCCACCGCCCATTGTAGTAGCCCTGGCATCACTACGCTGGTGGTTCATAGATTGGATGAAGCTCCACTGGTTCGTCTGTCTGTTGAACCGTTCGACCGAGTGGAGACGGAGCTGCCCGTCAAACCCTCCCATGGCATAGATCAAACCATCCAACTCAGCAACACTCACGTAACACCTACGGACAGAAAACCATACAACAGCTCAGAATGACTTTGTACTCAGTATTTGTAATTGGGCTTATTAATTTTTTTCCTCAAACTAATTACAGAGTTTTACGAGATCCCTTTCCCATCTGATATAATTTATGGCTAGGTTGACTTCGCAAACAGAAAAATTATGTGTTATATAATTAATATTTATTGCTAAAAATATATATAATATAAAAATCAGTTACATTCGTATCACTATAATAACTACTCCAATGTACATCAGTCATTGTTTTAGGATTAATTTCTCTTTATTATGATTTTTTCTTTTTGTCTTTTGATTTTACATTTTTGTCTATCGAATTTACCTTTTTGTCTATTGAATTTGTTTTTTGGTAAGCTGAATTTACCTTTTGGTCGAATACATATCTATCTACCTTTTGTCGGACGAAGTTACCTTTTGTCGAAGTTACCTTTTTGTCGAAGTTACCTTTTTGCCGGACGAATTTACCTTTTAGAGTTCATTGGTGCCATCTCTGACCAGGCCTTTGTGACGGCATTGAACACGCGACAGCTGTTGAAATATTCCACTCCGTCGAATCCGCCAATCACAAAAATGCAATGATCAATGGTAACGCAGCCGTGATAGGCTCTTGCACCTGAAACACAACCTGTGTCAATATGATTGGCTGATGTCTAATCACGTGGTTCAGTCTTATGTAATTGCGATTAAAATATAATAGCACGTTTAGGTGTTCTACTCCATACGGTCATTTGTACATAACATTCCGTTATTCTAACGTAATTTTAGCCTCTTCACCATGCCATCAAATGTCACAAATAACCCCACACACCACACGAAGACACAAAGTTACGACCTTTCTTTAACTACAATGATTCAAATGAAATTGAAAATATTTTAATCCCTTTTTTTTTTACTATAAAGTGAAAGAAAAGAGAACCGAATCAAAACACAGATGCCAGTTACAAGAAAAATGAGCCAAATCTGAACACAGCTACCAGTTTAAAGAAAAATGAGCCAAATCTGAATACAGCTACCAGTTAGTAGAAAATGAACCAAACACAGCTACCATTTCAAAGAAAAATGAAAAAGGAGCCAAATCTGAACACATCACCCAACAAACGTTTACCAACGTCATGATGCTTCGAGACGACCCATGAGTCGGCCTTCGTGTCGTAGACTTCTACCAAGTTAGTGGGGGTCCCGCCGCTCCAGCCCCCCACCACGAACAGGAGCTCGTGGGGCACCCTGGGCCTGGACATCCGGTTGGAAGGATCTGTCGTGCGCTGGTCGTCCCAGTCCAGGTCACAGAGCAGACGTAGCGCCTCCACTACGATTGATTTGGCCGCTTCACATTCTTTTACATATTTGTGTGGTTTTACCTGGACAATATAGGATATTTGTGTGATTTGTTTGGCTTATATAAGACATTTGTATGATATATTTGGCCAATACGAGATATTTGTGTGATTTGTTTGGCCTATATAATACATTTGTATGATATATTTGGCCAATACGAGATATTTGTGTGATTTGTTTGGCCTATATAATACATTTGTATAATATATTTGGCCAATACGAGATATTTGTGTGATTTGTTTGGCCTATATAATACATTTGTATGATATATTTGGCCAATACGAGATATTTGTGTGATTTGTTTGGCCTATATAATACATTTGTATAATATATTTGGCCAATACGAGATATTTGTGTGATTTGTTCCTGGCCAAAAAAAATTGTACGATATATCTGGCCAATACGAGATTTTTAAAAATTTCACCTGGGCACTACATTAGTGTATATTTACTTGACCACTATAGATATTTGTGTAATTTTACGTGACCAATATAAGCTATTTTACCTTGCCCATATAAGATATATCCTGGCCAAGATAAGATATTCATGTCATTTTTCCTGTTCAATGTTAGATATCTTTGAATTTTCCATTGGCCAACATAATATGTATGTGTTGTTTTACCTAGCCACTACGAGACATTTTACACACATCATATTTGTGTGAATTTACCAGACCATTACTAAATATATCACTGACAGGCCAGGGCTAACCTCAAAACCTAACACTGCTTATACATTAGGGCAACAACTGACAACTCTATGCACTTTTTAGTTGGCCTATATCCCCTCAGTACAGACGAGAACAGGCAGACGCCAATGTAAACAAACGGATGAGCTACCTTTTCTATGAAGGTTCGAGTTGTGATGATACCCAGTCTAATGCACGTTAGCAGCCGAGCAATCTCCTGTTTCCTGTCGTCCGGGTTGAAATCAATCCACCTGATGACCGCATCAAATACCATTTCTTCGTTTCGAACGTTGAGATAGTCGGAGTCCAGGATCTCACAAAGCTGTGGGTAGAGGCAGGGTATGCCAGATTGTACCACGGTTAAACAATACTTCTCGTGTTTTGTTATGTTATTAGATATCACTATTTTCTGGACAACCCTGACCTATTTAAGACTATGTATCACAAAATTGTTTGAGTCTTTAACTTTCTGTTATTGTAAGTTGTAAAAGGCTTGGGAATAAATAGTTAAACTTACAAAGACGGGGCGGCTAAATGTCGAAGCTGTGTGCAAATCTAAAATAAAATTATTCTCTAAAATTGACATCTCTAAATTACCTGGTCTATTGACATCTCTAAATTACCTGGTCTATTGACATCTCTAAATTACCTGGTCTATTGACATCTCTAAATTACCTGGTCTATTGACATCTCTAAATTACCTGGTCTATTGACATCTCTAAATTACCTGGTCTATTGACATCTCTAAATTACCTGGTCTATAGACACCTATATATTACCTGATCTATTGACATCACTAAATTACCTGGTCTATTGACATCTCTAAATTACCTGGTCTATTGACATCTTTAAATTACCTGGTCTATTGACATCTCTAAATTACCTGGTCTATTGACATCTCTAAATTACCTGGTCTATTGACATCTTTAAATTACCTGGTCTATTGACATCTCTAAATTACCTGGTCTATTGACATCTCTAAATTACCTGGTCTATTGACATCTCTAAATTACCTGGTCTATTGACATCTCTAAATTATCTGGTCTATTGACATCTCTAAATTACCTGGTCTATTTACATCTCTAAATTACCTGATCGATTGACATCACTAAATTACCTGGTCAATTGACATCACTAAATTACCTGGTCTATTGACATCTCTAAATTACCTGGTCTATTGACATCTCTAAATTACCTTGTCTATTGACATCTCTAAATTACTCGGTCTATTGACATCTCTAACTTATCTGGTCTATTGACATCTCTAAATTACCGGGTGTATTGACATCTCTAAATTACCTGGTCTATTGGCATCTCTAAATTACCTTGTCTATTGACATCTCTAAATTACCTGGTCTTTTGACATCTCTAAATTACCTGGTCTATTGGCATCTCTAAATTACCTGGTCTATTGACATCTCTAAATTACCTGGTCTATTGACATCTCTAAATTACCGGGTGTATTGACATCTCTAAATTACCTGGTCTATTGACATCTCTAAATTACCTGGTCTATTGACATCTCTAAATTACCTGGTCTATTGACATCTCTAAATTACCTGGTCTATTGACATCTCGAGATTACTTGGTCTATTGACATCTCGAGATTACTTGGTCTATTGACATCTCTAAATTACCTGGTCTATTGGCATCTCTAAATTACCTGGTCTATTGACATCTCTAAATTACCTGGTCTATTGACATCTCTAAATTACCTGGTCTATAGACACCTATATATTACCTGATCTATTGACATCTCTAAATTACCTGATCTATTGACATCACTAAATTACCTGGTCTATTGACATCTCTAAATTACCTGGTCTATTGACATCTTTAAATTACCTGGTCTATTGACATCTCTAAATTACCTGGTCTATTGACATCTCTAAATTACCTGGTCTATTGACATCTCTAAATTACCTGGTCTATTGACATCTCTAAATTATCTGGTCTATTGACATCTCTAAATTACCTGGTCTATTTACATCTCTAAATTACCTGATCGATTGACATCACTAAATTACCTGGTCAATTGACATCACTAAATTACCTGGTCTATTGACATCTCTAAATTACCTGGTCTATTGACATCTCTAAATTACCTTGTCTATTGACATCTCTAAATTACTCGGTCTATTGACATCTCTAACTTATCTGGTCTATTGACATCTCTAAATTACCGGGTGTATTGACATCTCTAAATTACCTGGTCTATTGGCATCTCTAAATTACCTTGTCTATTGACATCTCTAAATTACCTGGTCTTTTGACATCTCTAAATTACCTGGTCTATTGACATCTCTAAATTACCTGGTCTATTGACATCTCTAAATTACCTGGTCTATTGACATCTCTAAATTACCGGGTGTATTGACATCTCTAAATTACCTGGTCTATTGACATCTCTAAATTACCTGGTCTATTGACATCTCTAAATTACCTGGTCTATTGACATCTCTAAATTACCTGGTCTATTGACATCTCGAGATTACTTGGTCTATTGACGTCTCTAAATTACCTGGTCAATTGACATCACTAAATTACCTGGTCTATTGACATCTCTAAATTACCTGGTCTATTGACATCTCTAAATTACCTGGTCTATTGGCATCTCTAGAAACTCCTGACTTGTGGTGGATACTTCATGGAACTTTCTAAGGATAAAGTTATGAGCTTCCCTCTCTAAATCCCTACAGGAGTAGGTCTGGGCAAAGTTGCGAATGCCTATACAGTTCTCGGGGTTGATACTTTTCTTGAGAAATTCGCAGCACGGTTTCACCAGGCCAGATACAAGGAACCGATCAGCCGCAGGTAAAAGTTCTTCAATGTTGGTCCAACTTAACTGGGGACATCAGGGTCAGTTTGTTAGTGGTCAGATGTTATAGGTCAGTCAGATGTTATAGGTCAGTTCTTCAATGTTGGTCCAACTTAACTGGGGACACCAGGGGTCAGTTTGTTAGAGGTCAGATGTCATAGGTCAGTCAGATGTTATAGGTCAGTTCTTCAATGTTGGTCCAACTTAACTGGGGACATCAGGGTCAGTTTGTTAGAGGTCAGATGTCATAGGTCAGTCAGATGTTATAGGTCAGTTCTTCAATGTTGGTCCAACTTAACTGGGGACACCAGGGTCAGTTTGTTAGAGGTCAGATGTCATAGGTCAGTCAGATGTTATAGGTCAGTTCTTCAATGTTGGTCAAACTTAACTGGGGACATCAGGGTCAGTTTGTTAGAGTTCCGATGTTATTGGTCAGTTTTTCATAGGTCAGTTTGTTAAAGGCTTTTCTTTAAGGTTTGTCCAACTTAGCTGGGGATATCAGTAGTCGATTTATGTCTGTTTGTTATAGGTAAATTCTTTATTATTGGTCCGTTTCAATTAAGGATAAGTAGGTCACTTTGTTATAGGTATGTTCTTTTAATGCTAGTTCAATTTGGGGATACATGGATCCTAAATACAAGTAGGTCATTTTGTTGAAGGTACGATCTTCAGGGCTGGTACTTGACTGGGGATAAGTAGGTCAATTTGTTTAAAATAAAAGTTCTTGAAACCTGCTCCAACTTAACTGCGGTCAGTTGTAGCTTGAACCTATCGTAAATTATTCAGGTATTTACATAGACTGAAGTTATTTGATGGAACCAAGATGGTTGTGATTTATTTAAAAATAAAATAAAAAATTAATGAACTAAGATACCAAACACAATCAACAAAGAAGTCAGTTAACACCGGAAGCTGTAAGACAAAACAAAAATGGCGCCCAACACCAGAAGCTGCAAGACATAACAAAAGATGGCGGCTGGTACCTTAACATGGCGTGTATAAGCATAATCAATGATGGCTGCCATACTGTCCGGGTTGATGCCAGTGATGCGGATCTCCTGTGTGTTCTGGTCGAAGCGTGAGTTAGTGAACAATGCTCGAAAGTAAGGACTGCAGGCAGAGAGAATGTTGCGGTGAATGGGGAATGACCAGTCATCAACCTTAAGACAAATAAACCAGTTCAAAGCGTTTAGTCCTGCCGCTATATTCGAATCGCTCGTGCCGCCGGCAACTACATTTCAACCTTAACCTCTAACCCAAACCTTCTTTTAACATTAGAAACTGAAGTATAATTATTGGCATGACTAGCGATTCGGATATAGTGTTAAACAATTTTGATGTTAACAGCTGAGAAGTTCAATCAACTGCAATAGCAAATTATTTATAGATACCTTTCTAAAGTTCATTTTTCATTTAAATAAAAAAAGCATTGACTGTAGGCAAATAACGAATAAAGAATAGCTACATTTGCAAGTGCAGGATCTTTATAATATAAACCACATATGTGATTGACACCAAGATATTGGGGCGGAGCTTAATAAAACAGCAACATGATCCTATACCTAAACCTCACCTCACCTGAACCCAAACGCTAACTAAAACCCAATCTTTGGCCATAAACTGCGAAACCCGCTCACAAAACAACCGGTTCAAACTTTTACCTCCGGTGTACTTTAATGAACCGATTGCGACTGATTGGTTTAAAGCTAGAGTCAGGTTATGTTTGAGAGTGAAGTATCGGTATGTGCGATACAAACTATACGAATATATTTGGCTAATTTCCCGTTACGCCTTGCTGTCGATCGAATTAACATACTTGCCATACGAACGAAAATGTTTTTGAGCGCGCAGTATGTTATTGTATTAAAATCATTGTAATAGTCGATGTGATCGAGCCCTATAGATTTTTAAAACTTTATATAGCTGCCCACCAGAAGAATCTATGGGTAGAGAGCGCGACTGCTGACCCAAATATCCTGCTGGACTTGTGTCTGTAGGACATCCCTAATTCCACCCAGCTCTGACAGGTACCTGACTTCATAAAAGTAAAGGTGGTTTGGCATAGTTCTGACCACACCTTTTATAGATCAAGAAACAAATGATCTCTCCTTCATTTGCCTTATGAATCGTTAGGTCGGAAAAAAGAAGCCTTTTGTTAATCAGAAGAACAATGATGCTTTTGATGAATCGTTTCAATAACATTTTAAACAAGATGCTAGATTAGCTACCGCAGTCGACCTATTTGGTGAGGTTTTACGAACCGTTGAATTAAACATTTGATGGTATTTCAGAGATTTTAATCTACTCTCATGAACTTATTAAATTCAGTGGCCCTGTTATATGAATATATCAAGTTTATGCCTGCCCAACCTTTATGATGGCATCACAGAGCTCTCCAGTCTTGCGCAGCTCAGCAAGGACTTGACATGCTTGTGCACTGAGAACTTTTTTCATCTCAGCGTCCTGCACAGATGGAGGGTGAGGGCGCCCAATGCAGCCGGCTGCCCCGTCCATTGGTCCCTCGCTGGTCATGACTGAGGTTTTATTGATGTTAATTTTCCCCGCGACTGGAGCTGTCTTTCATTGTTAAATATTTTCTCGGGAGACATGTTGGTTAGCTAGCATGACGAAAGCGGATATGGTTTCACACCAAGTAACATTAGGTGTACAACATCACTCACACCGCACCGGGGATTCCCAATTATTTTTCCATCGCATTTCAGAGTTTTAAAATTGATGCAAATAAAAAAAAATATTTTTATAAATTTTAGTATCAACATAGTTGTGACGAAATATTTTTTATTTTATAAATAAAGATTATTAAAAAATTAATCTGACTGAACTAATTTAGTAATAAAATTATGTATTTTTGTATATTTTTATTTTTTAAGGACCGGTCAGCAGCCAATAAAATATTTCAACCTTTTTCATAAAAGAAACTGAAAGCGTCCTAAATTTGTAACCGCTCAAACAATCATAATCGTTCTGAACCATTACTGCCGATTAGTAAAAAGTCAATGTTTTAAAAGTATAAAGAGTTCTCAAAAAATGATGAATCAAAATTAAGTGAACTCTCATAGTGTTTTAAGAAAATAAATTCTTTATTGATGGGCTGAACAAAGATTATATAATCGATACAAAAATAATTGATCAGACCAAATTAGCCCGATCACCAACATATATTTTTTTTATTAAGATACAACTTCTATTTGATTAAATGCATACGTTTATGTGAGAGATCTGCAGAATAGCCCGTGACTGTATCTGCAGATACAAAGTCACTGACTGGTCTGTAGGTACAAAGTCATTGAATTATTTTTAGCAACAGGGTCATTATTTTCTGATACCTGTACTTGCACAAAGCCTTAACATTGTCCTATATCTGTAGATGTTACTTGTACCCCGCCACAATATCTATTGATGTTACTTGTACCCTGCCACAATATCTATTGATGTTACTTGTACTCCGCCACAATATCTATTGATGTTACTTGTACCCCGCCACAATATCTATTGATGTTACTTGTACCCCGCCACAATATCTATTGATGTTACTTGTACCCCGCCACAATAATGTCCCATATCTATTGATGTTACTTGTACCCCGCCACAATATCTATTGATGTTACTTGTACCCCGCCACAATATCTATTGATGTTACTTGTACCCCGCCACAATAATGTCCCATATCTATTGATGTTACTTGTACCCCGCCACAATATCTATTGATGTTACTTGTACCCCGCCACAATGCTGTCCCACCTATTCTGAAGCTGTCCAGGCTCGGCTACCCAGAAAGTTTCGAGCGCTCGCCAGCCACATTTGCTGGTCTCTAGCACGTAGGTGTTGCTGGGGTCCATGTAGTGGGTGTAGGCGCCGTACACCAGACTCTGCACCATCCTCGCCGCCACACACACCCGTAACGCGCTTCCCTCGTCCGGCGTTAGTTCCAGCCTCGTCTGGTAGCCTGCTAGAATATGTCCAGGTATGTCCAGCAGGGTGACGTCAGAGAATTGCGTCATCAGCATGTAGCAGATGTGGATAGCGAGGTCGTATAAGGGAAAGCTCTTGGCAGCGTCCTGAAAGTCTAGCAGACCACAAATTTCTGTCTGCTTGTTGATGAGAATGTTTTGTTCATTCAGGTCGCCATGTATATAACCTAGGGACAAAAGTATGGAACAAGTTGTTGAATTTGGGTCGCTGACACATACAATAATATACTAGACAGAGAGACAAAAGCATGGAACAAGTTGCTGATTTAGGGTCGCTGACACATACAATAATATACTAGACAGAGAGACAAAAGCATGGAACAAGTTGCTGATTTAGGGTCGCTGACACATTCAATAATATACTAGACAGAGAGACAAAAGTATGGAACAAAAGTATGAGGAAGTTAGCATTTCGAACACGTGCAGATGAGGTTTGATAGCTGGTACAGCAACTGTTCCAGGAGATACAACTCCAAAATCAAACAACTGCTGCCTTGTAGTTTGATCTTGGTTGGACAAAGGCTATGGAAGCAAATCCAAAAAGAAAAGCAGGCTGAAATCAGAGTCAACCGCCAAAATGTCGAATAACCAGTTGACACGTATATTTAATTTTGTTGGAGGGAATCCCTTCCAACATTAAAATTAAGAACGAAGAAGAAGCATTTCGAACATGACGGTCCACGGGGCAGGTGAAGTAGAGTTTACCTGTTTCTGTGACCCCGGATATGAAAGAATAGTATGATCAGCGCCATGCACAACCGCATTTACTTTTCCTAACATGAGTCAGGTACCCATTAACGCTAAATGGACTCAGGGACGTCCTACGGGCTGAGCCCGGGATCCGAACTCGAGACTTTTGGGTTAGCATTGTTATGCTCTAGCATCCGACCACGCCGTCCAATGAGTCCCTGACCAATAGCAGATACACTAGAAACAAAAGTATGGAACGGTAACAGTACCGTAAGCATGGGGTGATATGAGACACACAATGAAAGTAATCCTGCGTAATCAAAGTCAAAAGAGCCTATAAATAACCTTTTCTGAATCCTGGCAGACTTGGCACCACATCTCGTTGATAGACCATCAAAACGTCCTCGCAGATTTGTCGTCGTCTGTCATCCCGTACAGCATACGTGACAGATGCCACCTTATCTATGTTGGACAGACTCCACAGACAGTCAAATGTGGCGTAGAAAGGGTTGTCGAAGTCCTGCAAGATATAATAATGTCCATAGTAAGGCGCTGATAAGTCAAGTACCCTTTCATACCTCAAGGGCCATGGGGCAGGGGAAGTACAGTTCACTTGTATCAGTGAGTGCAGCATACGAAAGGATAGTGTGGTCAGCATTTTGCCTAGCTGCCTTTACTTTCCCTAACGTGAGCCAGGTACCCATCAGAGCTGAATGGACTCAGGGACGTCATGCGGACTAGAGACTTTCTGGTTTGCAATCGGGCGCTCTACTATTTGGCCAGTCTGTCAGGGAGGCGTAGATACAATACAATAATGTCCATAGCTGTGAGCGTTGATACAATACAATAATGCCCATAGCTGTGAGCGTTGATACAATACGATAATGCCCATAGCTATGAACGTGGATACAATACAATAATGTCCATAGCTGTGAGCGTTGATACAATACAATAATGTCCATAGTTGTGAGCGTTGATACAATACAATAATGTCCATAGTTGTGAGCGTTGATACAACACAATAATGTCCATAGTTGTGAGCGTTGATACAATACAATAATGTCCATAGCTGTGAGCGTGGATACAATACAATAATGTCCATAGTTGTTAGCGTTGATACAATACAATAATGTCCATAGTTGTGAGCGTGGATACAATACGATAATGCCCATAGCTGTGAGCGTGGATACAATACGATAATGCCCATAGCTATGAACGTGGATACAATACAATAATGTCCATAGTTGTGAGCGTTGATACAACACAATAATGTCCATAGTTGTGAGCGTTGATACAATACAATAATGTCCATAGTTGTGAGCGTGGATACAATACGATAATGCCCATAGCTGTGAGCGTGGATACAATACGATAATGCCCATAGCTATGAACGTGGATACAATACAATAATGTCCATAGCTGTGAGCTTTGATACAATACAATAATGTCCATAGCTGTGTGCGTGGATACAATACAATAATGTCCATAGCTGTGTGCGTGGATACAATACAATAATGTCCATAGCTGTGAGCGTGGATACAATACAATAATGTCCATAGCTGTGAGCGTGGATACAATACAATAATGTCCATAGCTGTGTGCGTGGATACAATACAATAATGTCCATAGCTGTGAGCGTGGATACAATACAATAATGTCCATAGCTGTGAGCGTTGATACAAACCAAATATTTCTAACGTTGGAGGCATAACACAGAACCAAATGTCGAGATTTGGCGTCGTTAAAATAAATAAAATATTCCAAAAAAATAAAAATAAAATTCAGACCTGCAGAGCTTGAGAGACCTCAGCCACGAACTGACCTAACCGATAGAGCAGGTCAGCTGATAAAGTGGACTTTGCTAAAACTTGTCCTGGGATAAATGACCTAAGGGACACCATATAGGTCACGGCATCGCCTGTAGTGGATTCAGGAGAGCGGGGGGGGGGGGGGTCATTGAGTCAGGTGATATAACATATTTTTATACAAGTAGTCATACATGACTGTACACATCCATAATATACACGACTTTACATGTTCTAAACATAATGACTTTACACGTCCATAATATAGGGCCTAAATGACTTTACATGCCCATACACGACTTTACACGCCCATAACATACACGACTTTACATGTTCTAAACATAATGACTTTACACGTCCATAATATATAGCCTAAATGACTTTACATGCCCATAATATACATGACCATTCACATACATGAATTTACACATCCATACACATGACCTTACACGCCCAAACACAAGCACAACCTTACACACCCATACGCACAAGGGTAACGTACAAGTACTTTCCCCACCTTTTTTATTAGCAGCTGTACACTGTGTGAAGGCCTCACCAAGGACCCCCAAAACTGCCGTCTGACATTTGACCCCCTTCTGGTGGATGTGTCGCATTAGTGCCAGCTGTGCATCTGTCAAAGGTCATTGTCTGATTTTAACAAAATCCAACGTCAATGATTTAGTGAGTAGATCACAATGACTGGCTATTTTATCACAGGAAATGATCACGTTGGTCACACGACGTGGCAGAGGCGTAGCGAGGGGGGTACATATGTCCCCGGGCGCCGACCTTAGGGGGCGCCAAAATGGGTTGTAAAAACAAATTAAAATTTCATTTTAGCTGCAGTTTTGCATTATAAATATAAAAAAATATATGAAAGTTTGAGGAGGGGTGCAAATTGAAAGTTTGAGGGGTGGGGGTGTCTCCTGATCACGTTGGTCACACGACGTGGCTCCTGTTCACGTCGCCATAAACGTCCTTAACAACGTAACACAATTCATTCCTGTTTATCAACATCTAGGGCAGGGGTTCCCAACCCCGTGCCTGCGGGCGCCATGGCGCCCGCCGAACGATTCGCATGTGCCCGCCTCACACTATTCGACAGAGACAGAATTTTTTTCATAAACATTATTGAAAGGTTGAAGGGGATTGAAATCGAAAGTTTGACGGGGGGGGGGGGGGGGTGTGCAAATCGAAAATTTGACGGGGGGTGCAAATAGAAAGTTTGAGGGGGGGGGGGTGCAAATCGAAAGTTTTGTCCCCGGGTGACGGGAAGGGTCTCTACGCCTCTGGAAGGAGTTTGTCGATTTAAAATAGGTGGTGCCCGCCACCCTACTGATATTTTAGAATGTGCTCTAGAGTGAAAAAAGGTTGGGAACCCCTGATCTAGGGCATTAGTTGTGATCACAAAGATCTGCTAGATAACCACTAGATCACATGACCACTAGATCACATGACCACTGGATCACATGGCCACTCGATCACCTGACCGCTCGATCACCTGACCACTAGATCACATGACCACTAGATCACATGACCACTAGATCACATGACCACTAGATCACATGACACTAGATCACATGACCACTCGATCACCTGACCGCTCGATCACCTGACCACTCGATCACATGACCACTAGATCACATGACCACTAGATCACATGACCACTAGATCACATGACCACTAGATCACATGACCACTAGATCACATGACCACTAGATCACATGACCACTCGATCACATGACCACTCGATCACATGACCACTCGATCATATGACCACTCGATCACATGACCACTAGATCACCTGACCACTCGATCACATGACCACTCGATCACCTGACCGCTCGATCACCTGACCACTCGATCACATGACCACTTTTTATTTATATATTTAAATTCTAGTCCATGTAAAATTAAAGTTCCTCTTTAAACCTAATTAGTAATAAAACAGATAGTATTAGTTACCTCACAAGTTAAAGACAGTTACAAGTACTATGGACGTTTCGACCCAAGGTCTTCGTCAGCACACAACAGTGTGATTACAGATTAGACAAATAAAGACAAACAGTAACACATTTTTTGACTTAGCTCGACAGTGAAAACACGTCTTGTCTGCTAGCCACGATATCCAAAAGAAAAGACGCGTGAGAAGGACGCTTGGACACCGTATAGGGGTGGGGTTGGGGGCGTGGTGTATGCGGGAGGGGGGGGGGGGTTGTTAGGTGAAAGATACCTCTTCATTCAAACCATCGGGTGCCCGTGTACCAAATTTAAGTATTAGTCGCGTTTCAGTGCTAAGGCGATTTTTAAAATTGTGGCAAAACCGAACTTGTGAGGTAACTAATACTATCTGTTTTATTACTAATTACATTAACCTCACTGCAGCTACCATTTGTTTTTAATCTCTTTAAACCTAACGATCCATTGGACAGCTGAAGCAGAGTTCAAGTTTCTTGGTCTCGGCATATGAAGGGATAGTGTGGTCAGCACTATGCCCGGCCGCCTTTACTTTCCCAACGTATGTCAGGTACCCATCGGAGCTGGGTGGACTCAGGGACGTTCTACATTCATAACGCCGAACCGAGACCCGAACTCGAGACCTTTGGGTTAGACCACGTGACAGCTTACTATTTATAATCACGATCACATGACCACAGATTATTGTTTATTATGATCACGTGTAACAGTAACAACCAAAGTAAGTGGACGTTACCTTATTGTGTTGACTTACTTAGGTACTCTGGTCGCCTGGAATCTTGCAGATTGACAATTTTGAGAAAGTAGCCGTTCGGTGACACCTGGTCAATGTGGGGATTGCTGTGGTCAAGGTCAACTCTGACGTGAAAGTTCAGGTCATCGTAGCCATTCAGCGGGGTCAGCTCCGCCCCCTGCAGACCGTATTTCTCATTCAGCAGACGTACAATGACGTCATTGTCAGCAATGTGCGGCTTGAGGGCTTCCTCGGGTACCGAGATAGCAGCAGAGACATCTTGGCTGGCAAGATATTAATCGAGTACTTTCACGTGCAGTTACTATCAGGGATAGTGCATGATCATATTATACAACATAAAATAGAACAACAATAACGGGATAATTTTCTATACAAGATACGATCAGAGGCTTCCTGGCTGGTAAAATATGAGTGAAATACTTTCACACGCAGTTACAGTTAGAGATAGTGCACATATACAACCAGAGCCGGCGTTAGGAATACGCGGGGCCTAGGGCCAACCATCCGCGCGGGGCCTTTCCATTATATTTATATATATATATATATATATATATATATATATATATATATATATATATATATATATATATATATATATATATATATATATATATATATATATATATGTAACGAGTCCCCGAGTTTATCCTGCCGACAACGCCAAATGTAACGAGTCTTATCCTGCTCGCAGAGCCAAATGTAACGAGTCTCTGACTACCCTGCCGACAACGCCAAATGTGACCTTCCCGAGTCTAACCACTCATTCCACACAACATTGACCACAGCATAGATACTCGAAGATGCAGGTTCATTATTGATCCTTTTATTACATGAATCAAAGAATGTTTCACAATAATATATTGAATCAAGAGAGATGTTTCACAATAATAGTCTAAATCAACGGACCCCCAACAGTCCTCACTAGGCTTCATCTAACTGAATACACATGTCTAACGTCCTTCTTAACACAATATAACCAACTGGATACTGCCACACAGACTCACTGAGAGAGAGAGACTGACGGACTGACTGACAGACCTTCTGAGAGACAGACCGACTTTCTGAGACCTTCTGAGACCTCGAGCTCAGCCGTCGCCTTCCTTATATCCCCTTCATAATCGTACTCATATTCGGTCCTATCATAATCGTAATTGTAATCGATTCTAATCGTTACATCAGACTGTTAATTACGCCGCTTCTGTCGTACAGTCCGATTTTAATAAGCCACCTGCATCCTGTCACATCAAAGTTGACAGACCGTCTTTCGTATCGCTTCCCGAGATATTACGCCTTGGCATCAGCCAACACCTGCACTGTGACGTCAGACTGTAACACGTTATGTCTCTTGGTAACTTCCCCTAGTTACATATATATATATATATACACATATATATATATACATATATATATATATACATACATACATACATATATATATATATATATATATATATATATATATATGTATAAAGGCCTATATAATGTGATGTACACATAATAACACAAATGTTTTGGAGTTTATAAGCTAATGTCAAACTTTCCACTATAATAACAGATTTTTATCTCTTCCATGTATTAACCCAATGTTCGTAGTTTTTTTTTTCCTTTGCTAAGATATTAAATCACTTTTAACAATTATGTAATTCATACCAAATTACTTAAGAAAATTTAATCACGTGCCGAATAATTAGGAAAATAAAGTTTACAATACAGCGAACTCGGCCTGATGTATCAAAACAGTATAGACTTTAAAATTTGTTTAGAATTCATACAATATTTTAAAAGCAAAATCATTATTGTCTTAATTATTGAAGGGGTGAATCCTTAAGGTGACAAAATATATACTTTTAACAGTGTCCGCCCCCCCCCCCCCCGAAGAAAGTCTACCGCCCCCCCCCCTGAAAATTTCAAGTGCCACTCCCCCCGGAGAAAAAAGTCTGGAAGAAACACTGTACATATACGACATTATACGACATCTACAACAAGAAAGTCAGGACTAGAGTTCATCAGGTCACTAACTGTCTACTATAGACATCCCGTCTGCTCACTAAAAAGACGTCTTCATCGGTCCGCATACAATAGGGTATCTCTTTCCGTCGTAGGCTAATTCTCGACCGCCATCTCCAGTCAGCTCAGGTCAAATGCCAGGCGACCGTACCCTACACAAAGGGTAGGTGTGACGCTATTTTTGTATCGAATTACGACCTGTCCCAGTTCAGGTGGGACTCACCAACATCAACCGTGGCCTCAGTTATAACAATCAACAACGTCGGCATTCCACCATTTAGTTTTTCCCAATTGAATTCAGCAACATTTTTTTTTAAGTTTACGAACTAATTCAGATAACAATGACAGTGCTGAAGCGCGGGGCCCCTTCAAGCGCGGGGCCTATGGCGACCGCCCCGTTCGCCACCCCCTAACGCCGGCTCTGTATACAACATAAAGTATCATCTTCTTTTTAGATAGCCCTTACCCAATATAGAGTAAAATAAATATTTTGTAAAACACTACCCTTCATATTATTGGAGGTAGTTGCTACCCCATATATATATATATATATATATATATATATATATATATATATATATATATATATATATATATATATATATATATATATATATATATATATATATATATATATATATATATATATATATATATATATATATATATATATATATATATATATATATATATAACATAGTTTTTTTTCAGGTGGGGGAGGTGACATATGACGTACCGCACCTGGTGACACCCGACCTTGCGACGCCACTTACTATCGGTACTACTGATTTTTAATAAAATCAAATTTTGCTAATCACATTATTTTAGAGTTTAGAGCAATGAAGAAAATAATATAATATTGTAAGCTTAACGCATGTATTGTGTTAAAACTAAAAGGTACAAGTTTGTTGCCATTTGAGTCGACCTCCTCATCCTATCTTTTGCAAAACGTAGAGTAAACAGAACTATATCACATAGCTCTCTACCCTCCCCCCCCTTACCCTTACAGCATAAAAAATGAATAACTATCATTTGTGTTATTACATAGCTCCGCCCCCCCCCCCCCGGATGTTTTATTCCGCAACTCCCCCCCCCCCCCCCCGAAAATTTCAAGTGCCCCCCCCCCCCCCCCCCCCGGAGAAAATGTCTGGAAGAAACACTGCATAGCTTCGTTACCATAAAATGTGCACGATACTGGGCTTTCGTTAAGTTAGTAGGTCTACTTTTTAGTAAAGCCAAACTTAGAAAACTTACAGGTTTTGTCCAGGTTAGGCATTATGGCGATGAAGCGGTCTAAGGCTAGTTATTGAGTAAGCAACGGCATGTTTAGTGTTGCTCTTAGAATTATTCTCCCGGAAGGGGGGGGGTGAGGGGAACTCCGTGATCAACCCCCCCCTTCGGCGGCATGTCTGAAAGAAACACTACGCATGCTTTGCAGGAAAACGCTCCCAGTAATACAGATTTAAATCTGTCGTTACTCACTTTTGGGTTAACCAGAGAAGGGTCGTAAGGTTCTTACTAGAGGTCACATCTCACAAACGGTAAAAAAAACTCACAAGCAGACACATGCTTCAATAAGTGCTAAGCATTAAAAACGTAGATTATAGTTACCTCATTATTAGTGTTAACTTTTGAAATGATTCACATCGGCTGTTAAATTCTGGGCTTATTAAATTCTGGGCTAAAAAAAGAATTGAAGAAACTCTTCAAATACTTTTTTCAAAAAATAATTATTGTATAGTTTTAATAATTGGAAATTTAATTTTAAAATTATTACGGCTTAAACAAAATCTGTAGGTCTACTTTTGAACTATTATCGTTCAAATTACATTGAAAAATTTATGAGTTTAAATTGCAGGGTTAGAAAAATCTGGGTTAACGTGTCATCGTAATCTTGACCTCAAAAGTAGGTCAACTGTTAAATGAAAAAAATATGTTACTTGAATCAATTATCATAGCTATTATTACACAATTTTACGGTTCCTTGAACTGAACAGAAACAAAAAATTTAAGCGTGAAGATTACTAACCTGACTCGACCTTGCCGTACACATTCCAGGCGTTGATGTGTCAACGGTTCGTGTGATACGGCTGGCCCACTTAGCAACATAAACTCTGGTCTGGTAATAGGATTACGGTCGATAAAGTAATGGTCCCGTCTGACGGTCGATTTCCTCCCTTAGTCTGACATTCACCGCCTGTCCATTCAAGCATCCATTATTCCATCCCAGGCAATTAATTCTTATAATTTAAAACAACATTGGCTAGCCTATTTTTTTCCCCAGATGTTGCCTTGGAATTAGGGCCAAATTAAATAAACAGAGCAAGAGAAGGCTACTAGATCTAGTAAAAGGCAATCTCAACTCAATATAATTGCCATAGATCTGTCAATGTTGGCAAGGTTTTTTTAGCAAAAAAAATGTGTTGCATTTTCAAAGAAATACAAAATTTTGCTTTGTTACTGTTGTGACCAACTAAAAATCTAAATAATTAAAAAAATTAAATAATAAAAAAATTAAATAAAGAAATCAACCTTGCATTGAGATTTTTCCTTTTTTTTCCTGATAAGCTACAAAGCTAGCATACCATGGACAATAACAGTGGCTACTTGTGAGACTATTTTCTTTTTGGTAAGAATGGGCCATCTGTGTGAAAGAGCATCAGTGCTTTCTTTCAAAAAGTTGTTGTCTGGGGGGGGGGGGGGGGGGGTTCGAAAGGGGGTTGTCCAGACAAGTTCATACAATATTAAATATATAACACAACATTGAATATAACACACTCTGGATAAATACATTTATTTGAATTATATAAAATAATGTTACAGAAACATTTCAATTTGTACCATATTATTTTGTACATTAAATATTTGTTTAATAATAAAACTTTTTATTTTACAAAAAAAAAAAATAGTTTGTAAAATCTCACTTGATATCCTAGACAATATCTTGGATTATCTTGCCTTCCACAACAGTGCTGTGACTTATCTCACTATCAAGACTTATCATATGTTCAGAACTATCTCTACTTATCCCATGCTCACTATTATCAATACTATCTTGACCTATCACTGTCTCTGGGCTATCTTGTTCTATCACTGTCTCCTGGCTATCTTGACCTACACCATGCTCAACATTTTCTTGGGTTATCCCAAACTCCACATTATTTTTATCCTGCCTTGCCTCGTTACCACCATCACCTTGACTTATCCCACCATCACCTTGACTTATCCCACCATCACCTTGACTTATCCTACCATCACCCTGACTTATCCTACCATCACCTTGACTTATCCCATCATCACCTTGACTTATCCCATCATCACCTTGACTTATCCTACCATCACCCTGACTTATCCTACCATCACCTTGACATATCCCATCACCTTGACTTATCCTACCATCACCTTGCCTTATCCTACCATCACCCTGACTTATCCTACCATCACCCTGACTTATCCTACCATCACCCTGACTTATCCTACCATCACCTTGACTTATCCCATTATCACATTGACTTATCCCACCATCACATTGACTTATCCCACCATCACCTTGACTTATCCCAGCATCACCATGACTTATCCCACTCTCCGCCACCAAGCAGCCATCTTGTTCAGCCACTATGGCTGTAAGCCCCCTGTCAGCAATCAACAACTCCTCTTTCATGGCATCATAGCGAGCTTCCAGATCAGCAAAAATGGCGGCCATTTTCCTCTCCACCTTACTCCTCTCTAACAAACTCTCCCTGCTGATCCTGTCACCAGAGGATGATCTCTCATGCCTGTATCCTTGACGGGAGACACTCGAGTACCTGGGGTTGGACATGTTACTCATTCTTGATTTGGTTTTTATTGTCAGAACTTTAGCCTGAGGTTCAAGGTCAAAACCAAGGTCAGCAGCAGTTTCAGGAAATGTTGATTTCTCACTCACGGAGCCACTGACTGACCCGCATTCATCCAGGCCGAGAATTTCTTCCAGTTCTTTGTCTGCGGCGGAGAAACTTGTACCCTCTCTGCTCAGAAGATCAGGAGTGGGATGACCTTTGACCTTGTCAGACTTAGCAGACGGAAGTCGTTGAGCCTCCAGGATTATCCTGTGCAGAACTTCAGCTTTTTTCTGGTTTAGAACCTGCAGGGATCATAGAGCAGAAAATAGTTCAATCAAATTTATACTAAAATTTCTATAATTGATTTGAAAAATAATTCCAAAAGGTTTTTGATGAAATTTTAACCATCACACTTTTTTGTTGAGAAACCTCAGCCTTAAATCTTTTGTTTTACTTTAAGCAACACCAACATACATTTGTTTTATTGACCTCAAATGACCAACAGTGTTCCCTCTAATGGGAAAAAGATCATGTGCAACATATATTTTGTGTGCGTGGTGTTCTAAAAGTCTTATATAAGAATACATGTATCTAACAAAATGACTGCGTGGTAGTTAAAAACTACCCTTAGAGGGAACATAGATGACCAACACGCATTTTTTACTGACATAAAATGACCAACACACATTTGTTTTACTGACCTCAAATGACCAACACACTACTGGCCTAACCTCAAATGACCAACACACTACTGGCCTACTAACCTCAAATGACCAACACACTGCTGGCCTACTAACCTCAAATGACCAACACACTACTGGCCTACTAACCTCAAATGACCAACACACTACTGGCCTACTAACCTCAAATGACCAACACACTACTGGCCTACTAACCTCAAATGACCAACACACTACTGGCCTACTAACCTCAAATGACCAACACACTACTGGCCTACTAACCTCAATTGACCAACACACTACTGGCCTACTAACCTCAAATGACCAACACACTACTGGCCTACTAACCTCAATATCCAGGGCTGTCTGACACACAAATCTCTCCAACTGGGAACGTTTGAGTTCATCCTTCTCATTGACCAAAATCTGGGCAGCTATCAAGTTTCTGGTGCAAAGTTTGTGGACCTCTGCCTTGATCTGACCCACTGTGTCCATTTCCTCTGAGATCTTGAAACCAAACTTGCTCAGTGAATCTATGATTTCTCTGTAGGGATATTTAGAAATGTTAATATGTGTACAAAATGTGTACAGGATATCTATACCTTGAATTAGGAGCTAGGTACAAATTAATCTATGCACCACTAGGGTTCAGGTTGTGTTTTTGTTTTGTTTTTAGTAACATAATTGTTTTGCTAAAATATTAAGGAAGCCAAACTAAATTCAATTTTGGTCCCGGTAAATGAAATAATAGAGACTACATTAAAGCACATTACATTACAAATCAGTATGTTATAACCAGAATTTCCTCACTAATAACTATCTACTAATCTATGCATAGTAAAAAGAGTAGCTTTTATTTGTTCAAGGAATTGCATGTGGAACTGGAATGGTTTGTTACCGGGTAGTGGACTAGATAACAGATGTGAAAGATGGCTGTGATCAGCATCATGGGTTTGTTTTGGACATAGCTGAGATGTTTGACCATTCTATTCCAGTAAACAAGGGGAATTCATACTCTCTAAATACCAGGCATATCCACAGATTTTACAACCACAAATGTGGTCAACACTTACTCTCTAACCATCAGACTTGACTACAAATGTGGTCAACACTCTCTAACCATCAGGCTTAACTAACACTGTGGTCAACACTTACTCTCTAACCATCAGGCTTAACTACCAATGTGGTCAAAACTTACTCTCTAACCATCAGGCTTAACTACCACTGTGGTCAACACTTACTCTCTAACCATCAGGCTTAACTACCAATGTGGTCAAAACTTACTCTCTAACCATCAGACTTAACTACAAATGTGGTCAACACTTACTCTCTAACCATCAGACTTGACTACCACTGTGGTCAACACTCTCTAACCATCAGACTTGACTACCACTGTGGTCAACACTCTCTAACCATCAGGCTTAACTACCAATGTGGTCAAAACTTACTCTCTAACCATCAGACTTAACTACCACTGTGGTCAAAACTTACTCTCTAACCATCAGACTTGACTACCAATGTGGTCAAAACTTACTCTCTAACCATCAGACTTGACTACCACTGTGGTCAACACTTACTCTCTAACCATCAGGCTTAACTAACAATGTGGTCAACACTTACTCTCTAACCATCAGGCCTGACTACCACTGTGGTCAACACTTACTCTCTAACCATCAGGCTTAACTACCAATATGGTCAACACTTACTCTCTAACCATCAGGCCTGACTACCACTGTGGTCAACACTCTCTAACCATCAGGCTTAACTAACAATGTGGTCAACACTTACTCTCTAACCATCAGGCCTGACTACCACTGTGGTCAACACTTACTCTCTAACCATCAGGCCTGACTACCACTGTGGTCAACACTTACTCTCTAACCATCAGGCTTAACTACCAATGTGGTCAACACTTACTCTCTAACCATCAGACTTGACTACCAATGTGGTCAAAACTTACTCTCTAACCATCAGACTTGACTACCACTGTGGTCAACACTTACTCTCTAACCATCAGGCTTAACTAACAATGTGGTCAACACTTACTCTCTAACCATCAGGCCTGACTACCACTGTGGTCAACACTCTCTAACCATCAGGCTTAACTAACAATGTGGTCAACACTTACTCTCTAACCATCAGGCCTGACTACCACTGTGGTCAACACTTACTCTCTAACCATCAGGCCTGACTACCACTGTGGTCAACACTTACTCTCTAACCATCAGACTTGACTACCACTGTGGTCAACACTTACTCTCTAACCATCAGACTTGACTCAACCAGCAGCCTCTCCTGAAGAACATGCATGACATCATCATCATGGATGTTGAGCTCAGCCAACGTGTGGCAGGCCTCAGCTCTGACACCCTCATGGCTCTCATAGCGCAGGGCCCACACTAAACATTCCTTGATATCTTCACTAACACATCCAATTCTACCTAGTGCTAAAACAGAAAATATATTCAAGGATGAGTTTTTAATTTTTTAAATGAACTTATTTATGTACTAAAATTATTTATACAATAGTTTTAACCACACTTGTCTATAAATCCAAATTTCAGAAGTGTTTAGTGTGTATGATCTACGACTACATTCTTCAGTTACTGAAAATGTTTGATTAGCACTGACTACAGTGTGGTGTAGTAGTCTGTTTATAATGATAGCCTATTAGCTGCAATGTTCTATTACAGCCAATAGTATGTCTGGAGTAGTGGTTTTCTGTAATTGATGGTGTAATAATAATTGGGTGGTACAGTATGTTACCACATGCTTGGTGCATTCGTCTGTGTAAATATCTGTTTGGTCAATGATATATGGTGTCATGGAAGTTGCAGGGCTGTCAACGCACATGATATGTAGTGTCAACAAAAAGGGGTGGGGTTGTCCAAAATTCCATGGATATAATGAACAGAGGCTTATTTTTTTTCAGAGAGTTTACCTTGAATAGCCAGGGCTTTAACCTTCCAGATGGGGTCAAAGGTCGCAAGGTTGACCAAGCTGTCAATGACCTGCTCTTCCTTGATCTGTAGCTCTCCACATGCCAGGCAGGCCTGAGAGCGTACAGAGACATACGGGTCAGAGAAACATTGCAGGAAGGCTGGCAGCAGTTTGCTGGTCATCAGGCCTGTAGGTGGTCAACAGTAGAACATTGTTCAACAATTATACATTTTTTAATAGTTCAACATTTTCAACAGTTCAACATTTTCATTAGTTCCACATTTTTCAACAGTTCTACATATTTTAACACTAACATTTCCCAATAATGTTCATAATTTTTCAACAGTTTATAATTTATCAACAGTTTAACATGTTTTGATGTAATATTTCAACCAAACAGTTTACTGATATATCCCAGTCCATGACACCTGACAGACAAAAAAACCAACCCACCAAGTTTTCCCAGTTTGTCGATGGCATCAGCCCTAGACCTCTCCTCCCCGTGGAGGATGTGTTCCCTGAGCTTGTCATGGACCTCCCTGCCGTGGCTGGTCTTCCCCAAACACTGGGCAGCTGCCACACGCACGTCATCATGCCAGTCATGCCACATGAGGTCAGTCAACTTTTGGGTGATGTCCTGGGGGGAGAGGACAGGTCAGTGGGGGTGGGGGGTAAGACAGGCCATTGTGGGGGGGGGGAGACTGGTCAGTGGGGGTGGGGGTTGGGGGTAAGACAGATCAGTGTGGGGGGGGGGGGGAGAGGACAGGTCAGTGGGGGTGGGGGGTAAGACAGATCAGTGTGGGGGGGGGGTAGAGGACAGGTAAGTGTGGGTGGGGGTGGGGGGTAAGACAGGCCAGTGTGGGGGAGAGGAGAGACAGGTCGGTGTGGGGATGACAACAAACAGGTATGTGGGGGTGGGGTGGGGGAGGGTAAGACCAGTGTGGGGGAGAGGAGAGATTGGTCAGTGTGGGGACGACAACAAACAGGTCAGTGTGTGTGGGGGTGGGGGAGGGTTAGATAAACCAGCGTGGGGGAGAAGTAGGACAGATCAGTGATTGTATCTAAAAGCAAATGCAAGCTATTAACTCTTGAACGCAATTCTATCCACCAGACCAAATATTGACTCTACCAATACACAAAACACCACCAACATATCCACACTACCACTCTATCCACACTACCCACTTATCCACACTACCACAATATCCAAACTACCACAATATCCAAACTACCACTTATCCACACTACCACAATATCCAAACTACCACAATATCCAAACTACCACAATATCCAAACTATCACTATATCCACACTACCACAATATCCAAACTACCACTATATCCACACTACCACTGTATCCACACAACTAATGAGATAAAAACTCACCTGGTTGATAGTCCCTGACAAGGCAGGTAAGATTCTACAAGCCATCACCCTATGGCGCCAACTGTTACTGTTCAGCTGCTCCGCCACCATACAATGTACAAGATTCTAGAATAAAACAATATCAATAAAAAGTAAATTTTTTTAATGTACACGCTAACTCTAAAATAAAAACTGAAAAGAACTAGACTCTGTAAGATGTTTATAGAACTGACTAAACTAAGCAATGAAAAGAACTAGACTCTGTAAGATGTTTATAGAACTGACTAAACTAAACAATGAAAAGAACTAGACTCTGTAAGATGTTTATAGAACTGACTGTTTGAGAGCTGAGCTTGTTCAGCAACACAACTCCTTGTTCCATCTGGATGGGATCCTGGCAGTTCTGGAGTTGTCTGATCATCTCCCCCACGATGTCCGAGTCCATCTCACCAAAATGGGCCAGAGACTGAGCTGCAGCCCAGCGGTCAACAGAACTTTCTCCATTTAACATCTCGTACAGCACTTCCTTAGCCTAGAAGTAAATGTAAAAACATCACGTACAGCACTTCCTTAGCCTGAGACAAATTTCAAAATATAACTAAATTTATTTTATGGTTTATGCACAATATTATATAAACTTTTTTTAATATACCCATTACATTTTTGTTATTATTGATCAGCATTCTTGTAGGCTGTTTTTATTTTTATTTTAAAATATTTATATTTGTTGAAGCAGAGAAAAATATGATAATAATTCAAGCTTGGTGTGTACCATGTAAACAGCTTCCACTTAAGTTTAAAGCAAGAGAGAGAGAGAGAGAAAACTCACCTTGTCAGTTGGACGATCTAGGGCATAAAGTGTCATGGCTGCTGATTTCTTCACCTCCTCATGCTTATCATCCAAAAGGCATTCCAGTGCTACATAAATTTTTTCTGGGAACTCTTGTGTGCTGGAGTTATGATTTTCCACTGATTGCTGCATCTCTCTAGCCTAATAAATGAAATGTAACTTATAAACAATGTTTCACCCATTCTGCCAATACGTAAGAAAACAAAGACATTTTTTTTCAAGGACTGGGGATAGCAAATAAAACTTGTCAATTATTATCTGATTTATTTCAAAACAGCAGCAGTTGAGGGACTTTATATTAAGAGTTGTCCACGTGAGACAGCAACAGCTGATGGACTTTATCTTAAAGAATTGTCTGACAACAACAGGTGATTTACTTTACCTTAAGAATTGTCTACAACAACAGGTGATGGAGTTTACCTTAAGAATTGTCCCAATGGCTTTCATCCTGACGTGAGCCTGGATGTCCGTCATGTCCCTGACCAGGTCGTCAGGTGTGCTGTCTGACACAGCTCCACTCATGAACCATTTCTTTCTCCACTGGGTGGCTACAATTGTGTTCAAAACAAAATTAACACTTTAAGTGTAATGTGTGGAAAATATGGCCAGGTAAACATTTTGTTTACAAAATGTTTGAGCATTAAGCCAGCTCACTAGACAAAATAAGTAGGCTGTCACTCCATTTGCTACTAATTAGAGTTTAATTATCAGCAAAATATTCTTTTTTAAAAAAAGGTGTTTGATATTAAATGGCTGCCAAAAAAAGGCTGTCTTTTTTTTTACATTGTCTTGACTCGTCTTCTACAAGTCATGTGTTCTGTTTTATTTTGATTTTTTTAAAATCCATGGTGGAAAATAGGTGGAGGTTAGTTGGCTGTTATCGTTTAAGTTATTATCTTTGGGAAATTTTCTCCAAGTTATGGAATTTATTTAATAATGAAAATTAGTTTAGCACATGCAGTAATTAATTTTTTTTTTCTATGTTATTTTTTGTCAGACATTGTTATCCAGGTGATGATTTAAAAAGTAGGTCAAGTGCCACTCAACAGAAAGTCAATGAGATCAAAAGTGAATCTTAACTCAGATGTTTAAGTCAGTGTTAGTTTGATGAGTAAAGAATGACTGGTAGTCATTGAAAAAAAACTTTCCTCCATGGGATCAGTTGTAAATGATGCTTACAACACATGCTGGAAAATGTCTGAAATTGTCTAGGACTAAGACATACTATCATTAAACTGTAAGCTAAGGGAAGTTATTTTGAAATGTAAAACTTAATTAATGGCCTTGAGGTTCTTCATTGAGGTATTTAAAATACTACAAATGCAGAGAAAGTAGAGAACAATAAAAGATGGGATGTGTATACTGCATCAAACTGACCTAGGGTAACCAAAGTGTTATTATGTTTCACTTGTTGTTTTTGAGCTGATGATTTTTGTGTTGAATCTGCTGTGTTGGTTACATCAACCATCAGTCCTTTTGTTGTCTGCAGAGTACAATTTGAACAGGTAAATTTTATTCTGGCGTTTTAACAATACACTTTCTATTAAATATAAAATTTAAGAACGTTTTTATTTTTCAAAAACTTCATTCTATAATTAAACAAGTTAGACTAAATAAATTTTTTTTTTAAAACTACAACAATAACTGTTTTATGTTTATGTTAAGTAATATAATCTATAAATATGAACTGAATTAAGTATACAAGGCAGAGGTATACAAGACATGATAGAGGTATACAAAGTATGATAGAGGAATACAAACATCTACTGGCTCTGGCAGGTTTGTCCAGCGCTTGGCACCAACTTCTGGAAGACTGTCTGCTTTGACTCCGGACTCTGGAATAGTGTCAGCCTGACTCAAGTCTTGGGACCAGACTTCAGGTTTTTGTGGAACTTCCTGTTGCAGGTTTTTTTTGTATCTGTTCTCTGTCTCCATGATAATCTCATCTTTTCCAGCACCTATAACAAATACTTGCTTCTTGCCTGCATGGATCAGGAATACACACGTTCAGTTGCCTTACAAATGACATTAAAATCGTTCTAATGTATAACAATTTTGTAGAAATATATTTTTACCACTGAGCCATTCCTGCTGAAACTGGTTTTCTGTTTGATAAACTTTGTCCCCCACCTGTGCACTCATGATATCTGTAAACCTAAGAGGTGGCGTCTGCTGGCGTTCTCTGAGTGTAATCTGTGCTGTAGCATTCATAGCACCTAGGATTAATTCATCGTTATATAATATATTTGTTTCTTCAAAAGACAAATGATCAAGTAAGCTTGGTAAAAAATATGTAAGTTACAAAATTTGTTCACTTTCTTTTGGGCAGCTTATGGCTTATATCAGTAAAAAGGAATCAAAAACATTACTGATTATTACGAAACAAAAATTACCTCAAATTTAAGATTTTTATTTTACCTTCTTTGAGAGCAAGATCAATTGTTACTTACCACTAAACAATATATATACATTCTTCTTTGACTATATCAGATGATCTGTTATCAAGTATTACATGATACAGATTACCACAGATAAAGTTGTATTTACCTTCTTCTTTGAGTTCAATTTTCTTTTTGGCTCTTACTCCTGCAGGCTGGCGATAAAATGGTGCTCTGTTGTCATCAGAATAGGGGTCTAAAGCTTCACCAGAAGTTTGTTGTATGTCTTGAATACGGGACAACAATCTAGTATGATAAAAATAAAAATTAGGCAATTTATTTTACTGAAACGTCATTTGTGAAAAGTGTGAAACCAACAATAGCGGAAAGTCTATTGGAAAATGAGAAAAAAGCTGACAAAAATATAGAAAGAATAAATGTCAACTTACAGCCCTTCTTGTTTCACCCACTTTGTTTTGACAACTTGCGTTTTTTTCTCATCTTCCTCTCCATCACTGCAGTCTTCTCTTACTAAGTCTGTGTGTGTTGGGGCCCCATACCATGACTTGAGAACACCTGTCAGCTTTCCTTTCTGTTGATCTTCCGGTGTGCATTCATGAGCAATCCAGTTGGCAGTCAGCTGACTTAACTTTGACATCAAGAATTCATCCCAGTCATTTTTCTCTGTTTGGTTGTTGGCTAAATTAAACTTTTCTTCATTGGCCTCTTCACTGTTAACACTAGAAATACCTTTATCTGTTTTTTTCAATGTGTATGTTTTTAATTTAGGATTAGTAGTTGGAGCATCATTTGTAGGACATTCTGTCATAAAAATATTATTAGTTTCTAGTTTTTGCTTCTGTGTTTTTTTGTGAGAAACTAAAGCTTGTTGATGTAGCTGAGTGGCTTTTCCTTTTACATTAGCATCAAGAGGAGGTAAGCATAGAGGCTTTACTTTTTTATTAACATTCAACGAAATATCTGTCTTTTGAGAAGCATATTTTTCAGATATGCTGCGCTCTCGTTTCATCTTCATAATTAGTTCTCCAGGTTTAAAAATATCCTCAAAGTACTTTGGATTGTAAGGCATAGAGTGCAGACACCGACCAGCTACTACATCCTCCGAAAATGATAAGTCTTCACTGATCATCTTGACATACCTTTTGCTAACAGGGTTTATGTCCTGCTGGATGATGGTCATTGGATGCATACTAACGAGTTGCTGTTTTCCTAAAATACTTTTTAAACTGGAGTCATTTCTTTTATTCTGTGGTGCTTGTATTCCAGTAGCACATGGGAAAAGCATGTTGAATCCCATAGTAACAAAAGGAATGTTGCCATTCATTTTTATTGTATTTTTAGCTGGGCTACAATGCTTGTAAGTTACTAGACCACACAGAAAATTAACATAACATTATCATACATTGTGGGCTATCAAATAAATAGTAGATCTACTAGGCCTACATGATGTTTTTAATTTAGCAGCTGGTGCGTCCATAAACCATTAAACCTGGTATGGTAATGAAAGTTATTAAATATTTAAATTTTAATCTTCTTGGAAATATATTAAATCTGTAATCTTCTTGGAAGGTTTATAATTTATAGAAATATGTTACAAAAAATTACACAGTTGTTCCTGGTTTTGTAAACAAGTTGGTGAACCTTGTTTTTTTTTTTAAATAGGAATTGTTTTTATCCGCGTTAAACAAAACATCAGGTTTATTTTTAGAAAACCTGTCGCAATTTAGAACTAGTCATGCACACATATTATAATAACATTTTTTATGGATGTATTAGTTTAGTTTTGAAGCTTAATTTTTTTGTGTGATAGAAAATCATCAACTTTGTGCGCCATTTTGCTAATATGCTGTGGTTGTCAAGAGCATTAATAGTTTCTAAAATTGGAGAGTTCTACACGATATTTATAAACAACTTTTGCGACTAACAAAAAAACAAACAACAAACATCTAGATCTAGATCTAGCTAGCCTAAAAAAATTGTTTAAAAATATTGCGATGTTAAATAATTTAGTCTACATACACATAGGTGTTGAGTTAATTGAATTATTATCTTTACTTGATAGCTAACTAAAAGAAACGTAGAATCTATAATCTATTTTTGTTGATTAAAAAAGTAAGTTGATTAATACAATAGGCCTATCTACTATCTATGTAATAATCTATCTAGAGATCTATAATATTAATGGGAATGTTTTGAAGTGGGTGTGCGACCCTGATTTTTCAAACGTTCAAGTTCAATGAGTGTATTTTTAAGACAGGGCTATTCATAAACGACTTCATGCTTTACAAAACGAATTTACCTCCCCCATACATACACATCATCACAAAAAGATAGTGACTTCGTTTATGGATGACATGTAGTCTACGTTCTGCCTTATAAAATGTTCATGTTTTCTAAAATTCGTTTTTTAACATTGCTTTTTTATAATACAAAAGTGTGACGTCGCACCATCTGAACCCCCCCCCTCCCCTCATCACACACCGTCACAAAATTACGGACCCCCTCCCCCCTACGAGTGTGACGTCATTTATGGACGACTCCATTAACAAAACATCGTAAAATACCAGCAATCACAAATACACATCACAATTCCATAACACAATCACATATCACAATAAATTTAATTACATAAATCATAAAAGTAAACAACACACAAGTCAACGGGAGGTTGGGGTGGATGCGACATACATCGAGTAAGTGTTCCTACTAAAACCAAACAATACATTATCAATACACATGTTAAGTTAGAAAAAATATTAATATCAACATATCAAAATATTTAAAGCTTACAAAATAAAACAATATCCAAATATAAACGAAATAAAAGTATAATAATACATCAACTGCGTGCGCAACAACTCATAGTCTTTGTAGCGCGCTGGCCTATACTGCAATATCTGGCACATACACAACGTTGGGGTACAAAAAAGTTTCGTATTTCTATTGGAAGCGCCAAATTAATTTTAGGGACTTTAATTTACATAAAAATAAAAGGCTGTTTAGTGCTATACTATGACTGTGACGGAAGCAGGAAATTACAATTATGTTAATTGCCCCTGGACATTCCTCCAAGACATTACCCCTCAGGTCAATTAGCCCCTTCACCCCAATATATCACGCCCTGCACAGAAGACTGCAGTTGGACATTACCCTTGCTGATTACTAATTGACCCGATATGTAATAGGGATATGGATAGGAATAGGTTTTGGATTAGGAATTGGGATATATTTAAAAAATAAATAGTACGACAATGATAAGGGGTAATGTCGGAGGCAGGGTACTGACCGGGGGTGGGTGATGTTCTAGACATGGCTACGGCATAAACAGTAGGCTGTTTTGTGTGTGTGTGTATGTTTTACGAAATAAAATTGAACACACCATAATGTTATTGGAAGAAACTATATAGAATGTTATTTTAAAACTATTATATCGTAAAACATCGAATATTAATTTTTGTTAAAATTTACACACCCCACCAGCGCGTATTGTCATCTTATGGGTCGTCCATATCCGACAGCACACACCCGGGGGGGGGGGGGGAGAAGAGGGGGTTTGGGATTTTTGTCACGAGGGATGGTTCAGATAATGTGACACGTTTGCAATTTAAAATGTAATGTTAGAAACAAAATTTTTGTTTTTTATTCGGGTTTTAAGTCTATTTTTATGAACTGTAAATAAAATCGATCAAAATACCCGATTTTGACGGTACTCATTAAATATTTTAGAAAACAAATAGCTTTTTGGGAAAAAATAGGCTGCTTGATTGTACTGCCATTTTGAGTTTCTTTCAGCTAAATAGAGAATATACACTTTTACTATACTAGCGTCGCCCCCCCCCCCTCGTAATTTAAGTTCCCCCCCCCCCCCCGACACTTTCAAGTGCTCTCCCCCTGGAGAAAAATAAACGCTGGTAGCTTGAGGTGTGACGTCATTTTTTTGTTGAGGGGGGGGGGTGGATCTGGCTTTTTTTTTGTTACGTATTCTCGCTCAGAAGTTAAATAGATACAAGTAAAACAATGGACACCACCTAACTAAATAATTTGAGGACGATTTCAAGTATTCTTTTTGTGTGTGTTATTTCTTCATTGTTATTTAATTTGGCTGTCATTTTTAAAAATTTAATTAATACGCTGCAGTTGGCACTCTGAAATAATTATTTAAATTATGCCATCTAATTTAATTATTCACCTGATCACCTACCTAATTGTTCTAATCATAAAGAATAAATACAATGATCAACAGATTTGTAATGATGAAATGTTTATCGGAATCAATCTAGTAGACCTCTAGTTTCAAATAGGCATAAATTAGACCCAACGCTGTAGAACCTTGTAGATTCTACAAGAGCAAGTCGGCTCGCCATTGTCTTGAAAGAATTCTAAAAGCATTGAATAACTGTGGGCCACTTGATGCACCAAGAGATCAAGAAAGAGATTCATTACCCCAGATGTACTTCAGTCACGTGATCGCTTTACAGCCAATCGCTGGGTCGATCAGGAAAAAACCGACCATGAAGCGAGTAAGGAATGTTGGTGGGCAAATCAGCGCGGTTGATTAAACTGAGGTCAGTGGCGTCTAAAACTGCCATGTAGGTGACTCGCCTGACGCCATCCAGCACCGGCAACAACAAGAGTCCTTCATCCTCCCTACTGCCTCTAGGATCCGCGACAAACCAAGGCTCCACGGGGTAGTGCCCTGGCACCTGCCACGCCCTATCACCACGCCCATTCTGACACAAATCTTTCTTGACTATAGCAATGCTACTCAATGTTATATTATCCGTTTTCAACACTAACCCATAAGCGTAGCAGTATTGTTTGGAGCGATACGCTTCGTTGATCACAGGCATATCTAAAAGCGAAGCCAGACTTTGGGTGTTACCAAGCGGAACTTCCTGTATTGTCTTGGTGCGGATGTTGATGCAGAACCGTTTGAGTCTGGCGTGGGCGTCAAACGAGTTCCTGGCTGTGGGGTCACGGAGCAGACGCAGCTGGAGATGGCTAACGAAGTCGGGGGACGGGTAGGCGGAAACGTCCATGATCATCTCTTTCTTGCTCAGGTCGAAGGCGTTGATGTGGTGCATGGTGAAGATGTTGCTGGTCCTGATGGTGGTCACCTGACCTGACTTGAGGTCAACGATGTAAAACGTGGACTGTTCGTTGGGGAACCAGTCTAAGCAGGAGAACGGCTCGGCTTTGGTGGCCATACAGACGACATTGACGTAGAATGGGCTGGCCAGAAGGATGGCCTTGGTGGCCGTGACTGAGAAAGAGTGCATGTAAGGCACTCTATCGACCGGCCACTTGGCCACCACTTTACGACGTTTCATGGATACGATGCGGATCAAGCTGATGGTGTTGCTGTCCCAGGGTAAGACCGCCACACTGGACAGGAAGGTCAGGTGGTTGGTGGTACCAGGTTCTGGCAGGGGGTGGGAGGATGAGAGCAGGTCTAAAAACCCTTTGCCCTGCAGCCACGACAGGGAATTGGACGTGTCCTTGACCTTTGGCACGACCTTATGCTTGGTGGCGAGGGTCGGGATGTTGATTTTGTAGAGGATCCAAAAGTCGCTCAACGCCGCGTATTCCTGCTGGCCGCTCTTGGCGTGGGAGAAAGCGTAAATGTTGACGTTCATGTTGTCCAGGCCACGGACCAAGCACTGGACCTTCTCCACGTAGGAGAAAGCCGGGGTCACAGACTGGAACAGCAGGTACGGCGCGATGGTGCCACTTTTCTTGGAGCTCTTGTAGAAGTTGGAGCGGATGAAGCGGGTGGAGAACAACGCCGTCTGGTTGCCGAGGAATCGCCAGCTGGCGAGTTTGGCGAACCCATCAAACGCGTGCATGAAAGTTCTTGGTCCGTTCTCGAACATCCCTAGGCCATTGCGAACCTGTCGATAAAAAAATGAATAATCTTTAAGAGGTGATAGACATACAGTACCAGATGGGGGTCGGCGTACTCTGGCAAGAGAGCGTATGAATGCTATCAAATGTCCCGAGTTCCGACTCCCCGGAAGATGAAGCTCAATAACCGGGAACAGCAAGCAAACAAGTATAAAAAACTAAAAAGTCATACAATAGCTGCCCCGCAGATTGCTCTTGGTTGAACTTAAGAAATGGAGGGACACTCAGAAAGAAAAACAGGCTCGGAGTCAACGGGCCATATAAGGCAGATAACAAGCTGACCCGTAATTCTTTATTATTTTGAAGGATATCACCTAAATTTCCACAAGTTTACTCTTACTAAATAAGGAATTGTTGTTAAAACAATCTCTACTTTTAATTTATAATCATCAATCCTAATATATAAATCCCCACGTTCGCACATCTCTCTCTCTCTCTCTCTCTCTCTCTGTCTGTCCGCAAAATATTTTCGCCGGACATCACGTCAGAATCGGCAGCGATATATGAAGAACTTTTTACGGACTTTTGTTGAAAATAATATGTTAGATGTTTTAAATGTATAACCACAATTTTAGTTAAAGAAGAAAAATAAAAATTAAAGGCGTATTCGAATGTAGAGAAACATTTATATTTATGCAACCGGAAAAGCATTAATATGTGTGAAAAAGAACGCATAAAACTGTGACGTCACTATAGCTTATACATTTACTAATGACGTCATCTGCCGTGTTTAGAATGAAAAGAAATGAACTATTTCATTCAAATTTGATTTAGATCTACGTACACTATGAAATGTATACAATACAATTTTTCCGGCCTAAACTCATAAAATTTATTTTATTCTAGATTTATTCTAGATCTAGAGATTCTAGATCTAGACTAAATCTAAATCTAAATCTACGCAATAACTAGATCTAGACGTAGACGCTAAGATCTAGATTTAGACTCTAACTTCTCTAAAATCAATTCCAAAAATAAATTTCTATATTAGGACTAAACTATTTCAAGACTTATTTATTTTATACAAAATCTTTGTTATGAACTGGCTAATTTGGGATAAAAAATTAATTTGAAAGAATAGGCATATTCGCGTAAGTTAAGATTTTAAAATACGTGTTTCATTCTCCGTATTTTATAAGGTGCCTAAATAGCGGAGATGTTAGTGTACATTAAACCACGCAGGTGGTGCGGGTTCGAGACACAGCAAGTCAACTTGGTTAATGTATTTTTTTTTATTATGCTCGGGCTAAACTTAAAAAAAAAATTCTTTTAGGAATCTAGATCTAGATTGTCGGGTGTCCGATAGGGCACTTCCCGGCGCCGCAGGCGCTTCAAATTTGGCAGGATCTTGCCTTGGGGCGACAGAACACGGGGGCCGGTTGGCCGAAAAGTCTACGATGAGGGGGTCAAAACTGACCTCGACTGACCGGTACCTTATATGAGCTATAAATCGAAAAAAAAATGTCCACGGAGGAACCTCTTCATAACTCTTGAGGTCGTAGACCGACCCTCGGGCGAATTAATTAAGCATGCAAATTCTCAATGTTTTCGAAAGCCTAAGCGAAGCTGGGCAGCATGCCTAGTACTAATATAGTTGTATAGTCTTTAAGTAATATGTAAAAGTTTTAATTTAGTTGTTTTGTTTTTTAAAATCAAATAGCTGATTGTCCTTATTGCTCATTCATAATTCAGCATATTCAAGTAACAAAACACCAGTCTAGTCCAATGACAACCAACATCTCGAATATTAACAGCAAATTAGAGACAGTGTTTCTTCCAGACTTATTTCTCCGGGGTGGCACTTGATATTTTCTGGGGGCGGGCAACATTTTCGGGGGGGGGGGGGGGCAGACACTGGTAAAAGTTTTTTTTCTCTATAAATTCCATTTCGTTTGGGGGGGGGGGGGCGAAGAAATGCCTGGAAGAAAGTGATTAGAGCTTAGCGTGTCTAAAAAGGAACTCATCTCCCTCCACCCTTCGCCCCCATTATCACATATCACAAAAACTCAAGACTCCCCCCAGCTGAGAAATCTCGATCTTCAACCCTTCCATACAACTAGCACGTTTAAGCCCCTCCATACACCTGACGTCATTTGTAAACTCCCCCCCCCCACTGAACTGAACAACCAGTGACTTCGGATTTACTAGGTATCCTGTCATTCGTCAACGACCCCCCCCCAACCCCGACTGGACTTACAAGGTAGTCATTTGTCGACTACCCACCCCCTCCTACCCCCGACTTGACTTACAAGGTATCCTGTCATTTGTCAACACCCCCCCGACTGGACTTACAAGGTATCCTGTCAGCCATGATGGCAGAGAGTTCTGGAATGTGATGGGCACGTTCATCATTTCCTTCCTGTTGGTCTGGAACAGCAGGTTAAACCCTTCATCATAGTCCACACTGTCCGAGGTGTTTAACCTCAGTACAGTGCCAGTGTTGTTGTAGGAGTTCAACTCAGCTGTTGGCGGCTCCAGTGTGCAGTTGATGGAGGGCTCCGTCATGTTGAGCAGCTGATGTAGGGATGGCGTCACGAAGTAGCTGGCTACAAGATTTAAGGCCTGCAAGTTGAGCAGCAGGTAGATTTTCATTGTAAGCAATCTGCCGTCTGCTCACAATGTCTCACCAATCGCCTGCTCCACACGGCTCACCAATCGTCTGTTCAACACGTTTCACCAATCGTCTACCAAACACGTCTCACCAATCGTCTGCTCCACACGGCTCACCAATCGTCTGCCCAACACGTCTCACCAGCTCCCCTTAATTGAATCTAGACAAAAATAAAAGTGAACAAAAATGAAGTAAAATAGATTACGGTGAAAGCTGCTACAGACATTTACTTTATCAGATTTTTAAAATCAAGTTTTATCAAGTTTGTACAGATACTAGTGAAACTCTTCCTGATATACAAGTATTAGTGAGACCTATCCTGTTAGTGAAACTAATCTTGTGACATTCTTGTCTTTGAAACTAGTCTTTGTGACATTTATGTCAGTGAAATTAATCTTTGTAATATCTATCATTGAAACTAATTTTGTGACATGATCTATGTCTTTAAAACTAATCTTGTGACATTCTTGTCTTTGAAACCAACCTTGTGACTTCTATGTCATTAAAATCAATCATGGTTTATCAATTAGTGAACCTGACACCAACAAGATATTGAAACCAGCTGTTGGCGAAAGACCTTGTCACCCAGACTAAACAGAGACAGAACTTAATACAGACAAACGGGTGAACAAAATCTAACACAGTGGCTTGACACTGCTCACTGTACGAAAATAAAACAACTTACTTCTACAAGACGATGGTACTCTTGAATAAAAGGGTTACAAGAAAACAATCTTGAAGTTGAGTTTCAAAACAGTCAATGATTTCATCTCCATAGTCTGGTGTCTACTCTTCATGCTTGTCTGCTTGCTAGTCCCCAGCAGATGTCTGCATTTCACGTCTGTCGTCTGCACGTGCGAGCTAACAACGGATTTCTTCTAATCTGGGGTGGCGTGTGGAGGAACGGTAACCCCGCCTATCGAAGTCACGTGACCAATGGCATTAGACTTTTATTTTTGTAACATCAGCAGTACATATAGTAACAACATAATTCAATCTAAATATCCAAATAATAGTAAAACAAAAAGTAAAAACACATTAACAGTATAATTATAAATATAAAAATACAATTGGAATTCAACAGGAAGGCTTAAATAATTAGAACAAAATCCAAAACTGATATACAAATGAGATAACTACAAAAACATAGATCAATAATTAGAACATCATCGATTTGTTGATAATTAGACTGATAAAATATTGTCTAAGCCTTCTATTTTTTCCAAATGAAATAAACACAACTGGATACAATGCTTAATTAAGCATATATTTCAATTGTAAACATGGCTACAATATTCCACAATCAAGGCTTAATACAAAGCATAAAAAATATATTTAAAAATCAACAAATAGATAAAACATAGTATGTAAATAAACGAAACCTGGACTCTAGTAGCGATAAAAACGAAACAATTTTCGCTGTCTGGCACAAACAGACAGACTGGCGGTAGAAAGTTCTCGTGCACTGCTAAAAAATCAAAGAAGAAAAAAAAAACAAATGCGTGGCCGACTGACCAGACGAAGGACGGGGGTTGAAAAGATCAGCTGCTTACCGTGACCTCATTTCGTCTGATTAATAATCCAGGGCCATCAGTTTGTTTTGTTTTCTCACTCGGGTGAAAATATTTTTTCCTGGTTCATAGAGAAACCTTTTTATTAGAAATAAACAAACATTACAGTTTAGATTTTGATTCCACATATCCACAGAAGGAGGTCATCTGTACCCCCCCCCCCCTTCCATTTCAGGTTCTCTACTGACCTACTTTTAGAAAAAAAATAAGAGAGAGGGGGGTGGATTTTTCGTGCACTATCCTTGTGTGCTATTTATAGAAGTGAAGGTCACAGACTCAAGGTGAAAGCGGCGTTTTTGATCACGAGTCTCATTGTCCGGTCAGCACCCAACCAAGCAATTTTCTTTCTCTCGTCTTAGGTCAGTGTGCACCTGGAGCAGACGATGGCGGCGACCACTGCGGGGGGGGGGGGGGGGGGGACGACGACGACGACAGGCCAGCGCCAAATGGGGAGGGGGGAGGGAGTTCACACATTTATATAACACGAATACACGAAACCGTTTGTCACTCTGAGGCTCGTGGGGCGGGGTTCATACAATGTTGTCAACATTATGGGCTGGTGGTATATGGAGATCTTATATAACGTTGTGTGAATGTGGAGAGGGGTGGATGAAAAACCCCACATATTAGTATATATAATGTATGCAGTATATTAGAAGTCATCCGTATTTTACGACACCAATGGTGCCGGGGGAGGGGACGAACTTGTGTGACGATATGTGACGAATGAAGGTTACATTCTTGTATTGAAGGTTACATTCTTGTATTGAAAGTTACATTCTTGTATTGAAGGTTACATTCTTGTATTGAAGGTTACATTCTTGTATTGAAGGTTACATTCTTGTATTGAAGGTTACATTCTTGTATTGAAGGTTACATTCTTGTATTGCAAAACTAAATCGTTTAAGTCGAATTTTAGCAGTGACTAATTCTTAAGATTTTTTTACAAACCAATAATCGATTAAAGTACCTAAACTTGACCCTGATTTCTAGTGTTCTTTAGTTTAAGGTTGCAGTTCGTTGTATTTAGCTGTCCAGCAAATAAGGTAAAGGTCCTTAGAAAAATGATAGAATAGACCAACATACACACAGAGTTTCTTCCAGGCATCTTTTCGGGCTAAGCCCCCCCGAAATTTTTTTACCGCCCCCCCCCCCCCGAACGAAATGAAATTTATATAATTTATATAGAAAATATATACTTTTAATAATGTCCGCCCCCCCCCCCCGAAGAAAGTTTACCGCCCCCCCCCCCCCGAAAATTTCAAGTGCCCTCCCCCCCCCCCCCCGGAGAAAAAAGTCTGGAAGAAACACTGCATACACATGGTACAGTTTCATAAGTAAAAAGTCATCCATAAACGTCACACTTTTTAAAAAACATTTTTACCTCCCCCTCTCCATTGTCACACATCGTCACAGCCTCTCCCCCCCACCACCAATATAAACATTGTTTATGTTGGAACATTTCTTTTTTAATTTACAAAACAAGTGAAAGAGTATGCGTATAGTGTATTTTTAAAGTGTGTGAAAGTGTGTGTGTGTGAAAGAGTGTGTGTGTGTGAAATTGTGTGTGTGTGTGTGTGTGAAAGAGTGTGTGTGAAAGTGTGTGTGTGAAAGAGTGTGTATAGTTTTTTTTTTAAAAGTGTGCGCCAGTGTGTATGAAAGAGTGTGAGTGTGTGTGTGTGTGTGTGATAGTGTGTGTATAGTGTATTTTTAAAGTGTGGAGCGACATGATGACGTGCCAGTAAAATAATTAGCTGCTAATCAGCTTTGTTTAGGGCTGACGTCAGCGGTGCCAAAAAAAATATCGATACTAGTTCTAGATCATTCTTAGTCTAGTAGTGACGAAATAAATAGCAGCACTATAGTGGGTTTTTTCTTCTTTTTTTTGGGGGGGGGGGGGGGGGTGAGGGGGAAGGGGTGGGGTATGGAAAGTGCGCTGGAAGTGGGAGTTATACTGCTAACCTGTTGTATATATATAACGCCTTCTTGTTATAAATTAGATCTAATGTGTATGTAACTGTAAAGATTGCCTGCTGAATTCACTGCAGTATGTACTTGTCTGGCTACAGGCTGTGAAAGTTTTCCCTGTTAACCTGACCGTCAGTAGGGCAGGAAAATAATTTTGTCAAGTTGACAAACATTATGCCGGGGTTGACAATAACAATTTTAAAATTTACGACAGTCTTTTATTTAGCTGGTATCAGCTACTGACTTTATTTTACAGCAATACATTGGTTAATCATAAGCAGTAAACACATCTTGTGTAGCCTAAACACTTTAAACACATTTTATTAAACGCTCAAGGTCTGAAGTACCGATGACGTCACCAACGCTTCAACTCTTGAAGACTTTGCGGCAGCTCGCGGCCATTGGTCTCCGGCAGAAATCTGAGAGTGAGGCAGACGAGAGTACAAAGGGAAGCAATCAACAGCCCAGACAACCAGATGGCTTGCTCCGCCTAGAAAATAGGGTAGGATAAATCGTGTAATATCACATTAAATAACATACAGAACCTATAAAATAAAGAGGATCACTAACTTTCCCCATGTATATTTTTATACAACATTAAGGGTTGGGATGGTACTACATCTTGCTTTTGAGAATATACTTCTTTATAATCTATGAAATACATTTTTAAAAAAATCGTTAATAGCGTAACATACTACTTCCGGTAACCAGAAGGGCCTAAACAATTGTAAGAGAGCATAAGATCTTACACCTGCGTATGAAATTTCATCCACCTTATTGAATCTGTACTCAAATTATTGGTATTTTCGAAAAAAAAAATGAGTAAGGTATTGATATTAGAGGTCACTAAAAATTAAATGTAATATAAGTAGGCCTACTCAAGTAACAGTGTTCACACGAAAAGAGAGTAAAGTACAATTTCCGATTATCGAAAAAAGATTTTAAAAATTGGTAGAAACCTGCACAACCTAACTTTTTTGAGAGATTGACGGTAGAGTAAGTATCGCTTCCGGTTAGTGTAAAACACTCAAGGTTGATAGCAAATAACAAATTTGATATAGCCCCGGCCTAATACTAAGATTTGAAATTTTGCCTAAATACTCGAAACGGTACTCAAGTTATCGCGTCCATAGACACACACACAGACATGCAGATTGTGGAATTCCAAATCGGGGAGGTTTAAAGCGTCCACATTTTTATTTTTGCACAACTGCACGATTCGGTACGTACCAATAGACCCAGGAAAGGTGCCAGCATCCCACCTAGTCTTCCAACAAACGAGGACACACCGAGTGCCTGATTTCTGTAGACAAACCAACAAGCATGCAACTACATATTGTAAATCATATAATAAGTCCATTTTTAAAGTCAAGAATAAATATCACAATCTTAGCTTGGAGCTGTCATTGACTTAACTAGACATGTTTTTCTTTATATCTGGAGATAAGCACACCCTGAACTGGGAAATGCTACATTCTCAGTTCCCATTCATAGATGGATGTTGTCATATTTTTGGTTGGACATTATCTCGTTAATAGTTATAAGTCATCCAGTCAGCTAGACTCTGTAGAATGCTCTTTGGGCATTATTATATTGCAGGTTAAGTAAAACAAAATGTACCTGATATTTGTGGGAAACATATCAGGTGTGTAAATGAAAACAAAATGTACCTGATATTTGTGGGAAACATTTCTGGTGTGTAAAGGAAAACAAAATGTACCTGATATTTGTGGGAAACATTTCTGGTGTGTAAAGTAAAACAAAATGTACCTGATATTTGTGGGAAACATTTCAAGTGTGTAAAGTAAAACAAAATGTACCTGATATTTGTGGGAAACATTTCTGGTGTGTAAAGGAAAACAATCCCAAAACAAGAACTTGCACCCAACATTCCCAGAAGAGAAAATCCCAGAGCTAAGTAGGCGAATATGTCGTCGTTGTACACTGAAGAGATAAGAGATTGTGTGTCTATAGCAAACATCTCAACAGACAGCTGTATTTCACTAGCTATGTGCAATATTAAATTTAAATGACTATTGCAGACACACCACACAAGAGCTATAAACTAATTTTAAACTTTCTGATACAAATCTCATCGAAGCGTCTGGAACTACACAGTGCAGTGATAATTGAGAAGACTCAGTAGACTAAAATGCACTGTGGTCACCATGGTAACGCATCTGTTCGCGATTTTAAACAGCTAACTTCGGTGAAGTTTTACCCAAATAATACAACAAATAGCTGAGGTAGTGCTAAATCTCGAAATTTAAAAGGCATCCACTACCCACCTCTCTGAGGTAACACAAAATTTCTAAAAGACAAGTCAGAGACACCTGTGATATACCTTGTTGCAGGTGTCGACAAATTCCAGAAGCCAGCACAGATATCCCAAGGATTGCAAATACCCCGCCTGTGGAGATCCGTCGGCCAAATCTAGGAGACGAAACAAGTCATTTTGCCTGATCAACATAACAGTAAGCTTATTGTAAAGGACAATTCGGGTTTTGTTAACGCCAATAAATTACCTGTATTAATTACCTGCCCTGATTACCCGACATAATTATCTGAATAAATACCAGCCCAGACATAATTAACTGTGATAACTACGAACTACCTGTCTAAAATAGAATACAACATCAAGTTTGATGGGGCCTCCATTAGAGCAGTTAGGAAAAAATTCAGGAATCGATTACCCACTAATGTAGTCGATGTAAAGTAAATTCCGAAATAGCCCACAGCAGTTGTAAACCTAGTGAGAAAACGAACATGTTTGGGTTTATTTGATGTCATAGCTACATTATTGGTAAATGAAATCAGTGAAACAATCTATGAGGTTTACGGTAACAGTCAGAGGCATTTCTGACATTACTTAAAACAACACAAAGAGAATAATTTAGAATAGTGATTCAGAGATGGGTTGGGGTATAAGGGGTCGTAGTCTAGATAAACATTGCTCTCATGAGAAAAAAAGCTCGTGGGAAACATATATTTTGTATGCGATATACTCTAAATCGGCCTAAACAATTTTATATGCATTTTGAAAATCTGCTTAGTGGAACGTCGATAGTTACCTCGCAGCTTACAGAAAAATAATTACTGAGTCTCATAGAAACATGTAGTGGTATGGTTGTGGTTGCGAGTGTGGGTGTGGAGGGTGATGGTGGTAGTTTGATTCATTAGTCATGGGTGTAGGTGGTGGCTAAAAATATAAAAGATCTTGGGAAAATGTAACTTATACAAAATGTTATATTTTTTTGAATAACTATGGTACAATCTCAATGTCTCTAGAGAGACACAATGGAGATGCCCCCCCCCCCACCATACACTGAAAGACTAGATGCACTTATGCGCAATAGACAAACGGACATCAAAATGTATTTGAAATATGCGTGACATGAATTATATAACACGCCCAACTTAAAGCTGCTTATGACCTTCATAAAGGGGCGGTCAATTATCGTCCATCAGACTTAGCAAAACGTCGCAATCAGTCATAGAAATTACACTGATACAGACATACGGGCTCATAAGGGTACTATAAAGTACCCAGAATATACCACCACTAGTGCTAATTATTCTTAATTACCAAAGTCTAAGTCAGATGGTTAATTAATATTTCACAACCTGATGAGATGACTGCAACATGATACAGATGTCAAAATGGCTAATTAGCTGCACTTACCAAAGCAACCCATTCACCAATGACGTCACCAACAAACGCCTATCCTTAACAAGGTCAAAGAAAGACATCTGTTCACTGTGTATTATTTGAGAATTCTGGGAGAGTTTGTCTTCGCCGGAAGACACCAAATTTTGTTCTGAATTTACAGCTTTACATTGGGAAAACTCACTCAACTCCAGATGGGGTTTTGTATCACCAATGTCTTTCTGTTGTTTTACGTATTCTTGATAGTAATGATAGTCTACTGACTGTTGGCATAACGTGTTTTGATGGTCAGTTGTTTGGGTTAAAGTTTCTTGATGGTCAGCTGGTTGAGATAAAGTTTCTTGATAGTCAGCTGTTTGGGGTACAGTTCCTTGATGGTCAGCTGTTTTTGATAAAGTTTCTTGATGGTCTGCTGTTTGGGATAAGGTTTCTTGATGGTCAGCTGGTTGGGATAAAGTTTCTTGATGGTCAGCTTTTTGGGGTACAGTTCCTTGATGGTCAGCTGTTTTTGATAAAGTTTCTTGATGGTCTGCTGTTTGGGATAAAGTTTCTTGATGGTCAGCTGTTTGGGATAAAGTTTCTTGATGGTCAGCTAATTGGGATAAAGTTTCTTGATGGTCAGCTAATTGGGATAAAGTTTCTTGATGGTCAGCTGGTTGGGATACAGTTTCTTGATGGTCAGCTGGTTGGGATACAGTTTCTTGATGGTCAGCTAATTGGGATAAAGTTTCTTGATGGTCAGCTATTTGGGTTAAGGTTTCTTGATGGTTAGCTGGTTGGGATAACGTTGCTTGATGGTCAGCTGGTTGGGATAAAGTTTCTTGAGGGTCAGCTGGTTGGGATAAAGTTTCTTGAGGGTCAGCTGGTTGGGATAAAGCTTCTTGGTGGTCAGCTGGTTGGGATAAGGTTTCTTGATGTTCATCTGGTTGGGATAACGTTTCTTGATGGTCATTCTTTTTAAGGCAGTTCGTATTTTGATGGTCAGCACCAAAGAGGATCATGTTTATTTGTCCGTTACTTTGTTCGCACAAAACTTTTTGTGTGTCAAAGTTTTGTTGATATAAAGATTCCCGTTTTTCCATGTTCACTAAAGACTTGATATCAAAGTTTTCTAGAACGTTCTGACTCTGCACTTGTTCCACGTGATCTTGGAAGATCTGCAGACAAAAACATTTTGTCTATATAGAGTACTTTATATTATAGAGCCCACAATGTGTATACCACTTACCTTTACACACGTCATAGTCAATGATTACCGCTTACCTTTAAAACAACGTCTTCGTCGCATTTGTTCATCTTGACAGCTTTTTTAATGACCTTAACGGCTTGCTTGATTTTTCCGTTGGCAACCATCCAGCGTAAAGATTCATCCAGATATCTGTATACATATAAAGATAACTTAAAATAACATTACACCTTAAGGCTTGAAACTTAAGTGTGCGAAATCAGTGTTTAATTAAGATGCTGTTCTACATTTGAACATTTGACCGCACATATTAGTATTATTACTCTAAAATACGGATATCGTTGACTAAATCGAATCAGAAGCGTACACTGGTGCCCCGGCGGTTGGGGTGACCCGGTGCTACCCCAGGATCCCCAGTGTGCACTATGACGCCTACGTTCATTTAAAGAGTGCCATACGCAGTGGATACGGTGGGCTACTATTATCGTTAACTAAATCAAATAATGCGGCGGTTGGGGTGACCTGCAGCACCGCCTCTCCAGTGTTAGCACAATGGCGCCTACATTTGTTTTAAAGAGCACCCTACAGTAAGGACGCGTTGGCACACAGCATTCGATTATCAAACTGAATCAGGGGCCGTAACCGGTGCCACTGCGTAGTGTAGATAGCAGAAACGCGCCAAGGATACAATGTGTAGGCCAACAAAAAATAAAATATACTCAACAATATCTGTAAGACAACAAAGAGTGAAGTCGAGCTGAGTACTATCTGTAAGGTCCGCCAAGAGTTGTCCCTCAAGAGAAACGCTACAAGAGCTAACGTCATCACACACACAGACCAGACTACACCGGTAATAGCCGCTGCCAACTTCCGGTCACTTGTCGTCAGTAGTTCCAGCATCATAGTAGCGCAGTTGATTACAACACCCTAAAACAAACAAATAGGCTAAACAAATGTAGACAGTTGATTATAGCACCTGAAACATACACATAGTCTAAACAAATGTAGCAAAGTTGATTATAGCACCCTAAAACATACACATAGGCTAAACAAATGTAGAGTCACGTTCACTAAGACACACTGCTGCAAAACACCAAGTTTTAAACCTATGATAAATCTCTTGCTGAGTTCCTCACACAACCTCATGTGACTTAGCGAAGTAGAGCTGATTAAAAAGCTTATGTTAATTCAAAAGCAAATGTCACTCACCTGTTAAACAATTGTCAATGGTCACTCACCTGTTAAATAATTGACATTGTCACCTTTCCCTTACCTATTAAATAACTGTCACCTATGAGTTACCTCATAATTGTCACCTGTCACTCACCTGTTAAATAACTGTCACCTGTGACTTACCTGTTGAAAAGCCCCTACAATAAACTTGAAGACAGCGAAGTAGATGTAGCTCGGCGAGATGGCGATACAAACACCAAACACACCGAGGCCGAAGTTTGAGATGACCAGCACCGTCTTCCTGCCCCACCGGTCACTGAAGAAAGTTGCTATGATGGCCCCCACACCTTGTCCAGCAATGACCAGTGTTTGACTTAGACGTGCCAAATTGGAGCGATCACACACAAGCTCAAACTGGAAATAAAAATAAAGAGTTTCAAACTGTATTAGAGATGTCTTGCACTAGGAAAACTTTAAAAAATAAAAGTAGGGCCTACTTATCTGTAGAAGTGGTTAAGTAAAACTGAAAACTGACTTTAGATAAAGATGCTAAAACCCTAAACGTAGCTTAAATATAACCCCTGTGCGTACATATACACTTATTTCTTGCATAAACTTAAAGCGAATCATTCCATCCTATAAGCTTGCTTTATACAAAGGTGATGGTATAAAAAAAACACACCTGAGAAACGGCCGATCTTTCAACAGGTAGATGGAAATCATAGCCACCCAGACAAGCTTCTTGTTTCACCATCGTACTGTTCATCCAGTATGTGACGTCACACTGGCCACTCGTGACGTTGACTTGGTCATCTGTCTCGTTTGTTTTAACACAGCTGTGTGGGACAGTTTGACCTGTGGAGGTTAAAGTCAAGTCAAAGTCATGTCAGAGGTTGTTGGGATTTTACAGAAGAGGGGAGGGGGGCACATGATACAGACGGCTTGAGAAAAAAATAATTGTTTAAGTGTACACGAGAATGTAAACACTTACAGGTAAAAATGTTGCTTAGCAACTGGAAAGCTCCGGGGAAACTGACCAGGCTAATTAGAAGGATCTGGATCACGTGATATCGTCCCTTTTTATTCAAAGACTTAAACACTGTGTCCATGTTTTGTCTAAAGAAACTGCAAATAAGTAAAGCAACTACAGCTAGAGAAAGAAAAAAAAAACAACATTTACACTAACAGCTAAGACATACACACATTTTAAACATCTAAATCATAATCACATTAACAAATTTGAGAAAAAGTGTACATCATCTTCTGTCAAACTACACTACTTTAGTGAGTGGCAAATTAGTGTCAGCACTATCTTTCAAACTCCTTTATAAAATTCACGTAGTTCGAAGAAACATTGACAAACATAAAAGCGAATACATGCGAAAAGGAGATCAATAAATTAATACTGTGTAAAACAACTATTTTTCAAATTTTAACACAAAAGCGAAGCTATACTGTTATGATTCATACTTTGCCGTTTGTCTCATATGTTGAATAGATTTTAGGTACACCAACGTGATATATTTTAGGAATTTACTTGTCTCAAGATATTGTGCATATCTGTACAAAGGCGGTAGCCAGCATTTAGAAAAACAATTAAGTGGAAGAAATACTTGAACCATTTTATTTTTTTAACGGACCAGAAAACTGAGTAAACAATGCCCAAGCAGGAAGAGATGACAGCTGCTATTTACTATAGATCTAATTAGTCGGCGCATTTCTTTTTCGAATGGAACAACTCATATTTATTTAAACGTTGTTTAAAATAGCTTGAGATTTTAACATTTAACCTTTAGCTGATCATTTTACAGGGAAAATCAAGTGAGTGGGAGAGTTTAATTTGTTTTAGAATTTTAGATTTAGTTTGAGATCCCCTAAAAATCTGAAGGCCTCTATTTCGGTTTGTCAGCTCCATCACCACATAATCAGCTAAAATTTCTTCAATGAAACAGTGTATTATAATGCATACAATAATATACTCACCAGCCACGCAGAACAAATGATACAGTGGAACATAATCTTAGAGTTTTAAATAAAATATTTCCCTATGTTAGTCATCACGCGTACCAGAGGTTAAAAGCTTTACGTATTTATCGAAAGCAGGAGCTACTTAATCTCTGTCTAACACATTAGGAATTTCGACACGGTGCCATTAAGGTACAGGTGCAAAACATTCACCTGCCCTGTTAATTTATGCAGATCTACCAGACGGTAAAAAAATCTCGAAAACGACCCCGACGGACTGACCGCTTCTAAGTGGGCTGTGACAAAAGGACCCGGTCAATACAGCTCCTAACAAAACGATTCCTGTTCATTTTCATCGCTACAATGGTTCCAGTAAGGTTCCAACTTCAAAGTCTGTATGACTTCCGACAAAAGGGTTCCTCTTGTTATGATACGTAACAACCAGGCCTTAAGTACACCAGTTGTATGACATTGCTAGGTGCTACCTCCGTAGTAGTCTCTTGTCTATGTTCATATCGCACATGATTTTAGCTAACGTGGTACTTAACAATGTATGGTACACCTAACATGGTACCGTTAACCTTTTTGTATAAACAGAAAACTTACTTTTTGCATCCTGCTCCTGTAAATCAAAGACCTATCTTGATGTTATTTTGTTGATGGTTTATATTTATGGTCATAATGTCAAGAGTCATATTGTTCGGATACACATTAATTACAAAAAAAGTGGCTTGATAGTCTGATAGGAAATTGTATGCTTTTGCCTTGGAGATCCAAGTACAAAACCTGAGTAGCAAGATAAGAAGGATCAATGTTGCCCATGTATCAGACCACACCTCTCCAAACAGATGATGGACCCAAGTGAGAGGCATATCCTGTTCTACAGCTTACCATCAGTCGTGTCGCAGGAGCTGCCGAAAGGAAACCAGAGTTGGTAATCCTCACGCTTAAAGAACTCCACTCCAGTTTGATTCCGGAGTTTTTTCTCTTACTTGACTTGCTGTCCTCTCTAACGAGCCTCATCTTCCCGCGGGCTTGAACTCGGGACTTTCGGGTTAGCAACAATACACACTCCATCCCGACCACGCGTACCACATTGTTGGATTGCACATCGGCTAGAGTAGTTTTATCTCGAGCCAGATTGTTATTGACACATTCTTGTCATGGCCATTTGTCGAGGGGTGATATTGCAGATGGGTTTTGTCAGATTTTGTCGAATACAGCTTATGTTGTTTGACACGTTCTTTGGAGACTAGAGAGTTTACACAAAAAAAAAGAAACTCAAACAAAGATACAAACATACATACTTAAGCAAACACACAAATAAAATAAATTATATACAGAAAGATAGGTTTTTTTATATAAAAATAATCGCAGGCCACTGTGAATTAGAAGTTGTCTGTGAGTCCTACACAAGATTAGATTCCATATAATAATCTTATATATTAGAACATTTGACTACATCACTGTCATTTTGTTAAGTAATCTTTCTGATAAGTTGGAAATAAAACTAAAAAGTCAAGTCCTCTATGAATATTTGTACGACTCATACTTTGGAAGGACGGAGTCCACGGAACAAGCCATGACCAATTAATCTGTTAAATATTTTAAATTAACTAACCAACACACATTGAGCCTGTTGGATGATAAGATACTCTAAAACTAATGTTTTATTTTTGCCAAACGTCACACTACCACATGTCACGATTAAAGTGTAACTCAAGAATCCATCAAATGCTAACATAACACGTTTTACAACAAATGTAGTCTACATACATTAGTACGTCTGTGTCGTGTTCTGGTACCAGCAATTACGTGTCTTATTATGATGCCATCAATTATGTGTCTTATTATGGTGCCAGTAAACACACACCCAGTTATAGAGGCAGTGTAACTCTTCTTGTACACAAAGTTTAAATTTGTTTGCGATACGTATTTCCCATATAAAACTTTCGTTTTAAATTGGTGTACCTTCCCGTGCAGATTTTGGGATCCGATGTTTGACAAACAAGCAAGAAAACACTGCTTACTTGTTGGTATTATTGCGTTGACAACGAGCATCAAATTTAATTTAAAAAAAAAACAAACTTTAATTGTTTTTTATACGTCTATGACAAGCTATGTCATGGTGAATTAATTTGTTTCTTAGCAACTGGAAAGCTCCTGGGAAATACACCTGACACATTAGAATGATTTGTGAAATTTGTGAATTTTACTCCCTGGCCATGAAATAATGGAAAAGGTAAAATTGAAGAAAGTTGCTATGATTTTTTTTTTAAATAGCTAAACACTAATATGATTATTACGGTACCGTTCGTGGGGCCAATCGAGGTTTCTTTTCCTCGGCCCACCGGGATTTTCCCCGGTAGACCGGCGGGCCAGTCCACCCCTACCCTCTCACTTCGACCCAAGTGTCAAGACAAAACAGCAGGTATAAAACACACTTACGGCCTTCTTACCTGCTGTTGCTACTGTAATGTTTCTTGTTTTCCCACACTCACTGACAGCCTTCTTACCTGCTGTTGCTACTGTAATGTTTCTTGTTTTCCCACACTCACTGACGGCCATCTTACCTGCTGTTGCTGCTGTAATGTTTCTTGTTTTCCCACACTCAGTGACGGCCTTCTTACCTGCTGTTGCTACTGTAATGTTTCTTGTTTTCCCACACTCACTGACGGCCATCTTACCTGCTGTTGCTACTGTAATGTTTCTTGTTTTCCCACACTCACTGACAGCCTTCTTACCTGCTGTTGCTACTGTAATGTTTCTTGTTTTCCCACACTCACTGACGGCCATCTTACCTGCTGTTGCTGCTGTAATGTTTCTTGTTTTCCCACACTCACTTACGGCCATCTTACCTGCTGTTGTAATGTTTCTTGTTTTCCTACACTCACTGACAGCCATCTTACCTGCTGTTGCTACTGTAATGTTTCTTGTTTTTCCACACTCACTGACGGCCATCTTAACGATTGCTGTAATGTTTCTTGTTTTCCCACACTCAGTGACGGCCATCTTACCTGCTGTTGCTACTGTAGTTTCTTGTTTTCCCACACTCACTGACGGCTATCTTACCTGCTGTTGCTACTGTAATGTTTCTTGTTTTCCCACACTCACTGACGGCCATCTTACCTGCTGTTGTAATGTTTCTTGTTTTCCTACACTCATTGACGGCCATCTTACCTGCTGTTGCTGCTGTAATGTTTCTTGTTTTCCCACACTCACTGACGGCTATCTTACCTGCTGTTGCTACTGTAATGTTTCTTGTTTTCCCACACTCAGTGACGGCCATCTTACCTGCTGTTGCTACTGTAGTTTCTTGTTTTCCCACACTCACTGACGGCTATCTTACCTGCTGTTGCTACTGTAATGTTTCTTGTTTTCCCACACTCAGTGACGGCCATCTTACCTGCTGTTGCTACTGTAGTTTCTTGTTTTCCCACACTCACTGACAGCCATCTTACCTGCTGTTGCTATTGTAATGTTTCTTGTTTTCCTACACTCACTGACAGCCATCTTACCTGCTGTTGCTATTGTAATGTTTCTTGTTTTCCTACACTCACTGAAGGCCATCTTACCTGCTGTTGCTACTGTAATGTTTCTTGTTTTCCCACACTCACTGAAGGCCATCTTACCTGCTGTTGCTACTGTAGTTTCCTGTTTTCCCACACTCACTGACGGCCATCTTACCTGCTGTTGCTACTGTAATGTTTCTTGTTTTCCCACACTCACTGACGGCCATCTTACCTGCTGTTGTAATGTTTCTTGTTTTCCTACACTCACTGACAGCCATCTTACCTGCTGTTGCTACTGTAGTTTCTTGTTTTCCCACACTCACTGACGGCCATCTTACCTGCTGTTGCTACTGTAGTTTCTTGTTTTCCCACACTCACTGACGGCCATCTTACCTGCTGTTGCTACTGTAATGTTTCTTGTTTTCCCACACTCACTGACGGCCATCTTACCTGCTGTTGCTACTGTAATGTTTCTTGTTTTCCCACACTCACTGACGGCCATCTTACCTGCTGTTGCTACTGTAGTTTCTTGTTTTCCCACACTCACTGACGGCCATCTTACCTGCTGTTGCTACTGTAATGTTTCTTGTTTTCCCACACTCACTGACGGCCATCTTACCTGCTGTTGCTACTGTAATGTTTCTTGTTTTCCCACACTCACTGACGGCCATCTTACCTGCTGTTGCTACTGTAATGTTTCTTGTTTTCCTACACTCACTGACAGCCATCTTACCTGCTGTTGCTACTGTAGTTTCTTGTTTTCCCACACTCACTGACGGCCATCTTACCTGCTGTTGCTACTGTAGTTTCTTGTTTTCCCACACTCACTGACGGCCATCTTACCTGCTGTTGCTACTGTAGTTTCTTGTTTTCCCACACTCACTGACGGCCATCTTACCTGCTGTTGCTACTGTAATGTTTCTTGTTTTCCCACACTCACTGACGGCCATCTTACCTGCTGTTGCTACTGTAATGTTTCTTGTTTTCCCACACATACTGACGACCATCTTACCTGCTGTTGCTACCGTAGTTTCTTGTTTTCCCACACTCACTGACGGCCATCTTACCTGCTGTTGCTGCTGTAATGTTTCTTGTTTTCCCACACTCACTGACGGCCAACTTACCTGCTGTTGCTACTGTAATGTTTCTTGTTTTCCCACACTCACTGACGGCCATCTTACCTGCTGTTGCTACTGTAATGTTTCTTGTTTTCCCACACTCACTGACGGCCATCTTACCTGCTGTTGCTGCTGTAATGTTTCTTGTTTTCCCACACTCACTGAAGGCCATCTTACCTGCTGTTGTTGCTGTTTCTTGTTTTCCCACACTCACTGACGGCCATCTTACCTGCTGTTGCTACTGTAATGTTTCTTGTTTTCCCACACTCACTGACGGCCATCTTACCTGCTGTTGCTGCTGTAATGTTTCTTGTTTTCCCACACTCACTGTCGGCCATCTTACCTGCTGTAATGTTTCTTGTTTTCCCCCACTCACTGACGGCCATCTTACCTGCTGTTGCTGCTGTTTCTTGTTTACCAACTGCGAGTCTAGGTTTTAACAGCGTAAAGTGTTTGTATTTACCAACAGTGGGGACATTGAAACTAGATGTAGCTTTATCTCTGTCTGACACATTATGGTGTTTATCACGGTGTTGTTAGAGTACAACATATTATATGTTACGGTCAAAGCCCGAAGTCGGCCAATGCGCGGATTTGCCAGCCAATGCGCGCATTGGCCAATATCGCCTCCCATAGGTCGGTCAAAGTCCGAAACTTTGCTTGATTTTGCTCTTTGGCCAGCCAATCCGCAGACTGGCCATGGTGGACCGGCCAAAGTCTTAATTAGAAGATCATCTGGATATGGACGACCGGCCAATGTCCGAATTAGAAGTTCATGAGCAGATTTTGGGTTTTTTTTTAATGCCGTAAGGATCATGAAATTAAGTCTTTATTGATTATTAATTAAAGTAAATGACAGAAACATTCACATTTTTTATTGTACTATAGTCTCAATCAATAATATTATCATTTGTTACAACAAGTTGAACTTTTATGGCATTTAGAATTACATAGCAGCTTGTTATTTTTACACTTGCAGCGCTTTGTTGTGCACTTAGTTGTGCAATTGCAGCGAGTGTAGCCTTGGCCCCCAGTCAATGACTGTGAAGATGCGATGGTTCGTAGTGACTTTTCCTCAGTGCCAACTGACGACAATAAGAGCAGTTTTTCGTGAAGAATTGAAAACTCACTTCTAGCATACAGTTGTTTTAGAACACCATATTCCGTTCCTAATTTGTAGAAACCGCCCTCGACGCTCATGACAACTGCAATCACGCCTCGGGGATCACTTAACACATTCACACTCATCTACACATACATATGGAGACACATCCAAACATGTAGGCTACAAATGGCACATCTAGTTGGTGTTCAGAAAAAGTTACAATTTTAATTCAAATTTATTAAGTTCCAGTGATGCATGTGTTCTTATTAAATAAAAACCATTTTGGCAAACTTTTGCCTGGTTGACCCTTGGCTTTATACGCTTGATATCCTGTAGTGTACTTGTGAGTGGAAGCATACGGATCGCATGAAGATGGGTTCTAGCCTTGTGTTCCCCTTATTCCTAGCAGGGGAGACAACAGAAATATTACTCTTACACTTCAGTTGTTTGTAATAGTTATCTCCCCTTTCTGGACTTTTCTTCCTGTGAATATGTTGAGACCAATATTTTGACAAAAAAAAATTCATGTTATGCTTTCGTGTGTTGTTACAGTTTAGGATTCTAATTAAGAGTTTCCTTGAATATCTTAGTAAAGTGAATGTGTTAATGTTATGTTATGATCATCAATTGATAAGATGTTTTAGAGATGATAGAGTCGAAATGAGGCTCATAAACATGGACACTTATATTGAAGAACAGAACAAAGTCTAATTTTTAACCAAACGTGTTCTTGCGTATTGAATACTGGGGCACAGATGACGTCACCAACGCTTCAACTCCTGAAGACTTTGCGGCAGCTCGCGGCCATTGGTCTCCGGCAGAAACCTGAGAGTGAGGCAGACGAGAGTACAAAGGGAAGCAATCAACAGCCCAGACAACCAGATGGCTTGCTCAGCCTAGAAAATAGGGTAGGATAAACCGTGTAATATCACATTAAATAACATACAGAAGCTATAAAATAAAGCGGGAGTGATCTCCCCTAAGCTAGAACAGACATAAAACATGAAAAATTAGATTAAAATGTCAAAAATATTCAGTACCCAAAAAAACACCAGGTACAAGGGGCAAGACTCGACAAAGTCACAGGGTAGTGCGTAAAACGTCACAAGAAGTGCGTAAAACGTCACATGAAGTGCGTAAAACGTCACATGAAGTGCGTGAATAAATAAAGGCTAAAATTAATTTTATCCTTGTTCAGAAACCACTGAGTGCAAGAACAATATTGGCCGACTAATATTCACAGTTAATATACTCAAACGCGCTGGTTATTCCAAAAAGTAGTTGTCTGGTTTTTCTAAAAAAAAAATTACGTTTTAAGTTTTGATAAATCCAAAATACACTGGACGAATTACAAGTACTAAAGTAAAGATAGTTTGGTTTAGGACGTGAATCAAAACACCCACCACATCTTCCACATGTGGCTGTGGACTCACCAGAACTCCCAGAAATGGTGCCAACATTCCACCAAGTCTTCCAACACATGAAGCCACACCCATCGCCCTATTTCTGTCAGAGAAAATACATATTCACACGAAAGTTTAAGATTTATGAGCCAGTTTCACAACTATCTACAACACAATATTTCCACATCGCTGTGTGGTGCTGTTGCCTTCTAACTATTTCGGAGAGTTTAGTCCAAACTTGAGAACTAAAACAATACGACCGTGTAATTGTTAACTATGATAAATTCAAATTTTGTAAGTAGATAGGCCACAAGTTGATGTTCTGTAACCAACTAGAAATTTATCATGTTGTTATAAATGTTTTTGAATGGGCTGAAAGATGCCTTCTTCGCGACTAGATTTTTTAAATTAAGAACGAAAAGAAAATCTTATACAAACTGATATTTATAAAAAAAATTAACTTTAAAAAGTTCTGATCTTCTTAAATATTCAAAATGTACCTAATATTTGTGGGAAACATTTCAGATGTGTAAAGGAAAACAAAATCTACCTAATATTTGTGGGAAGCATTTCAGTTGTGTAAAGGAAAACAAAATCTACCTAATATTTGTGGGAAGCATTTCAGTTGTGTAAAGGAAAACAAAATGTACCTGATATTTGGGGGAAACATTTCAGGTGTGTAAAGTAAAACAAAATCTACCTGATATTTGTGGGAAACATTTCAGTTGTGTAAAGGAAAACAAAATGCACCTGATATTTGTGGGAAACATTTCAGTTGTGTAAAGGAAAACAAAATGTACCTGATATTAGTGGGAAACATTTCTGGTGTGTAAAGGAAAACAAAATGTACCTGATATTTGTGGGAAACATTTCAGGTGTGTAAAGGAAAACAATCCCAAAACAAGAACTTGCACCCAACATTCCCAGAAGAGAAAATCCCAGAGCTAAGTAGGCGAATATGTCGTCGTTGTACACTGAAGAGATAAGAACTTCATGTTTTAAATAATTTATTTATATTTAAAAATCGTATTTAAATAAATAAATATATTAAATAAATATATAGGCCCTGCAAAATTAAATTCTACATTTCAAAGTATTGTGTACAATCTTAGAATTGAAAGAGGCACCAAAAGAACTTAAGTTTACACAATCTTTTGTTTGATCGTGTAAGAAAGTTTCTAAAAGACAAGTCAGAGACACCTGTGATATACCTTGCTGCAGGTGTCGACAAATTCCAGAAGCCAGCACAGATATCCCAAGGATTGCAAATGCCCCGCCTGTGGAGATCCGTCGGCCAAATCTAGGAAACAAAAATTCGTTTGATCGCTTTATTTTTTAGGTTTATTTAATTAGAGTTTCTTGTCTTAATTACCGACTATAATTACATGTCGTCATTAGTTTTATCTATATCTACCGTAATTATTTGTCGAAATTACCATTCATAATTACCTGTCTAAAATAGAATACAACATCAAGTTGGATGGAATCTCCATAAGTGCCGTTAAGAAAAAGTTTAGAAATCGATTACCAACAAATGTAGTCGAAGTAAAATAAATCCCAAAATAGCCCACAGCAGTTGTAAACCTTGTGAGAAAATGGAAAGTTTGGGTTTATTTGATGTCATAGCTACATTACAGCCTACATGTACATAGGTAAACAGAATCACATAGCAGCCTACAGGTAAACAGAATCACATAACAGACTACAGGTAAAGAGAATCACATAGCAACCTGTAGGTACATAGGTCAACAGAATCACATAACACACTACAGTAAACAGAATCACATAACAGTCAACATGGACATAGGTAAACAGAATCACATAGCAGCCTACAGGTCAACAGAATCACGTAACAGTCAACATTTACATAGATAAACAGAATCGCATAAAAGTCTACGGGTAAATAGAATCACATCACATAACAAAATCAAAATAAAAAATAGTTTGAAATAAATAGAATCGGACTGGACGATCCTGTCGTATGCTGGCTTAGTGGCATGTGGGTAATTAGTTAACTACAATCATCATCAACGCACGTCAAAATGCAATGGTCGCGTGCCGGATGGCAAGCCAACACAAAATCCTCTAAGCTCCTTACAGGTTATTAACTGGATGGGACTAGCCTGAGTCTATCAAACCTCAATGGGCGCTTAAGTTAAGTCGCCATTAAATGCCATTAAACTTTAGTTATTTAGACTTATATACGACATGTCATGGTAACCAGTTGTAGATACGTTTATTGGCATAAATAGGGCTTGTAAGTAGGTCATCAACTTCTCATCTTAGTACTTGTATGTTTCAAACCAAATATTAATATTTCTTACTAAATCGGTAAAAAACAACAACAAAATAAATAGAAAAGTGCTGCCGCTGTAGTTGTTATTTAAAATCATTAACAATGTAGGCTAGCTCAAAGAAAAAGATAGCCTACGTTAAATTGTGATTTAAAAAAAAAGAAGCGTACAGTTTGTTACTATTTATTAGAATCAGAGTTTCTTCCACGGGGGGGGGGGGGGGGGGGCGAAACCCCCCCGAAAAAATTTTACCGCTCCCCGTGCGAAATGAAATTTATATAATTTATATAGAAAATATATACTTTTAACAGTGTCCGCTCCCCCCCCCCCCCCCGAAGAAAGTCTACCGCCCCCCCCCCCTCCCCGAAAATTTCAAGTGCCCCCCCCGGAGAAAAAAGTCTGGAAGAAACACTGATTAGAATCCGTAACAAATTCACCAAAACGCAGTTAAAATATTAATATAATATAAATACCCAACGGCTACAGGTACTTAGTTTGATTCTATGATTAATAATAACTTTCGTTGCAATTTGAGTAATCTTGGTATTTTAAAAACTTGAAGCGAGGCATAGGAACAAATAGTCGCTATGTTTTTTGTTATCAGTTGGTATCATGTTCAAAAAAAATTAATTTAATTCTAAAATTTATGTCTCCCTGGCTAACGAGATTTATAATTTTAAGCGTGAGAGACCTACATCTTCTTCTTCTTCTTCGTTTTTAAGTTTAGTGTTGGAAAGGATCCCCTCCAGCATAATTAAGTATACGTGTCAACTGGTTATGTGCCATTGAGGCCATTGACTCCGATTTCTGCCTGCTTTTCTTTTTGGATTTGCTTCCATAGCCTTTGCCCAACCAAGAACAAACTACAAGGCAGCAGTTGTTTGACTTTGGAGTTGTCTCTCCTGAAAGAGTGGCTGTCCCCAGCTAACGAGCCTCATCTGCCCGAGGGTTCGAACTCGAGACTTTTCGGTGTAGCCATGAGCTTTACCGACTCGACCACGCCGACCAATACCGAGAGTTAAAAGTCTGACTGATGACTGCTGATCAAGATTATATCTGACATACTACAATGGCTATACAGCTATACTTTAGACCTTACCACCACCAATTGGTCTAGTATCTGGTCCCATAACACACCTATTACAACAAATATATGTGGTAGTGGTGGGAGGAGGAGGGGAGGGGCTAAACCACAGAACAGGTCGTCTACCATGGTTGACTTGTAGTTTGATCAAACGGTGTTACATTTTAGGAGGGAGTAGAAAAAGAGAATTGATTATCCAATGTTACTGTTGAGAATGAAAAAGAAGAAAAGGAAAAATAAAAAGAAGAAGAAGAAGAAGAAGAAGAAGAAGACAACCTTACCACAACAGACCCGCTACAACAGACGACACAAACAGTTGTCTCTGTTTCACCAGGTCAAAGAACGACATCCGTTCATGTTTTGTCATCTGGGCATCATGGGAGTTCTCGTCTTTGTTGAACGACATCTGGGCATCAAGTGAATCCTCTTCTTTGTTTGACGACACCAAATCTGTCATCTGGGCATCATGGGAGTTCTCGTCTTTGTTGGACACCCAATCGTGTTCGTTTACTGCCTGACACCGAGAGACCCCATCAAAACGATGGCGTCCACTTAGTACGTTTTCAGACAAGAACAAGTCTTTGTTTGGCTGACAAGCAGAGTCTTGCTGGTCTTCGGTTTGTGGGGATAAACTTTTCTCTTGCTCATTGTTTCGTTGGGATAATGTTTCCTCTTCATCATTGTTCTTTTGGGATAAACTTTTCGTTTGGTCATTGTTCTTTTGGGATAAAGTTTTCTTTTGGTCATTGATCTTTAGGGATACAGTTTTCGAATGGTCATTGTTCTTTTGGGATAAAGTTTTCGTTTGGTCATTGTTCTTCTGCGATAAAATTTTCGTTTGATCACTGTTCTTTTGGGGCACAATTTCCCGCTGCTCATTGTTCTGTTGAGCTTCAATATCTTGTCTGCCACTGTCTTCTTGAAACGAAGATTCAAGTTTGTTCCAGTTCTCTAAAGACTTGGGTTCAAGCACTTGCAAAGTTTTCATACAACTTTCTTGCTTCAGTTGTTCCTGAAAGATCTGTAAAGGAAAAACATGTGTCCGTGTAAAGGATACATTCTTTTAAAGAGAGACGCTTTGCATTTTCTATTCAAATATTTAATTAATAAAAATAACACATTTCTTTGTGATTCATGGTTTATTTTCTGGACCTTCCAATCTGTGTTTCACATCGTTACAAATTACTTTTGTAGGCCTTCGGATATGCTTGTACCTTTACCTTTAGAACAACATCCTTAGGATATGGTTGTACCCTTCACTTTTGGAAAAACCTTCTTAGGATATGGTTGTACCCTTTACTTTTGGAAAAACCTTCTTAGGATATGGTTGTACCCTTTACTTTTGGAAAAACCTTCTTAGGATATGGTTGTACCCTTTACTTTTGGAAAAACCTTTTTAGGATATGGTTGTACCCTTTACTTTTGGAAAAACCTTTTTAGGATATGGTTGTAACAATTACCTTTAGAACAAATTCCTGAGTATATGGTTGTTCCCCTTACTTTTGGAACAACCTCTTTAACATATGGTTTGAACCCTTTACCTTTAGAACAACCACCTCGTCGCATTTGTTCATCCGTGCAGCTCTACTGATGACAACAAGAGCCTGATTGATTTTTCCGTTGGCCACCATCCAACGCAAAGATTCATCCAGATATCTGCCAAAATGTTGATTACTGCAAGACATTGCTAGCGAAAGCTTTAAAAATTCAAATTTTTCTAAAACATTTTTTAAAGACTAACGAAACGTAAATACAAAAATACAACAACAACAACAAAACAACAACAAAACAACAGATTATCCAATTTTTAGACAAAAGTTACTTAACAATATCTGCAGGATAACAAATATTGAAGATGTGCTGAGCGCAATTTGCAGTATCCGCCAAGAGTATTCCCTTAGGAAAAATGAGACGAGGGCTAGTAACATTGCAGAGAAAGATATCACTACACCGATGATTGCGGCCGACAATTTTCGGTTACCAGTGGTCATCAGTTCTAGCATCAGGGTAGCGCTGTTGATTATAACACCCTAAAAAAGAAGTATAAACTTTCATTTTTATACAGTTGTAGTTAAAGAAGTATAATCTCTCATTTTTATGCAGTAGATTAAAAGAGTATAATCTTTCATTTTTATACAGTAGATTAAAAGAAGTATAATCTTTCATTTTTACACAGTAGATTAAAAGAAGTATAATTTTTCATTTTTATACAGTAGATTAAAAGAAGTATAATCGTTCATTTTTATACAGTAGATTAAAAGAAGCATAATGTTTTATGTTTATACAGTTGATTAAAAGTAGTATAATCTTTCATTTTTATACAAAAGATTAAATGAAGTATAATCTTTCTTTTTTATACAGTAGATTAAAAGAAGTATAATCTTTCATTTTTATACTGTAGATTTAAAGATGTATAATCTTTCATTTTTATACAGTAGATTAAAAGAAGTATAATCTTTCATTTTTATACAGTAGATTAAAAGAAGTATAATCTTACTTTTTTACACACTGGATTATAACACCACAAAACAAGGAATTAAAGACTTTTATTTTTCCACGTAGATCGTTTTGCGGCTTAAGACAGGCTTTCAGTATTACATCTCAAGCACCTGGTTACTAAAGCTTACAATAATTACATCTGTAGAATTCTTAAGATTGCATGCAGCAAAGCTAACCTTACGTATGACTGTCATGCAAATATTAAAATACCCCTGCCTGAAACAACAATCTACCTCGACCCACCTGCTCAAATGCCCCCACAATAAACTTGAAGACAGCGAAGTAGATGTAGCTGGGCGAGATGGCGATACAAACACCAAACAAGCCGAGGCCGAAGTTTGAGATGACCAGCACCGTCTTCCTGCCCCACCGGTCACTGAAGAAAGTTGCTATGATGGCCCCCACACCTTGTCCAGCAATGACCAGTGTTTGACTTAGACGTGCCAAATTGGAGCGATCACACACAAGTTCAAACTGGAAAAATGGATTTTGTTTATGGCTCTTAGGTACTACGTATCTCCAAAATGTCTTTCTCCCTACACACATCAAATCAAACTTACTGTACCAAAGTTGCACGAGACAACCCGGGTTGGCAAGACTTAAAATCACAAATGATCAAATACAATTGCATAAAAGAAAACAAAATATTATTTTTAGTTTTTAGTTTGCCGACTCGTGTGCTTAGTGGTTTGAGTGAACACTATTTTATCAAAGCAAAACTCGTTTGTGCCGTTTGTAAGCGTATTTTTCCTGTGCTTTTTATGATGTGCTAGCTAGCTTAGCACGAGATGTTTGGGAATTCTGAAAAAAAGGGTGAACACATAATTCAGTGTTCATACAACTTATTAAGTAAGCTCTGTCATTTCTCAACCACCAGCCAATGCCAACTTTCCAACATAAAACCACCTGAGAAACGGCCGATCTTTCAACAGGTAGATGGAAATCATAGCCATCAAGACAAGCTTCTTGTTTCACCGCAGTTCTGTTTTTCCAGTAGGTGACGTCACACTGGCCACTCGTGACGTTGACTTGGTCATCTGTCTCGTTTGACTTGGTCTTAGGACTGACACAGCTGTGTGGGACAGTTTGACCTGTGGAGGTTAAAGTCAAGTCAAGTCAAAGTCATATTAGAGAATAGTAGTCACTTTTTTTTTCTGAGTGGTTCTAATGGGGGAGAGGGGGTGTCACAAAGTCGTATATTCAATAGGACTTGATTGAAACATCGTTTTAGGGATAATGGAGGCAAGTGATATGGTTGAAATTGACAGGGTATGGCTGATATTTTTATACGCACATAGAGAAAAAAACCTTACTTTCTCGTATACGAAGTAGGCCTATAGAGGAAGTATTGTAATCGTGCAAAAAATCGAAATCGAGATTTTTTACAAATCTCGACGTTTTACACCTCCCTGAGTCGGAAAAACGTAGTTTGGCAATTTTGTCCGTATGTCTGTGTGTGTATGTGTGTATATGTGTATGTGTGTATGTGTGTGTATGTGTGTCTGTGAACACGATAACTTGAGTTATATACAAGTATTATATAAAACTTGTAGTTCTGTATCAATTTTGAGTAATTTCCGTTGACCGGAAGTAGTAATTTACGCTATTTCCGATTACTCAAAAAACGCTTATGAATTTATCAAGCACTAATAATATTGCGCACTATTATACACATATTATTTGCCATTCACTTGGTGCGCAATTCTTTTTTCTACGAGATTCTATTTTAAAAGTTTAAGTAATTAAAAATGGATTAAAGTCATGTCTATATTCCGAGTTGCCATCCCCCGTAGTTTGAGGGTGATCACTCCCTTTTTATTTTTCATAATTGCAGTACTCGTTTTTACAATTAAAAATAGGCGCTAAAAATACTCGGAGCGCGTTTGTCAAAGATGACCCATATATGTGTCAATATCCACACTATATGTGCCTATGTATACCCCTGTATGTGTCAATATCCACACCATATGTGCCAATGTCTACCCCTATATGTGTCAATGTCCACACTATATGTGCCTATGTATACCCCTGTATGTGTAAATATCCACACCATATGTGCCTATGTATACCCCTGTGTATGTATGTCAATATCCACACTATATGTGCCTATGTATACCCCTGTATGTGTCAATATCCACACTATATGTGCCAATGTCTACCCCTATATGTGTCAATATCCACACTATATGTGTCTATGTATACCCCTGTATGTGTAAATATCCACACCATATGTGCCTATGTATACCCCTGTGTATGTATGTCAATATCCACACTATATGTGTCTATGTATACCCCTGTATGTGTTTATATCGACCCCTGTATGGGACAACATATAACCTACATGTGAAAATGTAGCTTAGCAACTGCAATGTTCCAGAACAAATCGCCAGACTAATCAGAACGACCTGAATCACGTGGTGGAAGTGATGACGTCCTGTTGTATTCAAACTTTTTAATACGCCGTCCATCTCTGTTAAAATTATGCGGTGTGTGTTAATGGTAAAATGGTTTGTGTAGGTGTGTTATTGTGTTTGCGCTGGCGTGTGTGTTTGAGTGTATGAGTGTGTTTATGTGCGTGCATGTGTTTATGAGTGTGTGTACATATGTGTATGTGCGTGTGCGTGCACGTGTGTATGAGTTTATGTGCGTGCAAGTGTGTATGAGTGTGTATTATGTGTGTATGCATGTGTATGTGTGTATGCGTATGAGCATGTTCATGTTCATCAGCACGCGTATGTGTATATTTATGTGCATTTGTATGTGCATTTGTATGTGCATTTGTATGTGAATGTGCATGTGCATATGTATGTGTATGTGTGTTTGTGTATTTATGTGTGTAAGTGCGCATTAGACGAACACGTTTATAGATTTAGCCAATGCAGATTAAATAGTAACAAAAAGTTGCTTTTTAAAATTAAATAACACGTTGTTTCTTTGATAAATGTGAAGAATAAAATAAAGGTGAAAAAAGCTGATAATCACAACTTATAAACGTTGACAAAAATAAAAGTGAAATTTGAAAATATACTTAATTTACAAGGTGGAAGTCTAACATTTTGTGATGTCATTTAAGGACAACTACTAGATCTAATTAAATATTAGAAATGAGTTAAAACATACGTGTTGATCTCAGCCCTCGTTGGCTCACGAGTCCCACTTAAGAGCCAAGACTGTAATGTAAAGAGTCACATTAAAGCGTATACAGATATGTAAGCTATTAAAGTAGTGCATAGATAAGCTTAAAATCTTACTCACTAGTATGTTACCAAGAAAACTACGAAGGCCTATTATTATTAACTGAGTAAAAACACTAAGCCTACTATTTTCTATTATAAGGAAAAATATTCAATTCAACACAGCCAATTCTAATTTAATAATCTTACCAAGAACATAATATATACACGTTTTAAATTTTAAAATTGCATTTTGAATGCCTTTTATAATTAATTATTTAGTAATTAATTAACCGAGGTAGAACTGTGACATATCTCCCACAGACATAATTGTCACGTCCTTGACTTTGCTTGTTCCAGTATTTTCATACTAACAATATTTTTGTGATAAAGAAAAGGTGTTAAGATTTCAGCTGAACTAAAATTGTTCTGAGACACTAGACCTATAGCTTTTAAAAGGTTTTCGCTTATGTGGTAGGGAAATAAAAACCCTGACACGTTTATTTCTAGTTATTTTGTTAACCTTATTATATAGAGGCGTAACAACCTACACATGCATCCGGGTCCAACTGTTAATTTTACGTCCCAAACATTTATGTGTCCTGATACTTTAAGTCTCAGTGCTTTCCCCTTATTGTTTAGACAACAATCTTGAGCTTGATCTTTATTTCGTGGCAGGTTCGTAGAAGTATCAATTCTCCTGGTATCGTCTTTTTGGAATGGTCTCGAATATACTATACCATAATTTAGATCTACCTGAATTGTATTGTCGAACACATTCATCGGTATTTAAAACAGTTTCATTAACTGTCTTTTATCTGTGGCATGATATAGGACCTACTCGAAACTAGTTTCTAACAGTGGCGTAGGCAAAGAGGGGTTTGGGGGGGAGGTTATAACCCCTCCCATGGACCCTATATATATATATATATATATATATATATATATATATATATATATATATATATATATATATATATATATATATAGGATTGTATACATATGGAAAAATGTTTGAACCCTTCCCATGACCAATTCCTGGCTACGCCACTGGTTTCTAATACTCAAAATTAGTTTATGGAAATTCAAAAAAGTGTAAGGTATTTGTAAATAGGAATATTGTATGAATTATATGTGTATAAATATGTTGTATGATTTTCTAAATGAAAAAAATACGTTTGATAATATTTTTGACGAAACATTACATGCGCTTTCTTCTCCTTCTTCTTTTCCCGTTCGTGCCCAAGACACATGGGGAAGATGAAGTAGAGTTTATCTGTTTCAAAGACCACGTCATATGAAGGGATAGTGTGGTAAAATATTCATAGCAGTTCAGGTCGAGTTTAGAAGCAGTACCACCAAAATTGCTAACAATTTCACCTTTATCATATTAGCTGGATGATATATTTTAAAATCACATTTTGTTGGCTCAATCTTTGTGTTTATACAGTGTTTCTTTCAGACTTTTTTCTGTGGTCATATGGGGGTGGGGTGGGGGGGGGTATTTGAAACTTTCGGGGGGTTGTGAACACGGGTAAAAGTATATATTTTCTATATACATTTTAAAATGATCATTCGAGGGGGCAGGGGAGAGGTAAACGTGCTTAGGGGAGGGGGGGGGGGGCGGTGCCCTCCGAAGAGATGCCTGAAAGAAACACTGTGTTTATAGAAATCGCCACATTCTATTAAAAAGAAACAACGAACAGAGGAAAACAATTCGTCGAAAATAGAACAACAGATTTTATTGAACAGTTCAGGATACAAAATTCAGTGTACGTATGTAAAAGCTTTGTGTACATGGCGTGTACAGTTTTTGTGTTCATATTTTAGTAAACTTTTTAGTGTACATATTAGCTCAATACAATTACTTAATACAATTAATTTGTACAAGTACTCAATACAATTAATCTGTAAAAGTACTTAATACACTTAACTTGTGTAAGTACTTTGTAAAAATTATTTGCAACAGCACTGTTAAAAACAGCTCTTAAATTTATCCTGCACAAGAAATTTGTAGGCCTATCGGTAAAGTGATAAACTATTAATAATCATTTCGTGTAGTTTTATTTAAAAAGTGTATTCCAGTACCTGCAGTTAAAAAAACACCGTGTAAACATGACTTAGTAAAGGCTTGTGTCCATATTAATTATTAATTAAATTTAGTGTTAAAAGTTACGTGTAAAAGCTTTATGTAAAACGTCTGTGTACATATATGTAAAAGTTGTATGTACATATATGTATAGCGAGAACCTCCGCCTTAATAAATGTCATACTAAAGAACATAATTATCTGTTCACGAACATACCAATACTATCCCAACACAAGCATATATCTAGTGTTCATAGTTATAACACTATCTAGATATATAACAAGCATATATCTAGCAGTGTTCACGAACACATTATCAATACTATCCAAAACTAGCATATATGTACTAGTATTCATGAAATTATCAAAACTACCCACATACATAATGAGCATGTACACCCCGGCGTGTCTAATTAACGTGTCTAATTATCTCTAATAAACTAACTAGTATGACACGAGCTGTTTGAAAGATACCATAGAGGAATTAATATTTTTATTTATATCACAAAGCCCGGCGAGTTACGTGTGTACATTAAACCACTGAATATTAAGTTAAGACAAAGTACATTATTCATGTAAGACTAAATCCATCAAATATCAATTTTTTTACAACTGATGTACACATGTATCAAATTTTGATGTACACACTTGAACATAGAGACAGGACAGGCGATCACAGCTATGCATGAAGTTTCAGCTAATCGGTGTAGCTAACGAGTAATGTACACTAAAGGCATTGGTAACTATGGTAACTAAACAACAGTAGCGACTTGTATTGTAGCCACAACAACGTCTCTCAACACCCACATCCAACAGTCTGACCATGTCAAACCCCCACCCAGGGGCGCCTGCTGGCAAGAAATTAATGCACACTTATTAACATCCCGAACCTACTTCTATCAATTAATTAGCAAACATTTACAGATGTTTTAGACATAAATTACAGTTTTCCCAAAGTGGTGATGTAAATATAATTAAAGTTAGAGGTCCACTACACCTGGTCAGCAATGACTTTCATGACGTCATATGACATGAAGCCTGTCATCTGGGGCAGCTCTGTAAGACAACGTCTGTCAGATTGTCTAAGACAGTAAATATCGCCCATCAATTGGCCATAGAAAGCAAATATTACCCATCATCCCAAAGACATGTAATATGCTAAAGATCTAATTCTATGAAGATGTTTAAATTCAATTGATGATCTTATTTAGGTAGCGATAATTTTAGTTGCCCCAAGGCAACTTTGAGGATGATTTAAGGGTACCCTAGTTTTTCAAAATACAGTGACCTAATTACATTGTGTAATCAGCTGATAATGACCTACTTACTTTGCGTTAAAATCAAGATGGCCTATTTTTACAATGTAACCAACTGATGATGACCTACTTATATAATGTAAAAACTTAGGTGCCCTACTTTAATATGTAACAAATTGCTAATGACCTACTTACACGATGTAACCAGCATATGGTGACCTACTTAAATAGACTCGTTTTTATGTCTTTAATCAACACTGAATGTAAAAGGGAAGGGGGAGGGCTGAAATAGATGTTTATACATGACCTTTCATTATGAATCTATTAAGATGATGAAACGAGTGGCGGGTTAAAGGTCAAAGAGTTGGCGCTACAAAACGCAGCCACGACATTGAATTATTCATTGAACGCACTCGTGTCGATGGGGTTAAATGCCATTCATTTGGTGTCAAAGAAGAAACATAAAACAAAAAAACATCTTTTCATGTTTACACTGTATGACGTTGCATCAACATGGAGCGATAATTCTATACACAAGGCAAATATCTGATGGTGGGTTCACAGGCGCGTCGCTAGCTTGGGGACATTGGTTGTGACCTTAGGGACATTACTAGTGACCTTAGGGACATTGGTTGTGACCTTAGGGACATTACTAGTGACCTTAGGGACATTGGTTGTGACCTTAGGGACATTACTAATGACCTAAGGGACATTACTAGTGACCTTAGGGACATTACTAGTGACCTTAGGGACATTACTAGTGACCTTAGGGACATTACTAGTGACCTTCAGGACATTGGTTGTGACCTTAGGGACATTGGTTGTGACCTTAGGGACATTTCTAGATAGTGGTCAAAATAGCTAACTGGTTGACTTTGGCACATTGTCAGCTGCTGACCTTATGGGCATAGCTAGCTGCTGACCTTATGGGCATAGCTAGCTGCTGACCTTAAAGGTACAGCTAGCTGCTGACCTTATGGGCATAGCTAGCTGCTGACCTTAAAGGTACAGCTAGCTGCTGACCTTAAGGACAATGTAGCCTGGTGCCCCTATGGGCAGAGCTACCCTCTGACCTTAACGAAACCGCAGCCTGCTGACCTGAGGGGCACAGCTAGCTGCTGACCTTAGGGACTAGCTAGCTGGTAGCCATTATAGCTAGTTGTTTAACTTGGGCACAATGCCAGTCGCTGAGCTTAGGGACACTACAGCCTGGTGACCTTAAGGAAACGACCACCCAGGGAACATTAAAACGTTGCTGTCTGGCGACACACAGGACAGCTGTTGGCTAGCGAGGACAGCCACAGTGATGGACAGCGACCCCCGGGCTGAGAGAGAGAAAAAAAGGAATGTGTTTTTGTCGGTATCGATTGGCAGAGAGTTGGCTCATGTCTGAGGGCGGGCAGGAGGGCGAGGTCCGGTCTTTGGTGAGTTGTGATCAGTTCATTCATGTTTAGCATTTGGGCACGACTGTCTATGTTTTGTACAGGGTTAATTTCTCACTTCCAATCTTTGGTGATTCGTGTAGAAATAAGAAGGATTAAATGTGTACACATACTGGGATAAACTCCCGCAAATATTTTTTTTTTTCGACGAGTAAAAAACCGTTAAGCCGAGGAACCTGAAGATGGATGGAAGCAGTCACGTGACATGGATGACGTCAGAGGTGTGTGACAGACATGCAGCAACGTGACACATCCACATATAGCCATACAGATGTTGGGTGAAACAATCCGAGCCCGTTTGCTGCACTTCACCGAGTTAGTGACGGACAGAGTATGCTGTTTCACGGTTATCACACACCCGTTACCATGACGACCTCTGCTATCACACTGCCGTCACCTTGACGACGCTGATATCACACAGCCGTTGCTATGGCGACCAATCCCTGATCCCTATCTGAACGTCACACAGGGCAACGACACCCTTACGTCACATCTCTATTTTAACTGGCGTTGATTTTTTGGTTGTTGATCGCTGCTCTAATGGTGTTCTTTGTTGGGCGACGGGGAGGTAATCCAACAGATTCCAACACTGAAGTGAAAACAAATTAGGCTATATAAACCAGGAGTTGCTTCCTTTGGATTGAAGATTTTTCTCCCATGATCAGTGCGGGAATTTAATTAATTTATAACGAGATGTCTGCCTGTCTGCCCGCCCACTGCGAAACAAATGCTGGCCTTGTGACGTCACAGCACATGCGTTGGTCTTCTGACGTCACACGGAAACCGTCGTCATAGCGACGATTTCTGACATTCACAGCAAAACAGATACGGGATTTCACAGAACACGTATTCGTCTTGTGACGTCACAGTGACACCGGTGCTGTGACGTCATCAGGGACGAGCGTGTTCTGGAGCCACGGGTCGAGCATCAGGTGAAGGGCCGGAGCCCGGGGGGGTCGGGCTACGCCACCGAGTCCTGGTCAGCCGTGATTTGGTCGCTGGTGTCCTGACCGGTCCGGTCGTACAGGGGCATCTCGCGCAGGGAGAACTGTTGCTGAAAGGGCCGCCGCTGCCGGGGGTTCGTGCTCCGTCTCAGCCCGGTGAAGTCCGCCAGGGGTCGGGTTAAAGGAATGCGCATGTCTGTGGCCTCCTGCCTCTGCTGGACGCTTGCAATAGTGCTGGCGATCAGCTCAGGTAGTGTGTCAAGGTGGACCTAGGATAAAGGAGAAATAAGCTCAGGTAGTGTATCTAGGTGGACCTAGGATAGAGGAGAAATAAGCTCAGGTAGTGTATCTAGGTGGACCTAGGATAGAGGAGAAATAAGCTCAGGTAGTGTATCTAGGTGGACCTAGGATAGAGGAGAAATAAGCTCAGGTAGTGTATCTAGGTGGACCTAGGATAGAGGAGAAATAAGCTCAGGTAGTGTGTCAAGGTGGACCTAGGATAGAGGAGAAATAAGCTCAGGTAGTGTGTCAAGGTGGACCTAGGATAGAGGAGAAATAAGCTCAGGTAGTGTGTCAAGGTGGACCTAGGATAGAGGAGAAATAAGCTCAGGTAGTGTGTCAAGGTGGACCTAGGATAGAGGAGAAATAAGCTCAGGTAGTGTGTCAAGGTGGACCTAGGAGAAAGGAGAAATAAGCTCAGGTAGTGTGTCAAGGTGGACCTAGGATAAAGGAGAAATAAGCTCAGGTAGTGTGTCAAGGTGGACCTAGGATAAAGGAGAAATAAGCTCAGGTAGTGTGTCAAGGTGGACCTAGGAGAAAGGAGAAATAAGCTCAGGTAGTAAGTCAAGGTGGACCTAGGATAAAGGAGAAATAAGCTCAGGTAGTGTGTCAAGGTGGACCTAGGATAAAGGAGAAATAAGCTCAGGTAGTGTGTCAAGGTGGACCTAGGAGAAAGGAGAAATAAGCTCAGGTAGTAAGTCAAGGTGGACCTAGGAGAAAGGAGAAATAAGCTCAGGTAGTGTGTCAAGGTGGACCTAGGATAAAGGAGAAATAAGCTCAGGTAGTGTGTCAAGGTGGACCTAGGAGAAAGGAGAAATAAGCTCAGGTAGTGTGTCAAGGTGGACCTAGGAGAAAGGAGAAATAAGCTCAGGTAGTAAGTCAAGGTGGAACTAGGAGAAAGGAGAAATAAGCTCAGGTAGTGTGTCAAGGTGCACCTAGGATAAAGGAGAAATAAGCTCAGGTAGTGTGTCAAGGTGGACCTAGGATAAAGGAGAAATAAGCTCAGGTAGTAAGTCAAGGTGGACCTAGGAGAAAGGAGAAATAAGCTCAGGTAGTGTGTCAAGGTGGACCTAGGATAAAGGAGAAATAAGCTCAGGTAGTAAGTCAAGGTGGACCTAGGAGAAAGGAGAAATAAGCTCAGGTAGTGTGTCAAGGTGGACCTAGGATAAAGGAGAAATAAGCTCAGGTAGTGTGTCAAGGTGGACCTAGGAGAAAGGAGAAATAACCTCAGGTAGTGTGTCAAGGTGGACCTAGGAGAAAGGAGAAATAAGCTCAGGTAGTGTGTCAAGGTGGACCTAGGATAAAGGAGAAATAAGCTCAGGTAGTGTGTCTAGGTGGACCTGGGATAAAGGATCTATACAATTTATAAGGTAACCACTATGGACCATTAATAACAAAGAGTAATAAAAAGTTATGTAGCCATAAGTAAGTAATAGAGAGAGAAGAGACACGACATTACTCTTCTCTCCCGTCTAAGTCCTTCACAATAACCTATATCGTCACTATCGTCTTGCTCACGTTTTTCTCAGGGTAGTTATTAAAACTACAGGGGGGGGGCAGTGGGTGGGTGGGTTCGGATACAGGTCAAAGTTTGTATTTCAGTATAAATTATATACTTTATCATTCCGGAAGGGGGCAGGGCGGTGGGCGTGCTCCAGCGAGATGCCTGAAACACTGGATAGTGATACGGATCGGGATAGGTTAAGGATAGGTAAGGGCTTGAGTTGGAATTTGGGTTAAGGATAGGGTTTGGGATAGGGTTAGTGATTTGGTTACGAATATATTTAGGGATAAGGTTAGGGATATGGAGCTGGATAAGGATTGGTTTAGTGTGTATTATACCGTGAGTAATTACCCAGCAATGAACTGACAGGTGTAACAGACTCACCTGTAGCTGAGAGAGTTTCTCCTCTATTTTGGTGACCCGCTTCTCCATGGCCGTCTGGTTGCTGTGCATCTCTACCACCAGCTCGTGGATGTTTGTCTGCGTCTGTGGGTGAAACAAAACATCCAAAACTCAGTAAATACAGGACCAGACAACATCCAAAACTCAGCAACGATAGAGCCAGACTGGGCATGTACTGAGAGAACATCCCAGCTAGATGCATTGTGTTTGTTGGTGCATCACTTTTAAGTACAGGGAAAAATCAAAATTATTGTACTGACAGAACAATCCCAGCTAGATGCATTGTGTTTGTTGGTGCATCACTTTTAAGTACAGGGAAAAATCAAAATTATTGTACTGATAAAACAATCCCAGCTAGATGCATTGTGTTTGTTGTGTTTTTTAAATACAGGGAAAACTCTAAATTAGAGGCTGCTGTCAAGAATTTATTTAATCAAAAGCCTAAAAGATCAATTGTTGCAAGTCATAGATTAATAAAAAAAGAGACGATGGAATAATTGATTGGAAGTCTTTTTGATAACTAATCAAAGACCAATAAATCGATAAATAATTTTTCAATATTTTAGAAATTACAACAATTTCATATTGATTTGGTCGGTATAAGCACCCCCACCCGCCGTATTGAAAGCCGAATTAGGTTTTTGTGTCGTGCTAATGGGTCTTAGCATGGCTACATGAGCTGCGTGGGGTGGCAGACTGTCTTCTTCAACACAGACTGGGGGGGGGGGGGGTCGACCTGCTTGCCCTTACGTCATCAGATCCAGATTATTGTCTCCGCTGGCACGGGAAACTACACGGCCCGGGGGTGGGGGAGGGGGGGAGGGACCTGACATCCGGCATACATTGCATGCCCGTGTGTAGATAACCTCAAATACCCCCCCCCCCCCTCCCCCCGGCCCCACCCTCCCATGAAACAGCAGGAATGTTGACCAAGTGTGCGCATGACTGCATTAACGGGAAACTTTGTTGACAAAATGTTTCAGGAAACAGGTCATTGTGACCTCCATCAGAATTTGCAGGAAATTAAAGCGGGCACCGACCAAACCAGCTGGCAATTATTGATTTTACACAAAACATTTGATAGAGTCAATAGGACTACAGCACCGTGATTTTAATATAGTCAACAGGACTATAGCACCGTGTCTTTAATATAGTTAATAGGACTACAACACCGTGACTTTAATATAGTCAACAGGACTATAGCACCGTGTCTTTAATATAGTCAACAGGACTATAGAACCGTGTCTTTAATATAGTCAACAGGACTATAGCATCGTGACAGTTGATAAAGTCAATAGGACTACAGCACCGTGACTTTAATATAGTCAATAGCACTACAGCACCGTGACTTTAATGTAGTCAATATCACTACAGCACCGTGACTTTAATATAGTCAATAGCACTACAGCACCGTGACTTTATAGCACTTTGACTGTGGTATAACCAATAGCACTACAGCACCGTGACTTTAATATAGTCAATAGCACTACAGCACCGTGACTTTATAGCACTTTGACTGTGGTATAACCAATAGCACTACAGCACCGTGACTTTAATGTAGTCAATATCACTACAGCACCGTGACTTTAATATAGTCAATATCACTACAGCACCGTGATTTTATTATAGTCAATAGCACCACAGCACCGTGGCGTTCGACAGAACTACGGCGTCAGACTGTAGTATGGCGTCATACAACATCACTAAGCTTGATATAGCGTCACCAGACTCACTGCTCTGACGCATGTAAGATATTTTTTTGCTCAAGCGTTTGCAGAATCGATTTTCAGATTCGATCGGATGTCGAACTTCTCAATTGGGCACGACTCAAAAGCAAAAAGTAAAGTGCCAAATCCTATTAGCAGACTGGTCAAACAGCCACCCGATTTAGGCTAAGTGGATTAGCGTGATAGAGTGACCAACACTCAGGACATACTACTCAAATTGCTCGAATGGATCTGTGTGATAGATGGACCAACATTTACTACTGAAATAGTTCTCAACAAAATTGATAGCAATTGAGTTAAAATAATTCAAGGTTTAACTGAAAACTTTTATATTTGCGAGTACTACTGACTGTACCCAAAACTCAAATAATTCTGAACAAAAAAAAAACATACTGAAGCAAAAACTAAAATACTTTTGAAACAAACCTACTAGTGACAAAAAAGAAGTTATCCCTAATCCAAACCAACCGAAGCCAAAATTAAAACATTCCAAAATCCCAAAAATAAACCAAAAACAAAAACACGCTGCAACCAAAACTAAATATTTAGAAACCTAATAAATAACTCTTGCCAAAACTAAAATAATTTGGAACCAAAAAACTAACTCCAGCCAAAACTAAAATAATACCGAACCAAAAACTAGCTCCAGCCAAAACTTAATTCCGAACCAAAAACTAACCCCAGCCAAAACTAAAATAATACAGAACCAAAAACTAACTCTAGCCAAAACTAAAATAATACCGAACCAAAAAACTAACTCCAGCCAAAACTTAATTCCGAACCAAAAACGAACTCCGGCCACAACTAAAACAATACCGAACCAAAAAACTAGTTCCAGCCAAACTTAATTCCGAACCAAAAACGAACTCCGGCCAAAACCCGAGTAAGAAGAGCCAACAGCTGGGTAACCGAAGAATTTAATCAATAAAATATGGGAGATAGTCGACCTTGAACTTCTAACCATTTTATCTTGTAACTGATACAAATGTTAATGATTCAAACCTGAGACACGACAGGAGAAACATAATTACTCATATTCCATGCTTACGTCATATCCACGTCAAAGTGACGTAAGTTGATACGGAGCCTGCTGAATATTCAGGTCAGTATCATTTAAACGAGAGTCACAGGCTGGGCAGGTCTGGAAACATATGGTCTATGGGGTCTAGGGCGTTAGGTTAATTTTAGGGTTAGGTCGAGCAGGCTAGTTAGAGATAGTTTAGGTTAGTTAGACACAGGACTTGACTTAGGACTTGACATAAGGCCCGACACAGGGCTAGATAATGTCGGCACAGCAAAGCACACATAGACACGGCAAGACACAACTAGACAGAGCATAATACAGCAAGACACAGCGTGATAGAGCAAGACATAGCGAAACACAACAAGACAGAGCATGATACGCCAAGACACAACAAGACAGCATGATAAGGCAAGACACAGCAAGACACAACTAGACATACGCCAAGACACAACAAGACAGCATGATAGAGCAAGACACAGCAAGACACAACTAGACATACGCCAAGACACAACAAGACAGAGCATGATACGCCAAGACACAACAAGACAGCATGATAGAGCAAGACACAGCAAGACACAACTAGACATACGCCAAGACACAACAAGACAGCATGATAGAGCAAGACACAGCAAGACACAACTAGACATACGCCAAGACACAACAAGACAGAGCATGATACGCCAAGACACAACAAGACAGAGCATGATACGCCAAGACACAACAAGATAGCATGATAAGGCAAGACACAGCAAGACACAGCAAGACACAACTAGACAGAGCATGATACGCCAAGACACAACAAGACAGGGCATGATACGGCAAGACACAGCAAGACACAACTAGAAACGGCTGGATACATTAGCGCACTGCAAGACTCTGCAAAACACAACGTAAGTGGACACAACTAGACGCAGCTTGGCAGAAACAGACACAAAGCGTCAGCCGGACACAGCTGTATAAAGCTGCAGGTCACCAGACACAGAACAACAGCTAACCAAAGCTGGACACAGCTAGGCAGAACTAAGCACTTTTTAACACATTGAAAACTAATGCCCACATAGGTTGTTCATTATATCAAATTAATTGCCCTCACAAAACATCCACAATTTACTTTTAAACCAGAATTCGTATGACTACACGTAGACACATAGGCCCTATATGTATACATTTAGTATACATCATATTTAAATATAAAGAAAACAATATGATAGCATCCTAGCAGTAGGCCTACATAATATGTCATATCCGGTTCTTCAGTGTCAGCTCCATTTGACCCGGGAGGTCAAACGACCACAGGTGTGCTAGAACTAATAATAACTCAGTCGAATTTCCTCTGGACCAAATTAGGGGTGGTTCTTATCGATTGGTTTCCGCAACTTGATTTATTATTTATAGCAATCATTAATTTTAATTGCACGCCAGTCCCCGCTGTTGTGCTCAAATATGAGAAATTTTCGTCACCAGGCATTATCATTTATTTATTGTTGATGTGTTACTCGTTCTAAAATAGGCACTGCCTACATTTTTTTGTAAGTCACTGGCTACATTTGTTTTGTAATAGTCACTGCCTACATTTGTTTTGTAAGAGTCACTGCCTACATTTTATTTGTAAGTGGTACTGCCTAAACGGTTTAAAAAAAAGAAATGAGCAGTTAATGAGACCAACGAGTTCAACATCGAATTTTCATTAAACATTAACAGGTCATGTTATAGATTATCTACCCTAGTCTTAACCCTGATCTAACCCAAACAATAACTCTAGCCTTGACCAAATTCTAATTCTAAACCAAGCCATGGTTGTAAATTTTACGTAACCATCATGGTGTTTTTAAAGAAAGATAGCTTTGTATCCTCAACAACTTATATTAGTGTACGGGGTGTGGTTGGTTTGTTTGTGTGGGATTACATGTAGTTTTAGCTAGAACTAAGGCCATACTGATTAGTCTAGTGTTGTCCCGCTAATTGGTCTAGTGTTGTCCCGCTAATTGGCGCCTACTAATTGGTCTAGTGTTGTCTTGCTAATTGGTCTAGTGTTGTTCTACTAATTGGCTCCTACTGATTGGTCTAGTTTTGCCCAACTAATTGGTCTAGTTTTGCCCCAACTAATTGGTCTCGTGCCCTTACTAATTGGCTACTATTGATGGGTCTAGTTTTGCTCCAAGTAATTGGTCTAGTGCCCCTACTAATTGGCTCCAACTAATTGGCTTCTACTAATCGGTCTAGTGTTGCCCAACTAATTGGCTGCTACTAATTGGCTCCTACTAAAAGTCTAGTGTTGTCGATAATAATTGGTCTAGTGCCCCTACTAATTGGTCTAGTGCCCCTACTAATTGGTTCCTACTAATTGGTCTAGTGCCCTACTAATTGGCTCCTACTAATTGGCTCCTACTAATTGGTCTAGTGTTGACACGTCATTGTCCCATGCAGTTCTCATGCAACGCCACCACTAACAAAATTAACTGACACAATTCCTGACTCAAATGCGCTTACCGATAGTAAAACACAATAATTTTCAAACATAATTAAAAGAAATGCATTCTTTCTGGCTTTTTAAAAGCCAAAAGTTTTAATTAAAATTAATTATTGTTATCCTTTATTTTGTAATGTTTTATATTACTTTTACTTATATTGTTAGAACGTAGCAATATATTCAAATAAGAATACAAGTTTCAAACAAGGTATGTTCGTTAGACTAGAAACATATTTAAACGCCTATAAAAGAAAAAAAAAATAGAAAACAGTAAACAATTTGTTGGAGCCTGCATTAACTTTTGTTAAAAAATCATTGTAAAACATCGAACTTAAATACAAAAAGCACGTATATTTTCATCGATGATTAATGCCTTAGAGATTAAATAAAAAGCAACACAAAAAAAATAGATAACTAAAAAATTATTGCTAACTTAAAATGAATTTTAATTCACCTATACTTTTGATAGTTTATAACAATTATATGTATATATATAACTATATATATGATGCTATATATGCATTTAAATGCATAACATCGAGTATTATACAACAAGCAATAATATATTGGTTATAAGCAGTGAAATTCTAACAAAAGGGTTTTTAAACCTGGTGATTGATTCCTTTGTTGTGAGACGTTAGTGGTTTTGTGTTTGATATAGTGTGTTGTGTTTGATACAGTATGTTGTGTTTGATATAGTGTGTTGTGTTTGATATAGTGTGTTGTGTTTGATATAGTGTGTTGTGTTTGATACAGTGTGTTGTGTTTGATACAGTGTGTTGTGTTCGATATAGTGTGTTGTGTTTGATAGTGTGTTGTGTTTGATACGGTGTGTTGTGGGAACATGTGGTGTTTAGACCATGTGTTTAACATGTGTTTGTGTGGTTGTGAGGTTGCCATGAATTGAAGAAATTCCTTTGGACACTTTTTGGATGAGCATCGTTTAAAAAAAATAAAGTTGATTCAAAATTATTTTTGATTTATTTCATATTACAATTACATGAAATTAATTTTTGCAGGTTTAAGATTCAAATGTATTTGTAATACTAGATTAATTTATTCGGTGACATTTTAAGATTTGACGAGATTGCTTGATGTATAGATCCTGTAAGGTTTTAATATTCAAGAGATTTGTAAAGCTAGCTTTAGTGAAGCCTGTAAGTTTTTAATATTCAAGAGATTTGTCGTGCTTAATCATTCTCGCTCTTTACCCGTTTTTTTTTCTGTGTCCTGTCTTTTGGTTATATTCGCCAAGCAAGTGGCGATACTCCTGCTTTGTGGCGCTACTCTTTTAGAATGTTCCATCTTTAGAGATCTCACACACGACAAGCCCCAAGCTTGTAACATTCAATAGAAACCATCGACCTTGTGCCAGCTTCTCTAAAAACTTCACCTATTACAGCTGCCTCTTGATAACATTTCCTATGCAATCTAAACTATGACAGCTATTTTTGACGTCTGCCAAGGTGTGTTTGCTAGTCTGGTGCCTTTATTTGCAGTCCAAGACATTCTACAAGTTGCCGAATACTCCAACCAAATGTCAACAAAAACTCTTATGAAAATTATTCCACTTTTTAAAACAGCTGATATACCTATCAAGTGGCACTGACCTACTTTGGGACCTCATCCATTTTCCTGATGTGTCGCGAAAGTTTAGTGATGTCTTCACTATAGCGTTTAAGACTACAACAGAGGAGCAACATCATTTTTTAAAGTTCAAATGTTTTGGGCAGTTGTTATAAAATGGCCAACCACTGACAGCACCACGATACAACTCTATGGATAGATGAGGCTACAACACCGAACACCATGCAATAAACAACACCCGATCTACCCAAGCATCTAATCGCAGAGAAATGGTTACAGGCCCAGCCAAGGTGTCGGCCGCACATCTACAAGCGTTTAATGGCAGACGAGACATACGAGCAAGCAAATAAAATGGCGTCCAACCTGTTGGAAAATGACGTGAGGTATGGAGATATACACACTGGGGTTGGGTAGAATACCCGCGTGACCCATGCTCTAGAAAAGGAAAGGAAGAAAGGTGAAGGTCATCATTCGGAACGGGGTGGGGCTGTAACTATTAGTCGACATGTTAATGTGTAGTCGAGAGAGGTTCGGGGGGGGGGGGGGGCAGATTAACCTGCTGAGAGAAGGGAGGGGGGGTGGTTATCTGCTTAGTTGACCAGAGAGTTAGGTTGGATCGGTCTCAGGGTAAGGTCTACGGTGTTCTAATGCCAGAGCGCTGGTATCGTGAGAAGCTGACCATGTCTGCGAACAAGATTTTCTACCCGATACACAGCCTTATGAATGTGGACTGACAGCGGAATCGTTGATAGCAACCCGTATGTCTTTAAATGAGGGACATCCTATTGTTTACATTGGGGACATCCTGATTCTGTGTGAGAGTGAATGGGGACATCCTAATTCTGTGGGTGGGGACATCCTAATTATGTGTGAGAGTGGGTGGGGACATCCTAATTCTGTGGGTGGGGACACCCTAATTCTGTGGGTGGGGACATCCTAATTCTGTGGGTGGGGACATCCTAATTCTGTGGGTGGGGACATCCTAATTTTGTGGGTGGGGACATCCTAATTCTGTGGGTGGGGACATCCTAATTCTGTGGGTGGGGACATCCTAATTCTGTGGGTGGGGACATCCTAATTCTGTGGGTGGGGACATCCTAATTCTGTGGGTGGGGACATCCTAATTCTGTGGGTGGGGACATCCTAATTCTGTGGGTGGGGACATCCTAATTCTGTGGGTGGGGACATCCTAATTCTGTGGGTGGGGGTGGGGACATCCTTATTCTGTGTGAGGGTGGGTGGGGACATCCTAATTCTGTGGGTGGGGACACCCTAATTCTGTGGGTGGGGACATCCTTATTCTGTGGGTGGGGACATCCTAATTCTGTGGGTGGGGACATCCTAATTCTGTGTGAGGGTGGGTGGGGACATCCTTATTCTGTGTGAGGGTGGGTGGGGACATCCTAATTCTGTGGGTGGGGACACCCTAATTCTGTGGGTGGGGACATCCTAATTCTCTGTGAGAGTGGGTGGGGACATCCTTATTCTGTGTGAGGGTGGGTGGGGACATCCTAATTCTGTGGGTGGGGACATCCTAATTCTGTGTGAGGGTGGGTGGGGACATCCTTATTCTGTGTGAGGGTGGGTGGGGACATCCTAATTCTGTGGGTGGGGACACCCTAATTCTGTGGGTGGGGACATCCTTATTCTGTGGGTGGGGACATCCTAATTCTGTGGGTGGGGACATCCTAATTCTGTGGGTGGGGACATCCTAATTCTGTGTGAGGGTGGGTGGGGACATCCTAATTCTGTGGGTGTGGACATCCTAATTCTGTGGGTGTGGACATCCTAATTCTGTGGGTGGGGACATCCTAATTCTGTGGGTGGGGACATCCTAATTCTGTGGGTGGGGACATCCTAATTCTGTGGGTGGGGACATCCTAATTATGTGGGTGGGGACATCCTAATTCTGTGTGAGAGTGGGTGGGGACATCCTAATTCTGTGGGTGGGGACATCTTAATTCTGTGGGTGGGGACATCCTAATTCTGTGGGTGGGGACATCCTAATTCTGTGGGTGGGGACATCCTAATTCTGTGGGTGGGGACATCCTAATTCTGTGGGTGGGGACATCCTAATTCAGTGGGTGGGGACATCCTTATTCTGTGTGAGGGTGGGTGGGGACATCCTAATTCTGTGGGTGGGGACATCCTAATTCTGTGGGTGGGGACATCCTAATTCTGTGGGTGGGGACATCCTAATTCTGTGGGTGGGGACATCCTAATTCTGTGGGTGGGGACATCCTAATTCTGTGGGTGGGGACATCCTAATTCTGTGGGTGTGGACATCCTAATTCTGTGGGTGGGGACATCCTAATTCTGTGGGTGGGGACACCCTAATTCTGTGGGTGGGGACATCCTAATTCAGTGGGTGGGGACATCCTAATTCAGTGGGTGGGGACATCCTTATTCTGTGTGAGGGTGGGTGGGGACATCCTAATTCTGTGGGTGGGGACATCTTAATTCTGTGGGTGGGGACATCCTAATTCTGTGGGTGGGGACATCCTAATTCTGTGGGTGGGGACATCCTAATTCTGTGGGTGGGGACATCCTAATTCTGTGGGTGGGGACATCCTAATTCTGTGGGTGGGGACATCCTAATTCAGTGGGTGGGGACATCCTTATTCTGTGTGAGGGTGGGTGGGGACATCCTAATTCTGTGGGTGGGGACATCCTAATTCTGTGGGTGGGGACATCCTAATTCTGTGGGTGGGGACATCCTAATTCTGTGGGTGGGGACATCCTAATTCTGTGGGTGGGGACATCCTAATTCTGTGGGTGTGGACATCCTAATTCTGTGGGTGGGGACATCCTAATTCTGTGGGTGGGGACATCCTAATTCTGTGGGTGGGGACACCCTAATTCTGTGGGTGGGGACATCCTTATTCTGTGTGAGGGTGGGTGGGGACATCCTAATTCTGTGGGTGGGGACATCCTAATTCTGTGGGTGGGGACACCCTAATTCTGTGGGTGGGGACATCCTAATTCTGTGGGTGGGGACATCCTAATTCAGTGGGTGGGGACATCCTAATTCAGTGGGTGGGGACATCCTTATTCTGTGTGAGGGTGGGTGGGGACATCCTAATTCTGTGGGTGGGGACATCCTAATTCTGTGGGTGGGGACATCCTAATTCTGTGGGTGGGGACATCCTAATTCTGTGGGTGGGGACATCCTAATTCTGTGGGTGGGGACATCCTAATTATGTGTGAGGGTGGGTGGGGACATCCTAATTCTGTGGGTGGGGACATCCTAATTCTGTGGGTGGGGACATCCTAATTCTGTGTGAGGGTGGATGGGGACATCCTAATTCTGTGTGAGGGTGGGTGGGGACATCCTTATTCTGTGTGAGGGTGGGTGGGGACATCCTAATTCTGTGGGTGGGGACATCCTAATTCTGTGGGTGGGGACATCCTAATTCTGTGGGTGGGGACATCCTAATTCTGTGGGTGGGGACATCCTAATTCTGTGGGTGGGGACATCCTAATTCAGTGGGTGGGGACATCCTTATTCTGTGGGTGGGGACATCCTAATTCTGTGGGTGGGGACACCCTAATTCTGTGTGAGGGTGGGTGGGGACATCCTAATTCTGTGTGAGGGTGGGTGGGGACATCCTAATTCTGTGGGTGGGGACATCCTAATTCTGTGGGTGGGGACATCCTAATTCTGTGTGTGGATGTGTGTGTGAGAACCTAATTCTGTGTCGATGTGAGGGTTGTCTAATTCTCTATAAATATTCAACAGGAATCTGTAGGCCGCATCAATTTAACGTCTTGCCTTGTAAAGCCCCAATGATTTATCTTAATTAAAATTAAATTAAGCGACATCCTCTGAGCTTCCAATAGTCGAAATAAAAGTGTATTGATTTTTTTATACATAAATAATCTTTTTTTATTTTATATTTATTGCAATCGATCAGCTAAGTTAAAAAAATATTTCCAAGTTCCATTTTAGCATTTAAAAAAATATTTTAAATATTAAACTACACTTAGCTATTCCCCTTCAGCAGGAAAAAAAAAATTAAAATCTAATTAGGGGAAGTAAAACATTACGCGAGATATATTTGATTATATCCCTTGAAAGTTTTCTATTAATAGTTTGGGTGGGAGTATTTTGAAAGAAGTTAAGTGTGTTACAAAACCTGTGTGTTGGGATGTTAGGGGTGTGTTACAATAAAAGGGATGTGCAAGGATAATGGTGAGATGGGGTGGGGGTGGTGTGATCTAACCGGGTGTGTTCATGGCGTGCTTTGTGTGGGATTTAAAAAAAGGTTGTTGCTCAGGTGTTCAATAAAATAAAAAATAAAAAAAGATTTAATTTAAAAAAAAACATTGACTCAAATGTTTTATATCCATTCTTCTAAACAATCATAAAGCCAATTAAAATATATTACTTTCTGATTTGGTCGATTCGATTTTTTAAAGAAAAGTTTAAAATATAAATTCTCTTGCTGATTTGCGTACACTTATTATCTATAATTACTTCCTAATTAGCCTGTATTTCAGGAGTCAGTGGTGTCATAATTAAGAGCTAGCCCGACCTAAAACCTTAGACATTTCTTCCTTTACCGCTTCTTCTAAGGACCTTATAGGACATTTGGTAGCTTATAACCAGTAAGTCTCTACCTCCCTTGTAGGACATTTGGTAGCTTATAGCCAGTAAGTCTCTACCTCCCTTATAAGACCTAGCTTATAGCCAGTAAGTCTCTACCTCCCTTATAGGACATTTGGTAGCTTATAGCCAGTAAGTCTCTACCTCCCTTATAGGACTAGCTAAAACACCACCCCTACACCCCTTATTGGACTAGCTAAAACACCACCTCCTACACCCCTCATTGGACGTAGCTAAAACACCACCCCCTACACACCTTATTGGACGTAGCTAAAACACCACCCCCTACACACCTTATTGGACGTAGCTAAAACACCACCCCCTACACCCCTTATTAGACGTATCTAAAACACCACCCCCTACACCCCTTATGGGACGTAGCTAAAACACCACCCCCCTACACCCCTTCAAAATGTGTAGACAGGGAACACCAAGACAATAACAGATGTGCAACATTGAGGAAAGGTCAGTTACCTTGGCCATGTCCACTAACGTGCTCTGATTCTCCGTCAGTTTTCTTTGGTCCATCTTCACTCTCCGCAAACTGGGGAAGATTTGGGGTTAAAGGTCAACAAACCAGTTCTCTGGGAAAGTCACGTGTCTACAGTACTCTTTAGTGGAAGCATTTTAATATATCTGACAGTGTCAATAAGTATCAATGGATGCTAGCAACTTCTGAACACACTAGTGCTGAGACGATAACATTATATGAAATTTCAACATTCCACATAGCTGAACAGTGTATACATAATAGCACCCATTTAAAACTTGCAGAAAGGTGTTGAATCTATATCAAACATCTATAGTAAAGCAGTAAAACTATGTGTCGCGCCAGATATTTGGAATGAAAAATGTGGCTCTTTTCATTACGTACTGCGTGAAAAATCTGCAGAAATTTACCAGAAACTTACCCAGGATTTCGGATTTTAATTTACATAATTTAAAGTATCGGAACTAATAAAACTATCAGTGAGGCTCATAACACAATTTTAAATCAGAAAATATTTCAGATATACGTGACTTAAACTTGCAATCGTGACCGATCCTTTCTGATCTGACATGACCTCTATACTCTATACAGTGGCGTAACAGCCATGTTACCATGGTGGACAATGTCCACGGACCCCAAAGGTCCAGGGTCCCCAAATGTCCACGGACCCCACAGGTCCAGGGCCCCTTGAGCTTTTTTTAAAAGTAAATACATCTGGAGACTTGATGCTTTTTATTTCGTTTTCCTTCCTTATTTTTTTTTTAATTTATAAAAAAAAAAAAAACGGGAATCTTCATTCTGCAAATTTACAACTTGTTTTTGCAATCAGAAACTATAGCCCTTAAAATAAGTTACGCTCTCTGAAATTTATTTTTAAAATTACCAATACAGTTCAGTGGATAAATCTAGTCAATATAGTGTGAAACTTAAATTTGAAGATAATTCTAGAGCAGACAAGAAACATGTTTGAACGCTAAGACAGGGGTCGGCAACCTTTTAAGGCGGATGAGCCAAAAATTAAACATTACAATATTTCCCAGTTTTCAAAGAGCCACCAACAATATATTTTTTTCAACATTATGGTATTTGATTAAGATTAGGTAAATAGATTTAAAATTAATGGGTTTAAGTATGAAACACTATTTATTCATATAAAAACATACACATGTTTTCCCACAAAACAAAGTATTTTAGCTAGCTCTGCTAGGATAATAGAATCAAATTATATAACTTTAGCACTATCCCTACCCAATTTAGAAGCTAATAACTAACAAACTATGTCATTTAAGTCAAATTAATGCACACTGACACATATAAAGGCCTTCTGAATAAAATAACAATTACTGTTGAAAGTATTTAAAAAAATGGCACTTCGGTTTTGGAAAGCACGGAACCACTGCCACGGGGCTGGCCACAGCACAGCTGTGGAGCTGGGCCTTGTGCCCAAGCAGCTGGCAGCTGTCTTTATACACTCTACTCCTCCTATTCTCATTGTTTTTATCTTGCTTAAAGTTGTTTTTGAAGTATAATATTTTTATTAATTATGAAAATAAAGCAATATAATTATTATGGATCTGGCGAATCGCATCCTGACATCTAGGGAGCCGCATGCGACTCGCAGGGTTGCCTACCCCTGCGCAAATACAAACTGTAAAAGAAATGGTTGGAAAATTATTGCCGCATGCACAAATCATCGAGATCATCTATCACGGTGTGTATTTAAATATAAATATATTTTCCGTAAACTTCCGTCACGGTTTAAATGTATAGCTTATATTAAGACAATATATCAAAATTTGAAAAAGACAGAATTCTTTTTAATGTAAATTTTAAACAGCTTTTGTATATAATATATTATAAGTTTATTTTTTATAAAATACAATTTGAAATAATGTAATTAAATTTGTGTACAAAACTGTATTTAAGAATTCAATTATCTCCCATACTTTTAATCGCTGACCCAAAATATTTACAAAATTTTATAAGTGAAAAAGTTATTTAAAATAGATAACAAAATCGAATGTTTTTTTAATTTTTGTTTTTAAATGAGTGTTGTGTTTTGTGCTGTTGTGTTTCGTATTTGTTGTGTGTGATGTGCTTTGTAGTGTTATAATTTGTGTTATGTTCCCCCCCCCATCCCGTACCCCAAAAACTTTCATACGCTCTTGGGGTAGGCCTCCCCCCCCCCCCCCCGGTCTTTAAATGTCCGCGGGCCTCCGGCTGATCTGTTAATCCACTACCTCTATACAGCAGACTTGACCATAACATTATGACATTTGATTGGACCCTGTAGTTATGGTCGACCCCTGTACCCTGACCTAGACCTTTGTACTGACCTGTGAATAGCCTGTAAAAATTTGCGTTGGTGTGAGCGCACTTTGCTGACGTTGACTTTCTTGACGAGTTTGGTGTAGCGGTAGATGAGCCACGTCTCCCGCAGTACGTTGGCGGCGGCGTTCTTTAGCTGTGGGCGACAACAGTCATGTTACAGACAGGAAGTTGAATCTAGACTTGTCTAGTTATAACAGGACGTTGTCTAGACGTGTCTCATTATAGACAGGAAATTTTCTAGACATGCCTCATTACAGACAGGAGGTTGACTAGACATGTCTCATTACAGACAGGAGGTTGACTAGACATGCCTCATTACAGACAGGAGGTTGACTAGACATGCCTCATTACAGACAGGAGGTTGACTAGACATGTCTCATTACAGACAGGAGGTTGACTAGACATGTCTCATTACAGACAGGAAGTTTTCTAGACATGCCTCATTACAGACAGGAGGTTGACTAGACATGTCTCATTACAGACAGGAAGTTGACTACACATGTCTCATTACAGACAGGAAGTTTTCTAGACATGCCTCATTACAGACAGGAGGTTGACTAGACATGTCTCATTACAGACAGGAGGTTGACTAGACATGTCTCATTACAGACAGGAGGTTGACTAGACATGCCTCATTACAGACAGGAGGTTGACTAGACATGTCTCATTACAGACAGGAGGTTGACTAGACATGTCTCATTACAGACAGGAAGTTTTCTAGACATGCCTCATTACAGACAGGAGGTTGACTAGACATGTCTCATTACAGACAGGAAGTTGACTACACATGTCTCATTACAGACAGGAAGTTTTCTAGACATGCCTCATTACAGACAGGAGGTTGACTAGACATGTCTCATTACAGACAGGAGGTTGACTAGACATGTCTCATTACAGACAGGAAGTTTTCTAGACATGCCTCATTACAGACAGGAGGTTGACTAGACATGTCTCATTACAGACAGGAGGTTGACTAGACATGCCTCATTACAGACAGGAGGTTGACTAGACATGTCTCATTACAGACAGGAGGTTGACTTTAGACATGCCTCGTTACAGTTGACTGCAGACAAGTCTCGTTACAGAAAGGAATTTGACTGCAGACAACATTTTAATTAAACACAGAAAGTTGACTTCAGACAACGAATGTGTCATTATAAAAGTAGTTGACTGCTGACTTTACACCATAAATTATATTATTTCGAACGTAATGTCATCTGTACATATCTATCAGTATTAAAGCCTATGCTAAACTTTTTATACTAGACCCATTCCACTCCCCTTCCACACAAGCCTTTGTTCTGTACTAGACATTTTTGTTCTTAATTTTGTTCTGAACACTATTTGTTGAAGTTAATACTCCCCACAGATACAATTAGTCACGGTCTCATTAAGTTTAAGATGTGTAATGGACCCACCCGTTTGGTCAACTGGGTGTCCATCATAAAGTAATGGACGTGTTTCTCTGCCCGGCTCAGCTCCAGTTTCCTGGCAATCACAGCCACAACCAGCGCCGTGCACCCTGAACCCTGTGGTAGATGGTGTTGTCATTAGATGACATGTTGGACATGTGATGTCATGTCGGACATTTGATGTTATGTTGGTCATGTCATGTTGGACATTTGATGTCAGTCGGAGTTTGATGTCATGTCGGTCATTTGATGTCATGTCGGACATTCGAAGTTATGTTGGTCATTTGATGTCAGATCGGACATTTGATGTCATGTCGGACATTTGATGTCATGTCGGAAATTTGATGTCATGTCGGTCATGTCATGTCGGTCATTAGATGTCATGTCGGACATTTGATGTCATGTCGGACATTTGATGTCATGTCGGACATTTGATGTCATGTCGGACATGTGATATCATGTCGGACATTTGATGTCATGTCGGTCATTTGAT